ACCTAAAACTACACGACGTCGACTTCACACGATAGTAAAGGAGGACCAGGAAAAGGTTCTATCGGCACTACCGCAAGGCGCAAAACTCTCAATCGCGCTTAATTGCTAGACATCACTATTCCAACAGGCGTTTATAGCTATCACTAGGTACTTTCTTGATTGTGACTAGAAGTTTCGTGAAGTCCTTCTCGGATTCGAGCCATTATATAGAATACACTCTAGTGCTAATCTTGGTGCTACGGTTTTTGCACTACTCCAAAAGCATAGTATTGTTAATCGGGTATTAGCAGTAACCACTAATAATGCGTCGAATAACACTACTATAGTTAAGAGTATCCAACATTCGATTAACTCTCTTAAAATGCCTAATCAAACACCAATCGTCCGGATTCCTTGCCTCGCGCATATTATTCAACTCAGCCTACGTAATCTCCTTGGTTCAATAAAGGTTGACCCAAAAAATGACACGACCGACCGCCAATAGTCAGAAGATCAAGAGCAGTCACTCCGCGCTATCCAACAACAGCAAGGGATTTCGTACACACTTTTAAAGGTAAATCTCAATAAACCCATTCGTGGTATCATTCTCTAATATATCATATATAGATTCGTGGCCTTGCTATCTTTATTAATGCTAGTCCCTAACGCCGTAATACTTTTCTCAACCTTTAAGTACAAGAGCCGAAGCTAATTCCAATACAAGATGTTCGAACTCGCTAGAACTCAACATTTCTTATGTTAAGACGAGCAAAACGTCTTATATCGATCTTCGATAAATACTATATCGAGCATAACCAGCCTCGGTTCAAACTAGATTCAGAAGAATGGCGACAGATCGATTACCTTCTCCAAATCACACAGCCATTCTACAAATAGACAACCGGTCTATCAAAAATCAAAGATATCACAATCTACAATATCTTCAAGGTATACAACGTACTCTTTGAGTATTTTGAGAAGTCAATTCGTCAGCTTCAACGGAAAAGGGTAGCTTAGAAAAAAGCAATGCTCCACGCCCTTTATGCAGGAAAGGAGAAGTTATCTATCTACTACAATAAGACAGAGCAAGTTCATAGCCATCTCTTCGCGATTAGGACAATTCTTGCCCCAGAACATAAGCTCGAATTCTTCTCAGAGAAAGACTAGGCTAACAATAACTATGAATAGCGTCGGAGGTATAAAGAATCTCTACGGCGGTATCTAATTAAATATCAGCAAGAGTCTCCTCTACTACCCTCGCTACCCTCGCCACTAGATACTTTAAGTCAACCAGCGAGTCATTTTGATGCTTTGTTCAACGAGGATCGATCTCTACAAAATCAGCCCCAGAGATCCGGCTTTGAAAGTGAGCTTAGTGATTATCTAAATATTGGTATAAATACCCGCTTCGGTGCTTCAAAGCTTATAGTCTAACCTTCTATATAGGACGACAGAAAGATCTTAACCCCTATAACTATTAGCGCTCTCACCAACACCAATATCCTACACTTACTAGTCTAGCACGGGATATTTTCTCAATTCCTACCACAAGGGCTAGCGTTAAGCGCCTTTTCAACTCCGCCCGTGATATATACTATTATCGGCGTGGCTCCCTTCAAGCTTCTACTATCCAGGATCTAATAATGTTTCGCTATATCTCGAACTTCCAGATAAAACAAGACGAAATTGGATTAGGTGATAAAGGCTATACTCGTGAAGAGAAGCAGGCCAATAAGGAGAATAGGGAGGAAGAGCTTCTATAGGAAATCCTAACTACGATTAGTGACGATAAGGAAGAGCCAAGTAGCGAGACACAAGCCCAACCAGTTATTCAAATACTAAGTGAACGCGTCCTTGGAAAGAGACGAAAGAGCACTACGTCTATATCAGATACTAAGGAGAATAAGGAGAATAAGGAGAACCAACCCGCGGTAGGAAATGATACACAGACAAGGATAGCAACAAGAAATCGAGGTCAGAAGCGGCCAAGGCGAGAAGATAAAGATTTTGTATATATATAAGAATCCAAATTTTACTTGGTCCAAAATCATCTATCGTTTAGAAAAAGCTATTGTAAATGAAATACCGTTCAGAACCGCCAAGAAATGCATAATTCATATAAGTCACGAGATAGCTCATGTTTGCATTGTTTACAGTCCCATGGGAATTCCCATAACTCCCATAGGAGTTCCCACGGGAGTCTAGTCCCGCCATGGGAATTTCCCATAGATGTTTAGTCCCATGGACCCACTCCCATGGGACCAAAATTAGTCCCATGGGAATTCCCATGGACAGTCCCATGGGAGGCGTCCCATGGGAAATGTCAAGGTCTAATAGGATCTAATAAGTTCTACCGGTTCTTACGGTCTTTTGGCGGTCTATTAGCGGTCCTTATATAGTCTCTATATAGTCCTCGTGGTCTTTTGGCGGTCCTTGCGGTCTTTTGGCGGTCTATTAGCGGTCCTTATGCGGTCCTTGCGGTCCTTATACGGTCCTTGCGGTCTTTATACGGTCCCCGCGGTCTAAGACCGCATAGATCTAAGTAGAGTGGGTCTTATCAGCTAATTACGGTCTATAATCTAGTCTATTCTATCTAAAATCATATATCTATCATTTTCTTGAATATAAATACCCCTTAGGATTCTTTTGCCTAGATAAAAGTGTGAGACCACGCAGAGTCTCCGGTTTAGTTAGGTAAGCGAAGTAGAAGCCTCAGCTGACGTGCAGTACAATATGGTTCTATTGTAGAAGAGACTGAACGCTGACCCTTCCCAGGGTCAGCGGGGATGAACTAAATACAGGCTGGCCCAGCTTCCGGGCGGTGAGCAGTACTATACTGCCACGATTCCTGAGGCACCACTCGTGCCTCAGGTACCAACATAAGTAGTCGAGGGTCCTGACAAGGATAGAAGCGAAAGAATTGCGATAATAATATATTCGAGTACTATTAGTTAGTTAATCGATTAAAGCTCTCTAATTCATAGATCTTCAAAAAAGCCTCGAAATAACCCTATATTCTAATAGCCGTCAAAAAAACTAGCAATATAGCTTAATAACCCTATTTTCTGACAGCCGTTAGAATTGTAGCCCTATAGCCTTAGGAATCTATTAAACGTACAATTAAATTAAATAGTGATTATAGAAAGAGGCCTTACTTACAAGTCAAATACCCAAAAATACAGCCAAAAACTGCACAAGTTATGTAGTCACGAGTCTTGACATATTTGCATTGTTTATGAACCCAGCTAGGGGCCTGGGCCCAGCACTAGGCCAGAAATCCCGACCCGGGCCCAGTACTGGGTTGGAGAACCCGGCCCAGAACCCAACCCAGCCCGGGTTGGGCCCGGGTTGAGCTGGGTTCTGCGGAAGTCTAGTTGCGAGGACACCGGAAGGAACGGAAGACGATATATTTATATAGGCTTAGCTAGATAGGGCGAAAAGAGAGGGGACTTAGATTTAGCTAAAGGGGAGCCATTTCCGGCGCCGTTTTGGTCGCTAGTAGAAATGAGGGGAACAACTATATAAGTCGAGCGTCAATATCAGGACCGGAGGATGACTAACAGTGCTAGGCGGGTGCAGAGTAGTGGTGTTACAGGGCAGTGGGCGGACAAGGGGCGGCTAGACGTCCAAAGTGACGGATGGAAAGGCAGCCGTTTCTAGCCTCAAAAGCGGTCATTTTCGGCGTCAATCCCACAGGTCCTATTCTAGCTGTAATTCTTATGATCTAATCGAGGCCGGCGCAGCTCAGTAACGAGCCAACGCCGGTTAAGCTTTCTGATAGCGTTATCCGTGCATCAACTCACTTTTTCATAATTTTGTTCGAAGAAAGGTGGTCCCATCCATTCGTTGCTCTGTATTCCAACCGTGTGTTCCGTCTCCTGGCATATCATCAAAGCGGCATGTAGGCTACAGATACTGCGTAAACGCTGCGGAAGCACTATGCTTGCTTTGTGGTTCATGAAAATTGTTCAACACTTCCTGCAAACATCCTACTGCGTGATCTGCCCTTCATGAATGGGAGGAGCCCTATTCTCCCCGAACCACGGTAGATCATTCAGAAGAATGCTAGAGCACAATTGTGTTAGCTGCACTGAGCAGGATCGTGAGCATTGGTCTTGGACATGGTCTGCCGGCAGGGATTTGAAGTGATGCTCATGGCAATAAGGTAAACTAGGATGAGACAGTGAGATAGTTGCAATCGAGAATTTGAGTAGTGGAGAGAATGGAAATTCGAACCCACACTTGGATAACCTGTGATATTGTAACAACGACCTCGGAAGCATAAAGTGAGTCAGCCATCCTGCCCTAAGCCAAAATATACTTGAGATGTGGACCAGGACCATGAATACGTACCATGCAGATTGTATCAGTCTACGAGCATGAAAGGACCCATGAACCTCATTATAGGCACTTCTGCACTGTGCGCATTGAATTGGAGCCCTCACGATTCCCTGCTGCCCATTATTGGATCCAATAAAATATTATCCCGTACCCCTTGAGAAGAGAACCTTTTGCTTGGCAGCCCACGGTTACCACGATACCGGAACCGAAGGGAAAAGTCACACAAGAGTTAAGAATGAAGGCCGATGTTTGAGCTTTGTAAGGTGGAAGTATTCTAGCCTATTCCTCTTCATAACAAATGCTCCCATTGTGGCTTTATTGATATACCACATGCAAATGGTGTGCTTTAGAGACATCTACATTTCAGCCGTGCCGTGCCGAGATGGATGTGATCAGTGGCCTAATCTCCGGGGAACCATTCAGACGAAGACCCTTCCACCATGGCTTGATCCGCCGGCCTGAATCGAAGAAGATCGACCACTATCTTTGCCGATCAAAAATACGAGATCTTAGCGCATGCAGAGTCCTTGAAGCAATGCAGTTAGTTACCCTCGTATATATGGGACAGTAGGGGGTTTTCACTTTGTTATTCGTTATCTTTCATAGTCACCCCTTGATTTATTTTCAAGTCGTTCTTTTCGGATCTTTTGAATCCAGCCATTTCTTTAAACAGTCTCAATATGGCCCCTGTTTGGTCATGGCTGGGCGCCTTCTTTGCAACCCTGCCAGTGGCTTTGGCAGGACATGGCGACCCGATTGCCCAGAAATACATTGTCGAGTTTGCTGATTCCAAGGTTGTTAGTTAGAATCTAATTGCTGTCACAGCGATACCTATGGATTTGCTAACTTATATAGTCGTCGGTGGGCTTCCTTTCCACATTGAATGCCCATGGGATCCCTGCCACTCTCAACCTTGACTTGTCGTTCGCTCTCTTCCATGGCGGCTCCTTTAATCTTCTTGATGACAAGAGTGAAATTGCCATCGTCAAGGAAATCTCATCCTGGCCTGCAGTCAAGAAGGTCTCCCCAGTCCGGGAGCTGCAGCATTCCCAACGCGACGTGTCGAGTGTTGCCCATGGCGCCCCTGGGCGACGTAGTCCTGTCTCTCACATCCGCCGCCGTGACACGGCAGGTCACGAAGGCAATGATTACCCACACATGACGACTGGAGTTGACAAGTTGCGCCAGCAGGGATACCTCGGAACAGGCATTCGCGTCGCAGTAGTCGACTCTGGCGTTGACTACAAGCATCCCGCTCTCGGAGGTTGCTTTGGCAAGGGCTGTCTGATTGAGTTCGGTTTCAACTTCCTTGACAACAACACTGATCCATGGGAAGGCTACAGTGGACACGGTACGTTTACATTAAGGATTGCGCTATACGATTCTTTGGCTGTCGGCGTTCAGGAACTCATGTCTCTGGACTGATCGCTGCCCAGCCCAATCCCTATAACTTCACTGGAGTTGCCCCTAATGTCACTTTGGGTCACTACAAGGTCCTCGGAACGCGGTCAGTAAACACCGGTACGGATATTGTCACTGCCGCCTTCAAGACGGCCTATGAGGACAAAGCAGACATCATTTCTGCGTCCTTCGGCACGTACAAGGGCTGGAGCGACGAACCATGGGGACAACTGATCCAGCAGCTGGCCGAGGCTGGCCTTCCGTCATTTATTGCAAGTGGTAATGATGGAAGCCTGGGTATGTTCCTAGCCTCGAACGGTATCGACAACTCCGCCGGCATCGGCATCGGATCCTTCAACAATTTGTATAGCCCCCTGTTGCTCACTGGAGCTGCCTATTCTACCCGCAATACCACCAAGGAATTCGGATGGCAGCTCGCGGGTACTTTCGATTTCAAGAATGGCACCTCCCCACTCTACCCCAGCAGCCTGAATGCGTCCGTCGTTGGTGATTCTTGCGAGCCGTGAACAGCAGACCACCCTAATCTCTCCGACAAAATCGTCCTGATTCGCTACGGTGGCTGCAAGGGAAGTCAGCAGCAGGCCAATGCAGTCAAGGTCGGTGCTAAGAACATTCTGTTTTACTACAATGTACCAGGCACCTATGAGCTCCCCGTTCAGGATCCCGGTCTGGTTGGCTTGGGAATGGTCTCTCCTCAGACTGGCGCAAACTGGGTGAAACTGGCCGCATCTGGAGCCAACATTACTCTGCACATGACCAGCCAAAAGAATTCCAAGACTTTCTTCGCCAATGAGAAAAACCCTCAATCTGGAAGTCAAGTCAGCGACTTCAGCCAGTGGGGTCCCAGCAACTAACTTCTTCCTGTGACAGCTGTTTCGGGAGTCGGTGGCTTCATGCTTTCGACATGGCCGGTGCTTGAAGGCAATTACGCTATTGATACTGGTACTTCGATGGCCACTCCCTACGTTGCTGGTTGCATTGCTCTCCTGATGGAGGCTCGTGGCAAGGGCAAGGTGACACCTGCCGAAATCAAGTCAGAATTGTCCTCCACTGCCAACCCGAATGTCTTCCATGATGGCGTTAGAGCCTCGCCCTTCCTGGCCTCCGTTACACAGCAGGGAGGTGGTCTCATTGATGCCTACAAGCTTGTGCACGCTACCACCAAGTTCAATCTGAGCACCATCGCATTCAATGACACCGAGCATATCGCGCCGGCATACATCCGCATCAACAACACTGGATTTGAATCGCGTGTCTACTCAGTCAACCACGTGGGTGCCGCTTCTGTCTACGCATTATCCGACAACAGCTCTATCCCTCAGGAGAACAAGCTCGGCAATTTCGTGGACCGCACCACTGAAGGTGCCTCGCTCAGCTTCAGCTCATCCAGTGTGCGTGTGGCCGCCGGTGGCTCAGCTGTGTTGAAGGTGACTGCCACCCCGCCCAAGGGACTCGTCGCCCGTCGCATTCCCGTCTACAGCGGATACATCACTTTCAACGGGACCAGCACAGAGGATTCCTTCTCGGTTCCCTACCTGGGTGTTGCCACCCTCGATACCACCCAAGGCAGCAACCTCCTCGTCGACAGCAGCACCCAAAAATCCATCCAGGCCAACCACCAGTTCGTCGTTCCGGGCGAGCATGACTCGGCAGACCGCGCCAACACAAGCTACCCCATCTTCAATACTCAGCTCTCCATGGGAACGGATCTGCTCCTGGTAGGTGTCAAGCCCGCCAATAGCCAAGCTATCCTCCCCGTGTATGCTCCTCAGACAGCACTTCCCAGAAGTACCGATGGCGTTACCGGTCCCAGCCCCACATCCTGGATGGGCGCATTAGCAATTGGATCGTATGTCGCGCCAGGAAATTACTCTATGGTTGTGCGTGCGTTGAAGATCTTTGGTAACCGTACTAGCCCGGTTGATTATGATACTGTGCGAACGGTCAATTTTGGGATCACATATACTCCTCCTGCCGACCAGTAAGATCATGAAGCTGATAGTGTCAGCAATCGGTCTCGGTATGATTTCCATAAGTGCCCAAGTTTTGGAGCTTTTACCTTGTGCGTGGGGGCATCTTAGGCATTCGTTCCCGTGAATTTGTTACCAAAATATATAATTATTCATGATGATAAGTTCCTCGTCCACTTCACTTGATCAGGAAATATAAACTGAAAGCCTCCAGCTACTAGTAACTCTTGACATTGCAATTCTGCACCATCGCGACCCAACAAGTATAATCAACCACGTGGCGTATCCACAAAGAGTAAAAGTGCCTGAATCTGCCAGAAGTAGAAATAATCCAGGAGCGATCGCCAACTTTTCCCTTTCAGGCGACAATCATCCCGGCCAACCTGCCTGAACAGTCTCGGCAGCCATTTCCCCGGCCTCCCCACATACTTCGGGGAGGAGTCCGTTGTGACGTTTGTTGCTCCACGTCGGAGATGCACCGTGGGGTTCGCTTGAGTTGCCAGTGACCACCGGCAAAATGGAGCAATGGAAGGGGAGAGGGATATAAAATGCGGAAGGAACCAGTGCACGACGCAGAATAATTCAGCTGTTACGCGAAGTATACTATCGCAACGTCTACCTCCATTGACCACGACTACAACGCCCATATCTAATACAACGAGCTCTCCGAAATGGCTACAACATTAACAGGGGGAAATCCACACATAATCCAACTCCCAACAACACCGCCAAGCACCTCCATCGACGCGCGCACAATCGCCCAACAATGGCTGTCAGCTTTGTCAACCCAGCTCTCGAGCCCAGCTTCCCTGAATCTCGCAGGCCTCTTCCACTCTGAATCCTGGTGGCGCGACATGCTGGCATTGGACTGGGACATGCGCACAGTAAACGGTACACCTCAAATCGCAGACTTCCTCAGGAAGCACCAGAATAAAGCAAAGCTACACGGCTTCCGCCTGCAAGATAACGGTCAATTTCAGCCACGCCTGGAACAAGTAGTTGACGGTCTGAGCTGGGTTTCTTCAATTTTCTTCTTCGAGAGTGCTGTTGGGACTGGAACTGGTATGATGCGACTGACGCAGGGTGCTGACGATGCTTGGAGGGCTTATGCTGTTTATACTTCGTTGCAAGAGTTGAAAGATGCTCCTGAGCCCTTGGGGAAGAGGAGGGTTGAGGGAACGACCGAGTCTATGCCTGGTGGGTTGGCTGGGGGGACTTGGATTGAGAGGAGGGAGAGACAGAAGGAGTTTTTGGATGAGGAGCCTACTACTTTGGTTGTTGGTGCTGGTGAGTGATTTTTTTTTTTGATTTTTTTTTTTGATTAAGGATTGCTTAAGGCTGATATTTGAATAGGTCAAGCTGGATTGAATATGGGTGCGCGTTTGCAGAGTATCGGGATCTCGTGTTTGATCGTTGATAAGAATGACCGCGTTGGTGACAGCTGGCGTAATCGGTACAGGGTGCGTAATATCAGAGCGGATGAAGGCGTTGGAACAAAAAGAATCGACTGGTATACTTATCCGCGTCTTGCAGACACTTGTTACCCACGATCCAGCCGAATTCACACACATGGCCTACCTCCCCTTCCCACAGAACTGGCCGCAGTTTACACCAAAGGACAAATTGGGCGACTGGTTCGAAGCATATGCAAGTATCATGGAGTTGAACGTCTGGGTGAAGACTTCCGTCGTCTCAGCGGACTATGATGACCCCACTGCAAAGTGGACAGTAGTTGTTGCTCGTGGTGATGGCTCTCAACGGACATTGCACCCTCGCCATATCGTTTGGTGTACTGGCCACTCCGGCGAGGCACATATTCCCTCGTTCCCGGAACAGGAGTCCTTCCAGGGTAAGGTGTATCACGGCAGTCAGCACCGTGATGCTTCGGAGTCAGATGTCCGAGGAAAGAAGGTAATTGTTGTCGGAACTGGGAACAGTGGTCACGATATCGCGCAGAACTATTACGAGAATGGGGCAGATGTTACTATGCTGCAGCGCAGTGGTACATACGTCTTGACTGCTGATAAGGGTGTCTTCATGATGCACAAAGGCATGCACGAGGATGGCGGGTATGTTCTGTTTTGCGGCTCTACCTCGATGATTTAATGACATTCACATGACACTAACACAATCCGATAGACCTCCAACCGAAGAATGCGACATCGCTACAGAAAGTCTCCCCTGGCCCGTCCAACTCGCCTTGAGCGTGCACATGACGAAGCGCATCGCAGAAGCCGAGAAAGAAACTCTAGATGGACTCCGCCACGCCGGCTTCCAACTCGATTTTGGTCCCGATGGTGCGGGTATTGCACGCGCATACTTCACCCGCGGTGGCGGCTACTATATTGATGTTGGATGCAGCCAGCTCATCATTGACGGAAAGATCAAGATAAAGCACAGCCCCGGCGGTATCAATGGTTTCAGCAACCATGAGCTACGGCTAGCAGATGGTGACTCTCTGCCTGCTGATATGGTCGTTCTCGCTACTGGATATGATAACATGCGTACGACTGTGCGCAAGGTTTTGGGTGATAAAGTTGCAGACAAATGCTCTGATGTTTGGGATTTGGATGCTGAGGGCGAGGTCCAAGCAGTATGTCTCCATAGTATCGCTTTGTTTGCACTTTTTGTTTGCTAATCCACTTATTAGATGTGGCGTCCCAGCGGTCACCCGGGCTTCTGGTACCATGGAGGAAATCTTGCGTTGTGCCGTGTTTACTCCAAGTTCATTGCGCTTCAGATTAAGGCTGTCGAGACCGGTCTGTCTTCCGGGGTCAGACAGCAGAGTTTGAATCGAGAGACCAAGATCTAGGGATATATGCTGTTAGAAATGGTGCTATGACAGACTTTACTTATTCTGTGATCAACTGTGAGCTAGTAATGAAAAATAAAAAAATTAATCCACAAAGCCTGATCTAGCTGAAACCGCAATCTTCTTGAATTACTATAGCTAGTATTTACGGCCTGCAACTATCCCATTCTTCTCGTTCTTCGAAGCACAACGATCGAACGATCGGAAATGTTGCCTCGAGCAGAAACCGGAGCTTACGGTGATTGCGGCGGAATACGCTGATTGGCCGAAAGCAAGTATACGAGATGGCGACTCGTCCGCCGCAAAATCCGAGCTTTCAGAAAACATAAATACTGCCCTTTGGGTAGTTCAAAATATATCTCCTTTCAATTTAGAAATCAAGGATCTGCTCTTGAATATCATGGTCGACTCAAAGCTACTGCCAACTCGCCCACTCTCGAAAAATGGGCCGTTGGTCCCTCGCCTCGGTCTGGGATTGATGGGTGCAAGTGGTACGTACGGTATGCCGGCCAGGGACGAGGAGAGACTCGCTTTCTTGGACAAGGCGTATGAAAAAGGAGAGAGATTTTGGGATACTGGTAAGAGCCCCTTCATTAACATCCATCCACGAGTTGTGCTGAGATTGACGGTTCCAAGCCGACAAGTACGGTGATTCGGAAGACCTGCTCGGAAAATGGTTCACCGCAAACCCAGACAAGCGCAAGAATATATTCCTCGCAACTAAATTTGGCATCAAGACCTCGCCCGGTGTGCCAGGGTTCTCCGTCGACTCAACACCTGAATACTGTCATCAGTCAATCGAAAGGTGCCTGGAACGACTGGGACTCCCATACGTGGATATGTTCTACGTCCACCGCTTGGACAAAGTGACTCCAATCGAAAAAACAATGGTGGCCATGGTCGAGCTCAAGAATGCCGGCAAGATCAAACACATCGGGTTGAGCGAGTGTAGTGCAAACTCTTTGCGTCGTGCGTATGCCGTCCATCCGGTGACTTGTGTCCAGGTTGAATACAGCCCATTGTGCAAGGACATTGAGTCCCCGGAGACGAAGCTTTTAGAAGTTGCTCGCGAGCTGGACGTTGCCATTGTGGCATACAGTCCTCTGGGAAACGGTCTCCTGGGTGGAAATATCCGCTCCCGCGAAGACGTGAGCAAGCCTGGTGATTCGCGCGGAGTCCTGCCTTGGTTAAGCGACGAGAATATTCAGCCGAACCTGGCTGTCCTTGATAGAATCAATGACCTAGCAAGCTCCAAGGGTCTTACGACGGCACAATTGGCCCTTGCATGGTTGCTTGCACAGGGTGATGATATCTTCCCTATTCCAGGGACTTCGAAGATTCACCGTCTGGAGGAGAATCTCGAAAGTCTCTCTGTCACTCTTTCTGGGGAAGATGAGACATTGGTCCGGAAGCTTTCGGGGGAAATTGTGGGTGGTAGGTTCCAGGCGAAGACGGGTTATTCATTTGCCGATACACCAACTTTGGAGGAGCGGTAGCTTCAGCGGTTTGGTGAAAGACCGACTTTGTATTTTGTTTGCTTCAGCTGCTCCAATACTTTGCCAATTATAACTCTGGTGCGATATTCGACATTGAAATCGTAGAAAATTCGACGTCACGGTCGGACCTGGTCGATGCCTGATGTACGATATGCATAGTGCCAAAGTATGGTATATCAAATTCCAAATGGCTCTGTCCGCGCACGGAATGGTTCATTCGAGTATCATCGGGCGCCGCGTCATTGCAGAGTATGTACTTGTCACCCTCAGCTGCATCAGCCTCAATCTCAACAAATCGCCTGAGTAGCTTGGCACGGTCGGACCCCTGAGAGTCTTGATTGCGACGAGAAAGATTGTCAATACAGCCAATCACACAATCGATGATCCCGAGATCTTGGGGTCTTTGGTGTTCAAGGAGATTTGCGGACCCCAGAGTGTGCCCTTCGAGGTGGGATAATAGAAGTGCGAATGTAGCCGTCAAAGCTTTGTCATCGAGGCCACGGTAGGACGGCGATTCGTGGAGTTTTCGGAGAATGAGATAGCGAGCAAGAACTTCTCGGCTTGCAGAAACGATTGCCATCTTGCTGTATATCTGGTCTATAGAATTCCGTTGGGTCTGGGAAGCATTCCAACGCAGAACTCCAAGGAGATACGGCTGATGCACGAGGATCAGAAGATAGTATTGATGTGATTGCAGCAGAAGCTTAGCAGTTCTGTCCATTATGCTTGCCTCTGTTTCAGCACCCTCAGTGGTGGGAGGAATCCACCAAGTTGTCGGAAGTGCCCGCGCGGCATTCTTCAAATCACGGTCGAGGCTTTCTATCTCTTCCTGATCTTGAGTGGCACCACCATTGCGGATATTGCCATGCCTGTGAGCATGTTGAATGTGTAGATTTCTTGCAATAATGCGCTCAGAGATTGTAACATGGATGCGTTCCAGAATTTGTGGCGTAACGCTCTGCAAAACTTCATTCTGTGCCGCAGAAGTTTGATCGATAGCCGAGAATGGCTGTCCCAGCATAAGTGACGTGAACCGTTCACTGTAGAGGATCTGGAACAAAAGAGACTCGGCTCGAGGGCCAAATAATTCATCCTGCTGGTGTACCTTCATGAGATGCGCTATGTGGGAAGCTCGTTTAAAGATCAAGCGCGCGGTGTCCATTTGTCCCACGCTTATATGATACCGACTTTGCAGCAGGAGGGTTTCTAGCCCATCAAGCGATGCAACTAGAGAGTCCTGAGACATGACTGAACGGGAAGCAGTCTCATAGTAGCGACGTGCTGCAGAATCAATGGGCTCTTTCAGGCCTACTTTCGTTCTCTTCGACGCGCTATCATTCATTTCTCTGAGGCAAATGGCTAGTCGGATGAGCCTGTGAGCAAAAGTGATAGGATGAGCAGATGATGTATGATCAGGTAGTAGAGACTCTCCCATCAACGTAGAAAAGGCCTGCTGGTGCGAGGACTGCAGTATTTGAAGTGGTGCATTATGTAGCTTGCTGCTGTTGAGAATAAGTAAGATGACATGAGGAGCAGGTAGGACTGAGGAGAGATATCCGGTGAGGGATGGACCTCTAGACAGTCTTTCGTGACCGATTGCTCTCAAGGATGACGTTCGTGTGGGATCGAAGCGTCGAAGTTCCAATAACTTTTGTTGCGACTGCCCTCTAGTAAAGTTCCCCTGCTGCCTGACGAGTCTATGCACAATTTCTTCGACATTTCCAATGCGACGCTCAACTGCTTCGTATGCGTCATTCGTATTGTCAAGAACATCCTGGCTTATGCATGGTAGGCCTCGGTATTGACAATACACGCAGATGGAGTTGGACACTGGTCCGAACTCACACCTTCTCTTGCGATGCTTGCATTCCCAGCAACTAAATGTGCCCTTACGTACTTTCCTTCGCTTGGGACTTGGGGCATCATTTGGTCTGAGATGGTTCGTGGGCGACATTATCTGATGACATTCAAGGCCATTTAGATGAGTTGATGTCCAGGGGGGCGGAACGTGCCGCCTTCCTAAAATGGCGGATCTGGCCGACTACACGTGACCGGAATTTAGCCACCTCCGGCTAAATCATTTGGCATTTCATGTTGTCAGCGCTTCGAACAGTGAAAAGCTGTTCAGAGATTTTGATCCTCGTTGCAGATCTGTCAAGTATTCTTTGACCCGGTTTCCGACGTGATCGGCGCAAGGATGAGTGAACGAGGTTCGGAGATCGTGTACCGGGCGGAAAATATTCCGATTCGCTTCTTTAAGGCATGTCGGTGGTGCAGGAGACAGAAAATGCGGTGCGATGCGCGCAGTCAAACCCCTTGCTTCCGCTGTCGTTCAACTGGTCGGGACTGCATTCTGGATCCCATTGATGACGGCCGGCGCCGAAGTGACCGTCGGCGGAAGACTACAACCCCCGCACGGTAGGACCCTGAATAAAATAAACATTACCGATATGAAGCGAGACTAATGAATCAAAGGAGCCAAGCCAATGCAACTCCAGTTGATCAGCGGACTGGGTTTCATACCCCGGCTTCCAGAGACCAAGGGTTCTCTCCATCCAACGTTCATGATGGTGGATTTGACTCTTCACTTGATTCTTTGCCTGAGTCCACTGGACTTAACAGTCTTCAAAGGTCGTACACAAGTGACCAAAATGGGCCCGAGCATCAGCAATTAAGTCCAAACGAAATGATTGCACCGGCATCAGCAGTGCACTCCATGTCAGTGAATCTGCTAGGCTCAAATGATGTAAGTGGTGCTTTATGCCAGAGGAAAATTTTGTATTCTGAAACTTTTTAGATATTTATGGACAGCTCAAACAAAGGCGACTCAAGAGGCGATGTAATTGATCGAGGAATCGTCAGCGAGGAGTTCGCTCGCATGATGTATGACCGGTATGTCGAAGGACTCCCCTCGCTAAGTATCTATTATTTTTTTGTATTCTAAATGCTACTCAATTCAGATTTACGGGTGGATCAAAAAACTTCCTTGGGCTTTTTGATCCCATTCGCGACACATTTGACTCCATTCGGTCACGGTCTTTGTTCTGCTTCACGGTGATCATCTACTTGGCTAGTCGAGCTGTATCAGATCTTCGTGGAGACACACATATGCAGCGTGTCTTACAAGATGAGGCACAACGTTTGGCAGAAGACAGTTTCTTTGAGCGACCCACTAAACTGGAAACAGTACAAGGGATGATTCTCCTGGCAGCTTATTCCGAGAAGACGTGGTTCTCAATCGCTCTTATTCTCCGCACGGCCTTGGATTCCGGGTTGGAGAAGTCACTGGACACATTGTTATCACAAGAGACCGTTCCCCGGAGTTCTCTCTCTGCTTCTATGGCGGAACGTCAACTAGTATGGCAAACAAGAACATGGTTGATTAGCTTCACTTTGGAACTGGATGTTGCATCTGGCACAGGACGCAAGTCTCGAATTGCGGAGGTTGATGTCTCGAAGCTACGCCGGTTCCTTGAATATCCACTTTCTCTACCTGGCGATATGCGAACGGTTTGCATCATTGAACTTCATCAGCTACGAGGCAGGTCTACTGACTCGACTTTTAGTTCATGGGAAACTGACTAACTGAAAATAGGCAATTTCCGCTTTGCTATTGACAATGTAATGACGGTCGATGAAATTGTTACAAATAGAATTCCGTCCATCATGACCCGACTACAAGGCTGGTTCGCGGCGTGGGACGAAATTCATAAGAGCAAGTTTTCTCCAAGCTGGATTCGAGATTTCATAACTGACCGAGACATGAAGACAATGGTTTCCACGAAGGGGCCTTCCAACGCAGTAGCCTCAAGCTTATGTTCAACTATGCCAGAATATTCGTTCTTTGCGCTTCGCTCGCACGAATCCAGAAATTACAGCCAATTTACACAGATTCGAGTTCCGAAACCCTGGATCAGAATGTTGTTGAACTGTGGCGGTCTTTGGTAACGACAATCATGGACCAATTGGGATTTTTGATCAACGAGCCCTCTTATCGTTGCCAATTAACATGGTCACCAACATACCCAGCTTTGACCATTGCGTTTGTTAGTAAGTCAGCTCAATTCAAATCATCCAGCACCACCTTACTAACCTATGCCTAGCAACATTCGCTCTCAGAATAGCCAGATGGCGTCCAAATTTAATCAATCAAAACCTCTTACTAGAAAGAGCAGAAAAAATCTGCGACTTCTTGAAACAACCCCCGTACCCTGACATCCACCGAACGGTCTCGATCTTTGTCAACTACGCACGTGCTTTGATTGCTAGCCAGCGTCCACAAAGTAGCGATGGTGCAGATGCGCCCAACATGTCCGATCAAGGTGACGGGCCACATCCGTCATATTGTGATGGCCCTATGGTGGATGCACCTGCTCCACCAGCAGTGGGTCCCCTCGACGATCGCTATAAGCACGGTCTTAACACACAGACAGATAAGGATTCAAATATGGTCTCAATGCCAAGTGGCGATACATCTGCACCCAGACCGCCCCTCTCTCGGCTACCCGGCACGATGGAGGCACCGAACTGGACTGTATCAAACTCTATTGCTGATTCTTTTGGTCTTTTCGAAGAAGGACAGAACGATATCTTCGACTTCTTGCCCATGATGCCGTCGATGCCACAATAGTTTAATATTTTGCACATAGCTAATGACAATCAATGTTTGATCTGATTGACTTCAAGTCGTCATGTTTGTGGATCGAGCTAGGTAACTGAAACGTTGTACAGTGGATATACGTGGCCTGGTACACTAGACCCTGAAATCGGCATCACAAACACCAAATTGGGCCGCCACGCAGTCCAGTATGATCTTCACATGAAGTCTTTAGTCACACTAGTCCCAATTCCCCATCCAAATTACTTGTATAGCGATCAATTCCCGCGTCGGCGCCTGCCGTCCAGGCCCGGGTCCTGACCGGTCCCGCGGGTGGATTGCCCTAAGACCCGGTCCCGCGTCGGCGCCGGTGCACATCGCAAAATTCTTGAAGTATAACCCACGCTCATTGGCTTGCTGTCTACTCCAACATGATAAATCGAGGCGTTATGCATGTCCAACGAGTTCTGGCCATGGTGAGTCAAAGATGTTTGAAGATTTTATCTGGGTCCATCTGTTGCATTGACAATTGTAAACTCTGTTGAGGAGTATATGTAGCGGTGACATCCTCTACCAGACTTTGCTTTCAATTGAATGCTTCTACCTTCTTATTCTTGACCTGTTTTCTTCTTCTTATGATTCAAGATGGCTATAGATACCAAACAATCTTTAATTGCTCAAATAGCAGCTATACTTTCCTCAGGTACGATCAACGTACTTTTTGTGAATTCCTTCCCAATCTCTCTGACACATGGCAGGCAAGGACCAAAATCCTGCCGATGATATTGCCGCTCCAACAATACCCGGAAAACATCACAAGGGAGATAAAATCTACTCAATAGTCGAAATGTCACCAGATGAACTCCTTGTTGAGTTTCAAGAAGGCTCACCCGAGAGTCCACCGAATTGGGCATTTGTAAGCATTTCGACATATTATCCTCAGAAATGCAAAGGAAACTGACCGCAGAACCAGACTAAAAAGATCTACAACGCGCTCGTGGCCCTATTCATTGTTCTCAATAGCGGGATATCAACTGCACTCCCCAGCAATGCAGTCCCCACTATCATGCAGGACTTCAACCAGTCCGGAGACTCGCAAAAGGTATTACCAACGGCTGTGTTCCTGATCGGCTATGTGCTTGGACCTCTTCTTTTCAGCCCATTGAGCGAGACCATTGGGCGGAAACCAGTTCTTCTGTGGTCGTTCAGTGTCTTTGTCTTGGCTACGCTAGCTTGTGCTTTTGCACCAAACTGGCCTTCTCTTCTAGTTTTTCGGTCAATTTGTGGCCTTATGGGCGCTGCGCCTCAGACAGTCATCGGTGGTGTTTATGCGGATTTGTTTGTTGACTTGCGGAGTCGGGGACGGGCTATGGCTGGATACATGTCGGTATGTCAGCCTAAATGCATTAATTCATCATAGAGATATGAAAGTCTAACAGGAAAAAACAGGCGGCGAGCTTTGGCCCAATTTTAGGGCCTATTATCTCTGGATGTTCTGTCAAATATGGCTGGCGATGGACTTTTCGCATTGACCTGATCCTGACTGGTACTACCTGGCTGGCTCTTGTATTCATGTCAGGTACGAAAGATTGTTTGCTGAAGATTTTGAGCCAGGAACTGAAATTAAATCACACAGAAACATTCACGCCAATCCTTCTCAAACGCAAGGCTGCCAAACTACGGAGAGAAACAGGCTTCAATAAATACTTCACAAGACAAGAACTGGACTTAGAATCGAGATTCACGCCCATGGAGATCATTACCCGCCCTATTATGATGCTTATTACCGAACCGATCATCCAGTCTACTGCAATCTACATCTCTCTCGCTTACAGCCTGGTCTTCTTCTACTTCCAGGCCTATCCGATTATTTTCCAAGGCAAGCCCCTCAGACAAAGGAGAAGATGAATAAAATTAACATGGAATTAACAGGAGTCTACGGATTTGACGTTGAGAAGACGTCTCTGACTTACATTCCAAGTACGTTCAAACATTGCCACTGCTAGTAAGATTCCAAGCTAACCAGACACAGTTGGAATTGGAGCCGCAACATCAGGTTTTGCCACTCTCTACTATGACACAATATACGAGAAAGCCAAAAAGCAAGGCAAGGAATGGACCACAAGCCCCGAACTTCACCGACTGCCCATGTCCTTTATCGCCGGTCCTTGCATTGTGGTCAGCATGTTCTGGCTCGCATGGACAGCAAGTTCAAACATCCACTGGGCCGTGCCCGTAATGTCCGGCTTGGTCTTCGGATTCGGATACCAAATCATCTTCATCTCGCTCTTAACATATGTCACCGATGCATACGGAATCTATTCAGCCAGTGCATTGGCAGCTTCCGTCATTGTGCGAAGCATTGCTGGTGCACTTTTCCCACTGGCTGCTGACCCAATGTACAACTCGTTGGGAGTATCATGGGCTACATCTCTCCTTGGATTTATCAGTCTGGCTTGCATTCCTATTCCCTTTGCTCTTTTACATTGGGGTCCTTTGATCCGGAAAAGAAGTCCCTTCTGTCAACGACTACTCAGAGACAAATTGAAATCCAGTGGATCGGCCACTCCAGTGGAAGTATGAGGTATTTCTGATTGTGGTTGCATCGAGTTGCATCTATACCTTATGTGTTTTTTGAGCGTTTTACAATTTCGGGTTATTTGCTCATTCACATGCGGCATTGGCTGGGCGTGGAATATATCATGACTTAATAGATAGTTAATAATGCAGTCTTTCTTATATGTTTCATGACTTTTTCAATGCCAATAATCGAGTTCTGTTCTAGCGGTGGATCGGATATATCGACACCTGAATCTTAAGGTTTCAGGGGCTCGGTCCACTTTCGGCAAGTTCCGGCAACAATTGAACTCCAGTTATTTCACATCTTTCAATGCTAGTTGCTCATAACTCCATAGCCATTTGGCAGCACAATAAAGTGATCACACAATTGAATCAAAAGTGGCGATAGGGGTTGGAGGCTTTGGCGCGCCACAAACCCTGCTAAAAGCCACTAGGCAGGTCGCTTAGGACCCTGATGAAATTAAAATTGAGGTTTTGTAACGGGGGCCAAATCCTAAAATAGCCTAGATCCAACTCGCACCAAAACATCACCAATCAAAATGTGTTTTGTTGCGGCTCTAACGATTCGTCTCTTGGTATGCATAACAAACGACTTTAAGAACCAAGCGCTCTCCTTTTCTCTTCTACGTTGGCTTCCCCTTGTAAAACAGACACAATGTACTCTCATCTCCCAGCCCAGGGTACCACCGCCACGATCGCCCACTGCAAGGCGCAAGATCTAGCTATCGGTGCGCGATCTCCGCCCACTTCCGCGTCGTATGCTAACTGATGCAGTTGATCGTCTTATTGAGCCTCAAACCATCGTACACTTCTTGGAATTTGCTCTTGGTCAAGGCCCACTTCCAAATGGCACTCAACCAACTGTGATTCGCATGAAACCAGAAGAAATCTCTTCTATTCAGACCAACTTCCCCCCTGGATCAAATGGCCACTCCATCCTCGATCGCGTTATGACGCGAATCGGGTCCGAGGAAGATGGAAAACGCCTGTGCCTGATCGGCAAGAACATCCAATTCCTGAAGAGGCGGCTATGGGAGGGCGTCATCCCCATGACCCAACAGCGATGGCAAGAAAAGCAGCTCGACCAGCCAGAGCATTTTGATTTCGCCTGTCAGCACCTCAGTGCTGTCATCGCTGTGTTTCAATATCTGAATGAGCCAACAGTCAGAAACTATCTCTGCAGCACGTTCAACTTGATCTATGACCATTGGACCGAGTTGGATACTTTGCTCAATCAAGCTAGAGCAGAGAAGGGCGAGGAGCGCATCAACGTCGCTGCTCTCTGGACAATGTACATGGCCGCGCTGTTTGAGATGATGACTGAGCGGGCTCACAGATGGGTGATAGTAAACGTGAATGCTCTGCGCACTCCCCTCATGAATACCCTGATTGAATATCGCCCAGTGGACGAAAGCGCTGGTCCGGATCAATTTCAATGGAAACTCACCGATTCTCTTCATATGCTGTCGCAGATCGGCGCAGATGCAGATTACACCATCATGATTCCCATGGATGGATTCAAGGGATACACCATTCCTAAGCGGACTGGTCCAAAGGGCCTGCTTACTGAGGACTGTTACAAGCGGGGAAAGGCATACCACGATCGCTTGAAGCTCCTTACTCGTGAGTACATATATAGAGGAATTGTGGAATCAAATTCCTCGGGTCTTGGAGGACATCGCAGAGAGAATTCTGGGAGGTCATACCATGAGTCAGGCGTGGCTCAGATCCAGGGTCAGGCCCAATTGAGATTAGAAACGCGTGGGCCGCCAGTTGAGCCTATCCCACGGGAGCCATGGATTACATCTAGCGAGAAGATGATTAAGGCGTCATTGGAGAAGAACAAAGATGAAAAATTCGGGATGGCTGTTTACCGGCTGACCTATGGTCAGACTGAGGCTGAATGGACGGCATTTGTCAAGAAGCTGGATGCACACGTCTCTGACTGGGGAAAAGGTCAGACTGGTAGCAGTGCTATCAAGCCAAATCTTAAACTTCACTGGTTTGATGGAAATGATCTTGGTATTCCTGAAAACGATATCGATGCAGCCAAAAAGTGAGTTCTGATGCTGGCCCTGTTATCATTAAGACACTAACGCTCGGCCAGACACTTTAACAGCACAATGAACAAAGACGAGGACCCCGAAAACCCACAGCTACAGACGAGAGCCTTCTTTGCCATTGACTCGGCGTCCTATGCTTCATATGTCACCAATTTGTACGGCCCCTCAACACCAACGGTCATTCCAGGTGACTTCACAGGATTCCTTCTCGCAGTTGACCCCGACTTCGATCCAGAAGATGGCATCGAGCGTCCAGACGAATCACCAGAGTACATTGGTCAAATGCGTGTTCTAGGTAGCCTCATCTGGAGCGATCTGTACTCATTGTTCTCAGCCCAGGCAGTCCAACTCGAAGACTTCTGGCCACTGGCAATGGAACATCCCAATCAGGTGTACGTCGGGCCGACAGTACCATGGCAGCTATACGGCTGGAGACACCAGAGTCAAATGCGTTGGCTGTTGATACGAGAGCTAGTGAACGACTGGAAACGCAAGATGGGACAACAACCAGAATTGCCTCATCCGCCGGTACCAGTACAGGAAACAGAACCGACGGCCGTGCCTTTTCCACACGCTCCAGTACCAGAACCAGCATCAACAACAGCAGTCCCACCAACATCAGTACCGGAGCCACAGCAACCAGAATTACCCAGACCTAACCAGAACAATATTCCTGTTTCGCTAGAAGCGGCAAATCCACCCGAAGAAAATCCTCACGTTGATACCGCCCTTCGTTCATATATGCTGAACGATTTCCGGAGATACCTGCGTGCCAATGGTCAGGATGTTCAGGCAGCTATGGCTACTGAACTGCTCAGTCTACAACCTGGTGAGCAGCCAGACGGGGAGCGTATGCGACGGCTGGCGGATGAAGAACAGCAGCGACAGGAACAGCGGAGGAGAGATGGACTACCTCCAAATGATGAGGATCGTGGGGAGTATCAGCCTGAATGTCCGTTGCAGTAGATGTGCTGTTGAAGGTCAAGTGTAAAATGTGTTACCCAACTGCCACGCGCACGGTTCAATTTGGGAGATTTTGCTCTCGTCTATCTTGAGCTACGTAGCTCTTCCATTGTAGCGGCACGAATTTTGAGATTCAGTTGAAGATCAACGTACAATTAGCACTGATTTCAAGTCAAGTCAATACGTATCATTACTCGAAAATTCGGCTAATAGTAAAATGATGTTTCTTGCTAAATGCTTCCTCGTTCGCTTAGTCTTGATGCTCTGAGCTGAGCAAGCATCCATAGAAGACTGTAGTACAGTCAGATGGCAGGCTGGGGTATGATCCCAAGTGATGTATACAGAATCTTGAAGTAAAACGACTCTGTTGAAAGGTTTAGTTCTAAATACTATCCCGTCGGACGAAACTGGGGCTCTGGAGAGAACGGGGAAAGCTACCAACGGAGACAAGGTGGCCAACTTTGGACATGACTATAAGTCAAAGTTCAGACACAAAGCAACTAGAATGTAAGAGAAATTCTATTGGACGACTGCTGACTAGCACCAAGGCTGCATGCTTGAATCACATCGTTTGGAGATATTAAGTGAGCTTCCGCTGAGACTTCTTACCCTAGAAAAGGGTATGTCCAGCATACCTGATCCACAGGCATCCCACCCTCCGTGCTCACGCCTTTGAAGACATGTCCGCTGGGAAATCTAGCCTTTTCTGAAGATTTGTCAGCTACATTCATCCTTCACGCAGGGTTAGCACTTACTTTGCGCGCAGTCTGCAATATCGAGATGTAACACTACCAAAGCTTAGGACCGATGGAGATAGCAAATGTACTTCAGCATTGGGGTTTGTCATGATGGGAGGAATCGTTTTATCTCCGAAAATTAAAATGGCCTTCGAAGCACCGCTCTGTCTACTCCCTTCACACTCGGATAACGAGCTACTTGTGTTGGAAGTTCTCTTTGTCTTTTTATCTTTCTTGGATGATTTACTATCATACGAAATTTGTAGATGAGCACCCGTGCGGATCCCTGGAACTTGCCTTTCTGCTCTAATTCTAATCTCTCACCGAGGGGGGGAAGAGGTCATGCTTGATTCAGCAGGAACTGACGCGAGTGGTGGAACATAGTGATGAGGCAATGGAAGTAAGTGAAACTTTACTGATTGGAACACTTGAAGAAGAGGTGATATCATCAGATACCATCCATTTTAGAACAGTCTGCTAATACACTCTCATTGACACAGAACGGCAAATTAATACCATCTCAACATCCGCAAGCCCAAAACCATGCAACATGGCTACACTATTGCAAACATCAAATTGGACTTTCGAACCCTCTGGATTTGCGTGGTGGGCCTGATAGGCTGTTTTCTCGCAATTGGGCTATACATTAATTTCACCACAAGGGCCAGCCTTCCAAGTCCCTCATAGTACAATGATCTCTAACTATATCCTGTTGTACACCTCTTTGATATCTATATACAAAATTCAAGCCTCCCCATTAAGCAAAGCAAGATTATGCGCCAAATAATTCCAATCCGAATTCTCAATGAAGCTAGGATCCCAATCATTCATATCAAACCCACCATCCAAGCACATCGTACCGTTAACACCATTCTCATACACAGCCGTGTCTTCGGCAACACGCTGGCTAGACTGCAAAGCCTCATGAGCCTGTCTCACGCGCAAAGCCTTCTCCCTCAATTGCACAATCATAGGCCACTTAGCTCCAGGATCGGGAAGTTGTGGATCTTCCGTTATCTCGAAAAGCATGTTCACGACCCGCCATGATCTGTCAACGTGTGGGCCGGTTGGACAGACGCAGAGTGTCCAGAGGACGTAGGTTAATGGATGATATCCGGTGAATGTTGTTGTTAACCATCTGAATCCACGGAGAAGTTCGTCGGTGTGGATTTCGAGTCCTAATTCGATGGCGTGGCAGGCTAAATCGAGGGATCCTTGAGAGATGCCACGGTCTAGTGATGTCGATGTGGGACCCTGAGAGTGAATGATTCTCTGTCGAATGCAGACCTCTGCTTTTGCGAGCAGGAGTTGGCCTAGTAGAAGACCGAAACGCTGGATTGGGATATCGGAATCGGCATGTCTGAGATATTTTTCATGGATCTCTTTCCTGAATTCCTCGATTGCTGGGGTGGGATCTGTCGATCCGTCCAGGGTGCGCAGCAGCATTCGTCGACCTTTGTTAATTTCCATTATCACGAGTGCATAGGTCATAGCCGTCCATTGGGCTTGGGATTCGACCGGGGTGTCATTGAGCCCAGTCAAGATTCCATCATCGATGTTCAAGGGCATTTCCGTATCACCGTGGTCATTTTCGGGGACGCTCAGACCATGGTCTTCTGCGACGCGCTCATCTGCAGACTGGATCTGCCACCAAAGTCGCCGTCGTAGTTCACATTCCAACTGAGGAAGTTTGAAATGTTTGCCGTCGCGTTGTAGACCAATTGACTGCGCAGCTCGAATGGTCATACCCTGTAATGTCCAGCCAGATCGGCCGCTATTACTATAGCGGAAGCAAGTCTATAATCCATCTATCAGTCAGAAATCGCACATCCAAAAGGCGATCGTCATCACGAACCTGATAAATGACCATTGCCTGCAACGATGTAATAGTAGGCGCATCCAGGAACTCAGCCTGGTACAACGAAATCTCCATCCCCTGCTGGTATTTCCTCAGATCCAAATGCAAGCTCTCATTTTGAGTATCATCGGAGATAAAGGCCGTAGTAGCGGCAAAATAGATAGCAAACAAAAGTGCGCGAACATCAGAGCGCACGCTCTCAGGCCGATTAATTGCAGCAAAAATGTGCGACTGCGTCGATGGGATGTGCAGTACTTTAACCAGCGGATCAACTCGGCTTAGGAATGCCTGCCAAAGCAATGTCGCCTGCCATCGACTCGGATATAACTCTTTCAGGTCAACCTGCGTCAACAGCGGATTCGCTATTAGACCCTCTGCGCGCAAGACTGGTGGGCGGCGCGGACTGCTATGCTCGCTCGGCGAGCCGATTGCAGACTGGAGTTCTTTCTCTTTGTCGAGGACTCTTGAGAGGAGAGGTTCATTAATGTAGCGGCCGTCTTTTGAGAGAAAGCCTTGATCTGGTGGTTTAGATTTGGCTTGGACATCTGATTTGACAATAGATGGCAATGTACTTGTACTTGTGGTTGAACTTGCACTGTTACCAGTACCACCCGTCAAGTCGGATTTAATATCCAAACTGCTATCCGTCGGTGCACACGGTCGCTCATTGACCATCGCGGCGATAGACCGCTCCAGCTGTTCCAGCCGCGCTGCAACATCTGTCATACTCTTCTTCGGGGGTTGGCGCTTCACCCGGCTCGGGCCGGGGTATTGGCATGCTGTGTTTTGTCGCACGCATCTGCTGCAAGGGGTTGATTTGTCGCATTTTAGTTTGCGCTCGTGGCAGCGTAGACAGGAGCGCTCAACGTTGTAGCGGCGTTGGGGCTCCATTTTTGTGGGTGTATTAGATGTGCTTTCATGTATTTGATTTGACTAGAAAGGCCTTTTCTTGCACGATGTGATTGTTTGAATATTCAGGATATGAAGATGAAGTTGTTCGGTCGCGGTGATTCGGGTTTCGGTCGTTCGTGAAGTGCCGACTGCCGAGATTTTTCGTGCCTCAGGTGTAAGGCGTCCGTCGCTGCATGGATCTGTGTTTTCTACATCCATTGGGTATTCTTACTGATTTTGATTATTCTTGTGTGGGAATTGTTACACGCTCATACATGAATAGAAGATAGTCTTGCGATATGATGGTCCTAAGGCGAAAATAAAGAAAGAGTTCAAGATTGTCGAGTTCGTTATATTTCAGGGCATCAACGAAAACGGAAGGAATAAAGACGTCTTACAATCAAGTTTCGGTGGTAAAGATCAATACGTAAGAACGAAGAAGTCCTGAAGAAGGTACGTTCATTTTGCCCATATTCCCCCTCTTCATTCGTGTCTATTCGGAAGGTTGACGATCACCCTGACAAGCCTGAAAACTAAACGAAAACATAGATTGAATATCCGAAGACCACATATATGCCCAAATTAATAGAATCACGCTAATGAAACACCCACCCATTCCCATAGTATTAACTTAAAACGCTAGAACCACAATACAAAAACCAACCCGAAAAGAGGAAATAGATCAAGAAATAAGTAAATCCATCACACTCATCCCCTTCCTCCTCTGCGCCTCTGGAGGAACAGCAGCCCTATTCTCAGGCGGAGGAATAAGCGCGGTGCCAGCCGAGAAATGCTCATTAATAGAATCAGCAGTCCCCCTCCGATCCCGAGTCAGCATAAGCAAAGCAGCGGAAGCCTCGTGATCAACCCCCTGAAGCTCATGCATCTTCTCCTCAGAGGCCCAAATAGGACCCAACGCCGGACTGGGGAGAACAGAAGCAGCAGCTTCAGGGATATTCTGAGCAGAGGGAATCTGAGTGCGAGGAGAGAAGGAAGGAGATGTATCCGGTATTTGCATTTGCATTTGCGTGTTCATGGCAGGATCAAAGCAGACAGGTGATGCAGATGTGGAGTAGGAGTATGTAGAGGAAGTTTCGCGCATTTCTTCAGGTTCGGGGCCGTTTTCCATGATGAATTCTGGGGATGTGGGGGAGGGTGGGGCGGCTGGGGTATGGGATGGGCCGGCGGTTTTGAGGTCTCGGATGCATTTTTCTAGATAGTTGACGTAGTCGATGCTTGCCTGGGGTGGTTGTTAGCGTTGTGATTAAGCATGTTGTAGAGGGGGGGGGGCTTGAGCGTACCTGCAGAATGGCTAGCTTATGCATCTCCTGTCCCGTGCACGCTGGGATCATATCCTTCAATGTTCCGAACTCTTCATTCATTTTTGATCGTCGACGACGTTCAATTAGACTGTGAGCTGTTTTGCGGGCAATCTTCCGTCCTGCGGCACTAGTTGCACTAGGCTGCTTCTTCTTCGAAGTGGTAGTATTGGCTGCCTCATTGGGACTCTGAGGCAAACCTTTACTGTCCTTCGACTTGGACGAACCCTTCGACACAGCCGGGGACTTTGGCTTCATCTGAATAATCTTGCGGGTTCGAGTAGGAGGCGGAGGCAGATCAAAGTCCTCCAGTGGTCGCTTCATACCACTACCCGAGCGAGCAGCTTGGGAACCACGACGTCCAGACAGATCCGGTGACGTGGGCGAAGCAGGTATATAAGATGGATCAGAACGAGAGGAGCGTCTACTCTCATCTGTTGGGCTCAATGCGGCAGGAGGCAGAGCAAAGACATCGGTGCCCTCAGGCTGGTCTTTGATGATGAACTCGCCAGACATGGCGGGGGTGGGAGGAAAAGACATTTCGAAGCCAGTTGTGTAATGAAGATAGAGAGCATCTGCAAGGGATCCCAGACTATTATACCGTTCTCGTTCATAGAGTGTCGCGTGCTTATATGCCCACGAGCCACAACGGGGGCCTCTGATTGGTCGAGTGGAGCTCGTGCCTCAGTGAGCAACGGGCATTTGTTGGTTATTTGTGGGGCTCGAGCTTATCATGATGTACAGGGTACTTGGTTGGCTAAGGGTCTACCCCTTAATTCCAGGTACCCTGTACAAGCCATGTTGGGGATCAGAGAGGTAGCCCAGCACGTGCAGTCTCTCTCTTCACTCCTTCTCCTCCTTTTCGTTAGTCTTTGGTGAGAGGGTGATCTTTTACTCTTTCCAGAGATGGACGTGGCGATATTCAGTGTCTTCATGGGTTTCCTGGTACATGTGTAGTTGATCGGCAGTTGCTCAACTCCCCTCTCTGATTGAGCACATGCACAGTTCCACTCGCTGATCTACAGTACGGAGTAATGATATAATCCCAATTGACTTAAATTCATGACTAGATAGGAGATACATTATGGTGTACACAGTACCAGATTACTGTTCACAAAACAAAAGAAAATCCTTCAATCATAGCACATGTTCCATAACTCAGCACCTCATCCACTCCCTCCTTTTCCCCTTTTATACAGAAACACTCAAATGCGGAAATTGGCAGGGTTACACTTCTCCGTGCAACGCAAATAAGTCGACCAACTACCCACTAATTAGCAAACATCTTTCCACCCAACTTATCATCCAACAAGAAAAGGGGCACTAACCAAAACTTATCATCATCAGGAACAGCCAGCGTACAAGTCTGAGCCTCCAAAGAACAAAGCTCATGACAATGATTAACATTAACATGGTTAATACCATGCGAAGGACGACCATGCACAGGAACATGGGTAGCATTCTTAGCAGACGCCGTAGAAAGAGGAACTCGACCACGTGTACCCGTTGTGGTAGCGTTATGGGCACCCGTTGCATTAGTGGGCACATGGACTGCGATGCGGGCGCCGTGGTATGGCCCCGAGAGGCGGGGCATTGCGATGACTGTACTGGCTAATGTGGCCGTTATGGTGAAGAGGGTTGTGAAGTGCATTGTGGATAGTGGTGGGGTTCTGTGCTCAATTGTAATAGTATGCGGTGGTATAGAGCTGGACTTTTATGAGTACTGGGTGATGATCAAGTGGGTTGGGTTTGTATCAATCTGGGGTGAGGTTTACGACGCTTTATATAGACGTCGGTTTTGATAGCAACCTTAATCTGGGGGCTGGCTGTCAGGCCTACCGGTGGGCTGTAAGGAATTTCATGGCTTGCAGTGTTGCATATTGGCGTTTGGGGGGGACTATACTGGTAGTTGGGACGGGTGATCACTGGGTCACCGCATTCCACATTCCTGGGGGGTTGGGCTCACTTCTTCTGTCACTTGCTGCATTGTATCGACTGACGGCTGTCATATTTTGGGATATTGGGTGTAATGATATACCTGTGCTTTGTTCAATGCAGACATAACAGAGCATCATGAAAGCAGTGCCCGCGCAAGCAAAACCTATTCAGTGCAAGTCAACATGTCACATAGTCCTCACATTCCAACGCGTGGCGATCACAACCCACAAACCAATAACAAGGCCAAAGAGAAAATAGAAACGAAGCTTAGCTCAGTTCGGCTTCTATAGTATGTGGACCATGGCTCGACATGACAGGACGACCGGCCAACGAGCAGGGGAGGGGAGTAGAAAAAGCTCCTAAGTTAGTTCTCATTCCAATTGGCAAAAGTCTTCAGGAGGCTGAACACTCTATGCCCTTGCATGTATCCGTATTCTATTCATTCTCATCAACCTGTATTCGGATAATGGGTTCTACAACCATCTCACAATCAGTTATGCTCTTAAAATTGATGCATGGGCTATCTAGTCGGTCTAAATACATGCAATTGTATCTCCCCCACAAATCTAACCAAACACTCTCTTAATAAGGATTTCACCAAAGTTATCCTCAGCAGGCGATCCATCCATCCGCCAGATACGGTTTCCAGCACTGCCACTCAACCAAAGTCCATGATCACTGGAACTCTCCTCTTCACCTTCGATCCGGTGCCGGTTCCGACGATCAATAACACACATACCGCGAGTCCACTGACCAAGCGTATCAATGCGAATATCCTCAGGCGAGTTCTCAGATGGAAGCCACTTAGGATCTTCAGCGGTAATGGCATACCAAATGCAAACAGGGTCATGCAGACTCAATTGAGCATCATCACCTTCATGGCCAGGGTGCAGACGCTCAAGGGTTTTGAAGGTATGGCCCATGAAAGCGTCAACCCATTCAGCGAGCGGGGATCCACCCGCCAAGAGGGGGGTAATAGCTTCGCGGAACTGGCCGCGGGAGAGGTTATGACGGAGCGTGATATCCAGAGGGAACAGACGCAGTGTGAGTTGGCGACTGAGCTTGGTTGGGTAGGGTGGTAGCTTGTCGCTCTTAGTTGGCGGCACTGTTGTATTTGGGTTTGGCGATGTCAGGGCGAAGACTCGAGCGGCAGCAACTGCGTCTGCGTAGGCGTTGAATTCGCCCATCGGGGTTACGTTTCCTGGTTGGTTGATTGCGCCGCCCATTACTACTACTTCCTTTACTCGGAGAAAGGTTTCGGGGTCTTCTGCTGCGGCTAGAGCCAGGTTGGTCAGTGGACCGACTGCGACTAGGGTCACGGAGTCGGGCTCATTGTCACGGAGGGCACGGAGAATCTCCTTGTGTGCTGGCAGCTTGGAGGGCGTGAAGGCGCGCTCGCTATCGGAGGTTACGACTGCTGGAATGCCTTCTTGGTCCACGGTCGTATGGAATAGATGTTCCCAGGCCTCAGTCGGTGTGAGATGTGGGTGCTAATAGATGTCAGTTTATTCTAGGTTGTATATGGAGAAATGGAGTTCACATACACTAGCATGGATACCACCAAGTCCATCGGTACCATCTGCAAATTACGTCAGAAGGGATATTCAGAGTTGCCTTGGTCCAAGGCGATACATACGGAAGTAATCAGCCAGCATCTTCTGATTTTCGAGAGGGTTCTCAGCACCGACGGCGATAATAGGACGGTAAGCGCTCAAGGCGCCAAAACCCTCAGGTCGGCCTTTCTCGCGGCGCCACTGCATCTCCTGCTCAAGGATGTGGAACATTGAGACGGCATTGCGGAGGCAACTAGGGTACAGTCAGCAGGATGGGGATTGACTAATTTCTGGCACGATCTTACTTCTTCACTTCGATGTTTCCAAAGGTCAACGAGATGAGCAGAACCTCAACCTCCTCAGGCGTGGCGGAGAGCGCCAGCAGGAGACCGAGGACATCGTCAATGCCCTGTTATAGTCAGTAATTGCTCAGCGAAGATTGCTCAAGGTACGTACCGGGTCAGTATCGATAATAATCTTCTTTCCCATAGTGAGTAGTTTGTTGTTAAAGCTTGAAGCTTGGAAGTGGGAGCTTATCGGTTATCAGCGGGGTTGGCAAATGCCCCTCAGGAGGGGGCAACTATCACATTTATATGATTCTACTTGGCCACCTATGCTATTGCTGCAGGGCGGCTCCGGCCTGGACTTAATGGTTGCAATTATTATGGTTGCGTGAATTTAAGGCTTGCGAGTTTCACTTTGTTTTCTTATCATGTTGGTGGATATATATGTTGCACTTGTCCACACGAAATCACTTAGCCTACTTATATATCACTCTGTAAGTATTGACTTTCTCCTCAGAGCATGTCTTTATTCACAAATTATCATGATGTTCTTACCCCACAAGTCAAGTTGCATGTTTAAAACTGCCGAGAATGTCAACACCGACGGAATCCGGAGCATAGATCTAGCAAGACTATGTAAATCAACATGTCAATTAGTTTGACTGACCATCAAGCTGATAGCCTAAGACACAATAGTTTCTCTTATCAAGTAGTGATGGTTTGTAAGAAGGAGTGGATAGGGCATTAGAAAACGCAATTATTGCTAGATTCAGGGGCGAGAAACACTAAGATCCATTTACAAAAACGCATCCATGCACCTGGACCCACAAAATGCCCGGGGGATAGTCGGGATACATGTACATTCGTCGTCACTCAGTATGGAGTTGAAGTAAGTTACATGGCTCTCAAGTTACATGTACCTTGCGTAAATGTAAATTTGAAGGTCATTCATAGAGTGCGCACGCTAATCTACATTCGTCTACGGTGTCAAGGCTAGAAGTCAATTACACTTGAGCAATAACACTATATTGTTGCCTGTCTCCCGGGATACACGGGCCCACAAATAGCTTAACCACAGCACGGTTCTTCCATAGATTGTGCTCTCTGCGCTTGGACATGCCAGAGTGTTTGTTTGGTTTGCTCCGGATGTCGGGAATACCTGCACGATGTGTACAAGACGCCACCCCATGCAGGTGTATGACAGGGTGACCAATGACAGAGAAAGTGCAATTGTTCTCGGATGCTGGGTGCTGCAGTGGTGGTTGGCCAGGGATATATTCGGACCTTAGCCCCAATATCCGTGCATTCTCTTCATGACCTCGTGGCCAGCGCGAGGGCTACTGCAAGGGAGTGAGATCCCCTACCGGCGATCGAAGTGGAGGGTAAACACAGCCGAGATATAAAGAGAAGGCGGAGAAACTAAGGCGGAGACGTGGCCTTACAATAGTACAGTAATTTACCTGACAGTGGCAGTGATATACAGTACATATATTAGCGACAAGTATCAGAACAATAATGTTAGAGATTGAGTAATAAATAAGATATAGGAATGGTCATGTACCAAGTTCTAGGAATAAATAGTTCTAGATTGGCCAATATCAAAGCCAAGGTCTTGGTGGCCAAGTTTACCATTACCATACGATACACGGCCCCTTTGGATCACTCTGTCCTTTTCTCGACTCCTCTCCTTTCCTTCTTCTTCACTTCACGTTCTTTTGCGCCATTGCGCTTCTTCTTTCACGCCAGCTGTCTCTTCTCCCAACATCTTGACTACTTTGACACGGCCCATTGAGCATTTGACAGCAACACCGCCCCGAGTTGGATTTCCATTTTGGCAATCTGTCCCGGGTCGCATAGTGCCGATCAATTCTCCGGAGTTTTCATCTGCGAGCTTCGCTATTGACGTTCGCGACGAGAACACTGGTGAGTTCCTGGCGCATTTCTTCCGGTTTCGAATGCGCATGCTAACGCAATCGCGTTTCCCCAGCTTTTCGTCCCGCCTCCGACTCCTGATCCTACCTCTCATTCATCCTCCCCCTGACAGGCTTCTTCTGTCTGATAGTAAGTCGATGCTACCCACTACCAACCTTGATGGTGCTGACTGATGAGTGCACAGCACAATGAACCCATACATCAGCTGGGCAATCCTGCTCGTTGTGGCTGGTGGCCTGGGTTGGTACTACACCAATGGCAACGCTCCCAAGGCCAAGACCGTGGTGCGATCTGCCGTCGAAAAGACCGAGACTACAGTAGCCCCGAAGAAGGCGAAGCGCAAGTCTAAGCCTGCCGACGCTAAGAAGCCCGAGGTTCAGACCGTGATCTCCCCTCCCACCACCGAGGATGAGAAGCCCGACGCCGAGATTGACCACAAGGAAATGGCCCGCCGCATGGCTGGCATTAAGACTGGTGCCCCCGCTCAGCCCGCTCCCTCCAAAAGCCAGAAGAAGAAGACCAAGAAGTCTTCTCAGCTCGAGGTCAGCGACACTCGTGCCTCTTCCACCACCGGCGCTGAGGGTGACGATGATCTGTCCCCCGCTCCCTCTCCCCAGGTGAATGCTACTTCCTCCGCCGGCTATGTCTCCGACATGCTCGAGGCCCCCGCCCCCGCCGCCAGTGTCCTCCGTGTTACCGGCAACGTTGAGAGCCAGCCCAAGAAGCAGAAGGTCCAGAGCTTCAAGGAAGTTGAGACCAAGAAGCAGCGCCAGAACCGCCTCAAGAACGAGGCCCGCAAGCAGCAGGTCCAGGAGGCCGAGATTGAGCGCAAGAAGCTTCTTGAGAAGCAGCTGCACACCGCTCGCGAGTCCGAGCGTCGTGAGGCTGCCCGATCCGCTCCCGCTGCCAACGCTTGGCAAACCCAGGAGATGAAGAAGCCCGTCACCAACGGCGCTTACGCTGCTCCTGCTCCCGTCGCCCCCGTCGTTCCTGCCTCAACTGTCTTGGACACCTTCGAGGAGCCCGCTCAGCCCAAGAAGTGGGCCCAGAACCTCCCCTCTGAGGAGGAGCAGATGCGTCAGCTCGGCGTTGCCAATGGCGACGACGAATGGACCACTGTCTCCAAGAAGGCCCCCAAGAAGAAGGGTGGCAAGACTGACGAGAGTGTTAGCGAGACTAGCGCCTCGGAGAACCAGTCCGCCCCTGTGGCCCCTGTCCCCGTTGAGCCGCGCGTGACGGTGACCCCTACCTACCTCCCTGATATCTATCGCTCCCGTGAGAAGGGTCACCCCTTGGACTCTGACTGGGCCGCGTGATTTCCATCCCGGTCATGTTCTATCTTCTGACCTGTATTTATTACCCATTGTTTGATTTTTTTTTTTGGCGTTTTGTGGGTGTCTCAAACACCCTCCCCTCGATGAGGGCTGGAGGTCGCATTACATGTAACAGCGAATTTGGCGGAATCCCAGTTGTGGACCAGGACCGCGAAAAAAGCAGAATTGCGGGATCTGATGTGTATGTTTTGAGTCTAGCTATTGCAATGAAACCATCTCTATGTAATAAATGCGCAAGAATGTAGAGAGTCAATAGTATATCAATGTTGTGTCGTCACTATTCCTAAACCGGTTTAGCGGCGAGTTCCGGGCATCGTGGCCTGAAGTGGCTTTGTATACAGCTCCACCTTGGTATTTACACCCTCTTTCTTCCCCAACTCTCTTCACTTCTATCTCTCTTTCAATTCTCTACCTACACCATGGCCCAGATCCGTGGCACCGCGGGCTACAACCTCGGCCACCAAAACCCGTTCGGCGGGCCCGGTACCGCAGATGCTACCAATGACCCAAGTCCGCTCGACGCCATTCGCGAGCAGACAAGCAAGATCGAAGACTGGCTGGACACAATGGCCGACCCAGTGAAGCCGTACGTGTCGTTCGCTCTCTCTCTCCACTCGAAATACTCGATTTTTCGCGTCGTAGCTCGAGTCGCGAGAACCCGCAAAACAAGGGATCCCAAAAACAAGCACTAACACCGTGTTCTTCTTCTCAGGTACCTTCCCGCCATCGGCCGATTCCTGATTGTCGTCACCTTCATCGAGGACTCGCTGCGCATCCTCACACAATGGAACGACCAGCTCCTCTACCTCCGTGACTTCCGGAAGAGTAAGAACCCTCTGCTAGGACCCTGATCCGCGCACCTCAAGGCGAGGCCCACATCACCAGATAGATTGTGTCTAACACGATGTTTGCGCTGGTTATAGTTCCCTGGGGAATCACGCACACCTTCCTGATCGTCAACGTTATCGCCATGGCTGTCTGCTCGTCCCTCGTCATCGCCCGCAAGCGCACTGAGTACGCCGTGGCTGGTTTGCTGGCTGTTGTTATTACGCAGGGTCTCGGATACGGTCTCATCTTCGACTTGAACTTCTTCCTTCGCAACTTGAGTGTTGTTGGTGGCTTGCTTATGGTTCTTTCCGACTCGTGGGTGCGCAAGAAGTTCGTTCCCGCTGGTTTGCCTCAGCTTGATGAGAAAGATCGCAAGATGTACGTCCAGTTCGCTGGTCGTGTGCTTCTGATCTTCCTGTTCATTGGTTTTGTCTTCTCCGGCGAGTGGAGCTTCTGGCGCGTTATTGTCAGCTTGTTCGGTCTCGTTGCTTGCGTCATGGTTATTGTTGGGTTCAAGGCCAAGTGGAGTGCTATCATTCTGGTTGTTCTGCTGAGCTTGTTCAACGTTTTCGTTAACAACTTCTGGACTGTAAGTTTCCTTTAAAGATTTACTTGTTTCGTGACTGACAGTTTTCAGCTCCACGCCCACCACCCTCACAAGGACTTTGCCAAGTACGACTTCTTCCAGATCCTGTCGATTGTGTATGTACCCCAACTCCAATTAAAATCCAATTCTAACCAATGTCAGTGGTGGTCTGCTCCTCCTGGTCAACATGGGCCCCGGCCAATTGAGCATGGACGAGAAGAAGAAGGTCTACTAGGGTAGAATGGAGAAATAATTCCCTTCTCTCTATATAACTCATGGAACTCGAGCCGACAAGCAAAATCAAGGAACTGGAAAAACAGGGGCGACACAGAGCTCTGCGGGCTCCGAGCATCTAGTCTCCCTCGAACCTTGATCAGTTGAGGCTTCATGTCCGTGATGGGCGTTCTTTGCTTTTGGGATTTTTGGCGAGCCGATGAAGTATATCATCTGGCTCTGTCTCTTTTTGTTTTACTTCAAATTTTGCGTCATGGTCTGCTCGAGATCAAAAGGACATGATATGATTGTCTACCTGCATACGATGTTTTGCCATGCATTTGAATTGCATTTATCACGAATGACAAGTTGAATGGAAGAATCATCCAAGTTTAATACACCTGATACACTCATCCAGAGTATAAGATCTACTTCTTCTTAACCATCAACAAAACACCCTCCCCCTTGCCCTTAACAACCATCTCCTCCTCTGAAACCCCAGCCTCCCTCAAACACCTCTCAATCATTCTTCTCATCAACCGAATAACATCCCCCTCAGTCCCAACCAACCCAGGATTCGCCTCCCGCCATCTCGTAACCGGACTAGCAGTACCCATAGCAACCTCAAAACCATCCAACCCCATAATCCTCTCACCATGCAAAAGGAACTCATTCCCAGCAACCCTAGTATCAATGCCCCCCTCAGTCCCCCACTCCCTCCTAACAAAACTCTCCTTCTCAAACCCCTCACCAGAACCCCCACACTCCCAAGGCAAAGGCAAGCCAACATAAAGCCCCCTAACAAGCCGATTCCCCTCCTCAAAGAACGCCTCAAGCTCCCGCTCCCGAATAAGATCCATCCCAGCACGGATAGCCTCAGCATTAGGCATATCATCAGCAGGCCCATCAACATTCATAGCCCAAATCGCAACAGTACCCCCCGGTTTTAACAACCGACCAGCCCGCTCCCAGAAACGAGGCATATCAAACCAATGAGCAGCCGTAGCAGCCGTAATCAAATCAACACTCCCATCCTCCACAACTAATCCCTTCAATCCACGTCCCAATTCCTCAGCACCGGAAACACAGAATTCGATTTCCTCTCCACTCAAGCTCTTCCCACCAAGACTCTTTGCAGTCTCGATCATACCAGGTGACGCATCGAACCCGATAGCACGGTCGAAATAGACTGCTAGATCGCGGGTTGCTGGGCCGGGCCCGCAGCCGACGTCTATTAGGGTTTTTGTTTGGCCTCCTGTTCTGGTGTGGTGGGCTAGGAGGGCCTTGTAGAAGTTTGGGTGATAGGTGCTGCGGGCTTGGGCGTATGTTTTGCCTTGGGTTGGCGTGTAGGATTTGAAGGTTGCTTCGGGGGGCATTTTGATGCTTATTTATGGTTGGATAGTTTGTTTAGTGGAATTGGATATGGTAAAGAGCGTAGTTCGGATTGCTTTGGTGAAATCGGGACAGTGGAAGACGGATAGTCAGCTTTCAATTGAGTCATGTCATGATTCGAGGTTCGGGAGAGGGCCGAGCGAGTGGTCTCAGCTCTGTATCGGATCTCGGCAGGGTGTCAGATTCGGGGATCTCGGGGCTATATCGCATTTGCAACTTCACTGGTTGTTTCTTGTATCTTTCGAGGAAATGTACCCAGAGCCCTCTAGTCAACCCAAATTCACCCATTGCCACCTGACATTCTTATACTCATCCTCAGTCTCCGACTTCAGTCCACCTATCATTCGGCCTGTAGATCATCCTCCGATTCGCAGCCCCAAATCGTTCCCAAGGATCCTTTTCACAAGCAGAAATAAACCAATCCTCACGCATCTTATCAGAAAGCTTGTGCTGTCCCTCACTCATCGATTCTAGCTTATTAAGGAATAAATCGAGAAGATCAAGGGCATAACATGCCAGCCCTTTGGGTGAATTCTCTAGCGTGGATCGCTGATCGAAATGGTAGCCGTACAGTTCCGTTATCTCAACAGAATGATTCGGTGTTCTTCTACTTATGGGAGAATACAAGAACAACATGAGAACCAAGTTGATTGGATGCATCATGATGGAATTATTTCCGATGACGCAGCTCGGTTCCTGATCTGCACTAGCCTTGAGTCACAACAAATCCTGCTCACAAGCGGTATGCAAGCCACCACAAGAGCCAAGAAAGAGTGAAGCTCACAAACAAGAGTTCTAGTGAATGACTAGTGTTATTACTCAATCGCCCGATCTTTTAGGTGTGTATCATATATGTAGTGCTACGAATATATGTGCTCGATAGACCGGGATTCAATTGTGCCTCGTCTCCAAGGAGTTTTAGTAAAATCTTGAGTCATGTAGGCAGATCTCCAACTGCGTTTGGCCAGCAATGATCAGGAGATAACTCATACAATGACATCACCATGGTAAGATCGTTGTGGGCAACTAGGAAGGATATCAGATCCAAAGGCGACCGGCAGTAGAACCATGCATGCAGGGTTGCAAATGCACGCAGGTTACGCTCAGCTGGTAGAGCTCTATGCGCTACATCACATTTAGAGTTCTGTTGCCTTATTTACCGCAAATCTTGTGTCGCCTCTCGACGGAGGTAATTATGCAACATTCGGTCACAATCCTGTTATTCGGACGCTGGTACATTCATTTTTATATGAAGTGATAGTACCCACGCCGAAACCTATGTCGATGTGGAAGGATAAGAGGCAAACACCCAATGTTGCATGCATATATCACATTCCCGGGACAGCTTGGTGTTCCGGTGAATAGACCGTCGTTCTACTTTCCTTGAAAAATGATGTTTACTCTTGAAATTAACAAACTTTAATTAATAAGTCAAATCGCAGGGCAAATGTATAATGCACAAGGTGAAGTTTTGTTGAGAAGTGATGAGCGTGATAAATAATCTATACATACCGTCACATCAACAGTATTAAGCCAAAAGTTGCCATTTTCTTAGAAAAATAATCCTTCATTCTGAAGATTAACCCGATATTTCCATCATCAGAACGGGAAACCCCATGCTTATTTCCGTCGAGAATAGTAGAGCCAGAAGTGCCAGTACGGTTGGCCCCCAAGCTGCATGCTAGTTTAGTATGCGTTATCTGAGAATGGCAGTGCGGGCTGTGTACTCGATTGCATGGTTTTCGTACCTGGATTGACCTCATCATTATCCACTAGACGTTGATTTTACCCTTGTAGGGAACAGTGGAAAGGTTAAGTACAGCATACAAGCTAATAAGAGCGCCCTCCGGGCGCCCTGCAAGGTAAAGTCTTGGAAGGTAGGCTGGCTTAGGGGAATTAGCCAGATCACAATTGCTACTATATGTATACACATCTCTCGGTTTTGATGATGTGGCGTGGCAGACTGTCTGCCAGTCTATCAGCCAATGAGAGGTCCGGAATAGGTTGCTACTTGCATACATGCGCAGCTATAAATATCTGATTTGGAATCGGTGAAAATCGACCAAATACATCATAGTTATAAGAAACCTGGAAAATATTTCGAGGTGATGCAGTGTCAGTAGATATCGGTGCATCGTGGCCCAAGGTAATGACGTGTGAGCAGTATTCTCGGGGTTCTCTATGGTGCTCGCAACTAGATATTTAACAGACCATCCTTCCTCTTGAAATGTCTACCAGAACATTCCAGCCATCAAGACTAAACCTTCTGCTTCTTCTTTCTCTCATTTCTTTGAGAATAATACAGTCATGTTGCCTAGGAGCCAGGATTCCCCGAAACACTTTGTACCTGATTCCGTTCCCGTTCCCCGAGAAGCCTATGAGAGAGAAGAGTACTTCTGTAAGTTCACTCCTCGCATACACCGTGATGCACATCTTGCCGATTCAGGGTGTTGGCAATGTCAGGTGGACCTTTTGGGTTCCCAAGGGGCAGCTCATGCTGCAGCGGTTCGGAGCGGAAGCAACAAAAGCTACGCTGTTGGTTGTATAAATCCCACCGTGGGTAACTTCACAGCTCTTTGTGCGGTGGAAGCAATTCCTGAGCGTCTTGCTTTGATTTCATACATTGTTGAGTATGCATACGTGCACGATGATTGTAAGAGACTCGCCACGTTTAAAGCGTCCAGGTAAACTAATCAAAGACCGCAGTAATTGAATATGCCGAAGAGAAACGCGATTCGGAGGTGATTATTGGCTTTCGATGCACTGAGTGTCTTTAATGCATCTTCTAACAAATCACAATCTCCAGCTCTACAAAGCAAACAAGCAACTCACAGAGGGTCTCGAGGAATATGGGAATGAAAAACTATCTACGAGAAGCAATGTGAAGCGACAAATGCAGGCGAAGATGGCTACTGAACTTCTGGATCTCGACTTAGAGCAGGGTCAAACTATTCTCCGTCTCTGGAAGGAGATGTCAAACGTGTTTGTGGATATCAGAGATCTTGACTTCCAAACATTGGAGGACTATTTCATATTTCGCGCTGTTGATGCTGGATGCCCGTAGGATATCATGTTCTAGCGGCCCCGATAAGTATTTTTTAGCTAATTTCTCTGGACAGATGGACCATGGCCTTGATGTGCTTCTCTATGGATTTCTATCTCACGGATGAGGAGACAGCACAGACTTCCAGCATTACAAGTGCTGCATATGACGCTTGGGTTCTGGTGAATGACTACTTTTCTTGGGAGAAAGAGTACAAGAATTACGAAGCCAACGGGAGCACTGGGCAGATTGTTAGTGCCGTCTTTCTGTTCATGAAGTGGCATAACATCGATCAGTCCACGGCTAAGAAAATGCTTCGAGGGGAGATTATTTCTCGCGAGGAAAGATACTGCCAGCTCAAGGCGGATTACTTCGCTCGCGGAAACGTGACAAGCAGGATTATCAAATGGTTTCAGTTGCTTGATATTGTCACAGCTGGAAATTTTGTGTGGAGCATGACCACTGCACGCTATCATGATGACGCTGAAGATGCGTATCCGGGTTTGCGGGCTGTAAATCAGAAAAAGAAAGACTCTCGTCCTTTCAGCAGCCTAAGCACACCGATCGCGCCGCTTAGGATAAATGCGAAAAGGCAACAATCAGTGGGGCTTGTAGCTCCGGATTCCCCTGGCAGCCTTGGATCCAGCTCGGATAGTGAGGTCGACACTGGACTCACAAGCCCTGCTTCATCGAAACCTGAGCAGCGAAAGGATAGCATCCCCGTCCCTCTCCCGGCATTTGAAGAAGTAAGCCCCACAGCCTCAAGGTCCTGAATATGTACTGAGCAAAATACAGATTTCCTTGGAGCCCTACGTTTATTTGAAATCTCTACCATCGAAGGGAGTGAGAAACGCGGCAATTGATGGCCTTGATGTCTGGTATCAGGCCCCTGAACGATCTGTTATTCTGATTCAAGAAATTGCCGATTTGCTGCACAGTTCCTCCCTAATGTATGATTTTTCTGCTTCTTCTTTTTCTTTCTTTTTTTTTCCCGCGTCAATAGGCCAGATCATTAACAACTACAATATAGGGTTGATGATATACAGGACAACTCACCATTGAGACGCGGCTTCCCAGCTACGCATATGGTTTTTGGTATTGCCCAGACAATCAATTCGGCTAATCTTCTGTTGCTGAAGGCCTTAAAGGCTGCGATGACACTGTCAGCTAGTGCTGTCAATATTTTCACAACCAGACTGCTCGAAGGACATATAGGCCAGGGAATGGATCTAAACTGGACAAACCAGACGCACGTGCCGACGGAGGAAGAGTACTTTACTATGATTGACGGTAGTATGTTGAATCAATTACTTTTCCAGCACTCGCTACGACGCTAATCATTATTATGTTACAGAAACGGGCGGGTTATTTGTTCTCATAGCCCAGTTGATGCGCTCCGAGGCAACGACAAACAAAGGCCTTGATGTATCAACTCTCATGAAGGCCGTAGGCAGGTTCTTCCAAGTCCGCGATGACTTCCTAAATCTTCAAGATGCGGATGTATGAGGAACCCCTTCTCTTTCTATGGTGTCATCATCTCCCTTTCCTTTTTGTTGTCTATCAGCCGCGCTAATCCAATTGTGTCGATAGTATACGAAGAAAAAAGGGTTTGCAGAGGATCTAAGCGAAGGCAAGATCTCTCTACCGCTTATCCATACCTTGGCAGAGCAATCCCAGCATCGCAGCCGGCTACTCAATATCCTACAGCAGCGAAAAACGGGTAGATTCCTTTCTCCCGAGCTACGGAAGCTAGCATTGGACGATATTACCGCCACTGGCGGGCTAGATTATACAAAGAGGACCCTATTGGGCTTACAGAAGGACTTGGACACATATCTGACACGCACCGAGGAAATGGCAGGTGAAAGTAACTGGATTCTACGGTTGATGAAAAAGCGGTTGGAAATTTGAAGATGGGGGCATTTGATGATCGTCAACGCAGTGGAGGATGAAGTTCACGCTATATGTGCATGAATGGCGCTTTCTGTTGACCTTCAGTCAACCTCGGTCCTCCTTATCAATCGCTATGTTGCGAGTTATATTTCGGGTCTGTGTTTGATTTTAATAGAACGATTCAAACTCTCAACAATGATAAGTGCTTGGCTGGCAGCAGTACACTAAAATCTAAAAGCACGTTTTTTAATTCGATTCCTGAAGTTGGAAGAGTGGGATATGCCGGTATAGGGAGAGCATGTCTTGGTTGATAGAATTACCCAAGTTTTGTGTAGCGGCGAGGCCTCTTGGAGGCAGATACAAACAGGCGAGATTTTCATGACATTTACTTTAGAAGGATTTCCGGTTGGTCAAAATCAATGAATTCAGCTATTGATTATCTCACTTAGAAGTATTCCAGGTTCCAGTGGTCCATCTCAAATCCTCCCGATGTTGAATCGATTTATCATAATATCATCGACGACACGGAAGAGATCCATACAATTTTCACCTGTAGAAAGGAAAGCACTTCTTTGAACTGTAAATAATGTCGGTTTCTTTATACTTTGTTGCGTGAGACTCTGGAGCTTGAAAGGTCATTGCTGGCTTGGTATTAGCCTTGCCTTTTGTCAAGATAATGCAGGTTTACAATAATATGAAAGATGAAGAAGCTTTCTATAGTCAGTGCAAGTGAAGGCACATCGGCCAAGTGGATACCCCCATCTTGATATATGCCGCTAACCAAAAGCAGTAGGTCTATCCACCACCATACATAAGGTACCAATGCGCCACTACAACGCTCACGTTTCTCTTACACTCATTTCCCATGTTCAGTGTGACCTGGAACTAGTCCATCAAGAGCATGTCGATCCCCTACAAGCGTTCCCACGCAGGTTGCTGGACCTGTAAACGCCGCCGCAGAAAGTGTGATAACATTCGGCCCACCTGTGGGGTATGCGTCGAGCGCAATCTTCCCTGTGAGGGCTATGAGGTCCGCTTACGCTGGGGCACTGGCATAGCTTCGCGGGGTCGGTTTACTGGCGCAGAGCAACCCACCAACGACAGGATTCCGAAGAAGGGCCCAAATAGGAGGTCGAAAAGCCGGAAATCGGCGACTCTAGTTATCGCAGACGATGAAACCAGACAATTGTCCAGGCAGATTCAGCCTACAGCTTTTCCTCCTGACGAAAATGTGGCTGATGATCTTTTTGAGTCTAGTGATGATCTTCAAACCCACACTTCTTCCGTCGCCGTTAGCAACCAGTATCTCTTTCGAGAACGAGATCTATTCCAAAAATGTAGTTTGTGCCCTGCGGCAGTTCCACTGAATCGAAAGTCTCGTCTGCCAAACTCGAATAGTCTTCGATTCCGGGATCCAAACTCTTTTTTCAGCAAAACCTAAGAATGACCTGCTGCAAGATGCTCTGCGGGCTTCATGTAAAGTGTCTGAAGCCTGCTACAAGACATGTGTTGCTCTACAAGCGACATTTTCATGCAATTCAGAGACAGGATTCCTGGAGCACTTTGATTCCGCTCTTTGTCAATTTCAGCGCGAGTTGGCAAACAGTGAAAACATGCTCTACAAGGAAATGTTAATAGCAGGATGCTTGCTGTGCAGCATAAGCGTAGGTGATTACATATTCCAGTGAAGGTCTTTCGCTGTCAGAGGTACTACGCTAATACACTGCATCTTCTAGCTTACAAGGGCGGTCCCATGGACTATCCACATTCAAAGCTTGCACAGACTCATGGCGAGAGATCATTTCATCCCTTTAAACCCTGGCGACCCGATGGCAAGGAGTTTAGTTTGGGGATTTTGGAGTTGCCTTGTTTTGTCCTAGGTCGACAGTCGCTTCCAACACATATTTGGTACCACAATTGTCGCTCTAATACCACTCCAGATCAGATTCCCAGTGCTATTGAGGCAGTGAGCGGCCTTCCTCGTTCCCTTATTGACATCTTTTCCGCAATTAATTTCGGGACTGTGGAAAACGACTTTTGGGATTGCCCGGGAGAATTAGGCAGTTTTGATCAGTCTCACTTGTGGGAAGCGTATTGAAATGCTGGGATACTATCAATGCGCAGTAAGAGCCAGGATCATTTCGAGGAGAGCAGCGATCCTCATGTGGCTCCACAAAGAGCGAGGACCGATGTCGTATTGACTCATTTACTAAGCAGTATAGATGCCATCCTTATGCGCAGGCAATCTATGAACGTGGATGAAGCCTTGGTTCTAAATCCTCTTGTTTATCCTGTATTTATTGCAGGATCTGAGGTAGAGCTGATGCATCAAAACCTGGAGTGGAAATTGTTTATTGAAAGATTCCTCTTGGGTGACTCTGATGCTGGGAGATCTTGTCACACTGAAAGGATGCTGGATTTATTGAGAGAAATGTGGCAAAAGAGCTCATTGGGAGAGGAGGTAGATGCTAATATTTTGGCGGCTCAGCATGGATGGGAGCTGGGATTGCTATGAGCGACAGATCATTTCAATTGCAAGTTTGATGTTTAGATCCTATCTTCTCAACATTATCCACAATGTCACCTTTCCACTGTCGCCCGTCAGGGCTGGTGTATCTTTCAATATCGCTTCCTCAATGACTTCGAATCCTAGCCTTTCATAGAATTGAATGTTGGTCTGGCTGGTGCATTCCAATACTATTGGATTGGCTCCAGCGATTTCTATAGCCCTCTGCATAGCTGACCGTCCCACCCCTTTGCCCTGCAGACTGGGATGTACGCCAACAACTTCCAAGTACCATATCTTGCTATCTGGTATAGAGCGACGCGCTTTCTCCAAGGCAGCACCGTGGGCTTTTGTCATAATCTTGACCCGCTGCATAACCGAGGACGTTAGACTTATTGCGTAGAATGAAACAATGAGAACTCAATGGCACAAAATTGCTCACCTTTTTGCAGAGACCTGAATCGGCTTTCTTGTCGAACAATGTCGAAAGTAACAACTTGGTTAAGCCCCAGATCCTATACCAGGTCCAGATGCTTAGATCAGGCGGGGAAAGAATCACAACTGCACCGGAGTCAGAGACAGGGATTCGAGAAAGAGACTGTTCCGTTGTACTCGGGAATGTCTCAGAATCTGCTTCTTGTCTGATTTCCTCTTCTATTTCAGCAACAGAAGCGGACTGGAATACCAATCCTGTCAACCTTGAGAATTGAACTCGACGCTCTTGAAGCTTCAGAATCTGGGGATCCAAAGCTACCCATGGCTTTTGAACTCCTGGCAGCAACCAGGATATCAAGGGGTCATCCGAGAAAGACACATTGATTGTCCGGGCAGCTGCAGATATCTGTTTTGGATCTAGCAACATGTTAATATTTATCGGACGGGTATAAATAATTGAGAAACATTACCATTCGATACCTCAAACAGTGCTACTTTGCAGGTTTTCGAGTGTTTTTGCATATTGAAGAGGGTCTCCCAATATGGGCAGAGGAAACGATCGAAAGACTTTCTTACGGTCTTATAAATCCCGGAAAGTCATCAATGAAACCCATCGTCCAGGGGGCAACACCTTCCTAATGTGGCCTAGGCTTGCTGCGCAAAGATAGCTGACTTTCAGGGTGTGGGAAATTAATCGTAGTCTTGAGCACATGTATGAACTTCAGTTAAACAGAACGACGCTAGGGTTAAACTTAACTGCTCAGAACCAGAAAGTTTTATGGCTGATCTAGGCGGCCACACCAGCTCGTCGCAAATAATCCCGAGCGCAAACGACTTTGTATGTATACTATAGAGCACCTGGTGAGTGGTGAGTTGCAGAAAGGAGAGAACTATACCGCCAGTTTAGTCTCAATTGACCTCACATAGGCTATGCGGTTTAGAACACTGCATGGAGAGATCGCCAGCGATTGCGAAGGACGTAGGATGAAGGTTCCTTGAAATGCTTAATTGGCTATGTGGATGGCAATCATGTGTACAACAAGGATGTTAGGATCTTAACCAAATACTGAACAACCTGGATAAACTAACTCAGCATACAGCGTTTTCATCAATACAAAGCCCTTGTGGGAGAGAATGTAGCTAGTCAAGTCGTCTCTAAGTAATTCCAAAGCAGACTAAACAAGGAGACCAAACAGTGCAATGTATAAATAAGAATTTCAATTGAGAAAACGCTATGTACTGGCAACCCAAACGATAGGAGGGGGTGATTATGGTACAAGAAAAAGAAAAAAATTATCTAGGGAAGGGAGTGTAGACGAATCGAAAACCAAGTCTGAAGAGGCGCAAAACACAAAAAGATAAGGAAAGAATGTGTGAGAAAGGTAGGTCGGGTAGAGAGGATGCTGTCGTGGGAACTGGCCCGCATGTTGGTTTTGTGCAATTGCGTTGTCCTTTTTTGTACTGGACCGGCCAGGTACGTGCCCAGATTGTGTTGAATCAAGGTCTTAACAGCAGGCGTTTAGAATGTGAGAGTTCAATATGACCATTCAGCAACGCGGTGTGGATGTGAGGAACCACTGATAAAAGAAGAAAATCAAATGCTCGCTGGTGGTGATGCTTCAAACGCCGGGTAGCCAAGAATGGTAGGGGAAGCTAGAATAGAGATGCGGTTTTGGAGAATGTTGTGTAGTCGGATGATAGAATGTAAAATGTGGCTAGATGTCCATGCTCCAGCGCCAGGGGCGGATAGGTTGTAATGAGCCCAGACCGACCTCATCGCGGTCATTGTCGTTGATCTCCAGGTGCAGTAGGTGGATGTTTTTGTTGTCCTTGTGCATTGTGGAAAGCGTTTTGGAGATCTGCGGACGGTAGACCCTGTCATAATCATCTGTGGCTTTTGATTGCGGTCGTGATCTTGGGGTCTCTGGGTACTTCCAATCCATGCTGGGAGATCGGTCATCGGTGTTGGTAGAGAACATAGAGTCGGGTCGAGAGTGTAATGTTGGGTCGAAATCATCGTTGCTGACACGGAGTCGGGTTAAAGATGGATGGCGTGGTAATTGTTCTTCTGTGATATCAGACGGACCATCACTGGACTGGTTGGTCTCTTCCTTGGCCACATTGTTCGTGGCCTTCGAACACTGCTCGTCAGCCGTTCCACCAATGCTATCACGAGCCGGCCTATTAAAGCTTTCTTTTCCAGCCATGACTCGGGCACTTGGTGGTGGCTGTAGCATCCATCTTGTATCAGCCCGGCTGCAGGGTCCACTAACAATGGGCGGGTGGAGATCGTTGACGGGAGGTACACGGGCGATGTAGTACTTCGAAGTTTCATTCGGGTCCGCACGACCTCGGCCAGAGAACCCAATTGATGAGCCTCGCACTTCCTGGCCCCAGAGCGGTTCATCTTCTCGCTGGTACCGCATGGACTTCCACTTCTCGCCGAGCGGGTGCATCAAGCCACCACTCTTGTCCTTCTTTAGCTGCGAACTCTGGTCGGTATGCCAACTATCGGTCCGGTGGTGGTTGTTTCGGAGACCACCTCTGCGGGCTGGTGGTCCAGGACCCAAGGAGATCTCCTCTCGCCAGCCTACATTGGTGCTGAAGGGGGTTGGTTGCGGGAAGGGCCGGGGTTGGTCGGTGACGATTTCGGTGCATTTCTCCCTCTCGCGCTGTGCCCGGATGGCGTCCTTCTTACGTTTTCGACGATCGACACCTTCGGCGCAGGGGGTGCAGGTAGCGTAGTAGAAGACGGCGGACTGGGCGCCCCGATAGAGCCACATGGCCGACGCGGGGGCGGGGATTCAGAATAGAATTGATTTCTGACTGATAGGGTAAACAGACGTTCACGACGGGCTGTCAGCCCGGGAGAACTGCTGGATTTGACCCGGTATTCGCTCGTTGTGTTGCAGTCGTACTATCGGACACATGAGGGCTGAGTGGAGCGGATAGGGGGAAAGCCGCGGAAACGGGGACAGAGGAATTGGAAATCGCCCAGCGATCTTTAAATGAAAGGGTAAAGGTAAGAAATAATTGAAGAGAGAGAGAGAGAGAGAGAGAGGAAGACTAGGGGGAGGGGGAAGAAAGACGAAACGCAATTAGGAGGTTTGAGGGGGTCGGTTCTTTCTGCCTGGTGTTTCGCCTTTAGTTTCCCGCTGCTTGCAGCCCAACTGCTTATGCGTATATAGGCTGACCGCTCTACTTTTTACTTCTGTTTAGTAACTGAGTATGTACAGTACTGACGCCAGCTCATATGCACACCTCACATTGCCACCGGAACTGCCCTATTATGTGCCAAGGCACAGGGGCATGCGATCGGGGACGCCAGGAGGGGGCCCTGGATCTGAATGCTGACCTAAATAATACGAATGCGCAGAGCACTAAGTAAATTACTTCTTAGTGTTAATTTTATCATATTATTCCCCCTATCCCAAGCCTTGGCGTCTTGCCGCGTGGAGTAGAGACGGGATGTCGCCGCAAACGTCTAATTTCCAGAAAAGGAGAGATAGAGAAATACAGTAGAGAAATAGAGAAAGATAAAAGATAAAAGATCAAAGTAGTGTTTATGCAAGCCCCTAGATGCAATGTAGAATCATACATTCTTCTGCTCGAAGAACGTAGGGGGTTTGGGCCCCAACCTCTCGCCTCATACTTGGTGAATGGAGTACAATCCGGCCCCTGTTGCCAATCTCTGTGCTCTGTGCTCTGACCCCCGCAAAACTCATTTGACCAATGCGAGAAGAGAATGCCGAGCTCATGGCAAACTCAGGTGAAGCCCTGATGTATCCTGTTTTGCATCATTGCATGGTGTAGCAGCAAATCCACGGCTCGTAGATCGCCAGGGAAAACAATTCAAACGGTGGATCAAACATTCAGCACCAGCGTACAAGCGCGTGTAGTCACAGCCCGTGGTGGATGTGCATGACATGATCAAGGGTCTCTCGCAACACCGACAAACTCCAGGCCCAAGTCATCGCCTCGCTGGATCATTATATCGCATGCAAATGATGTATCTACCAGAACGCCCGAAAACCGACAATCGAAAATATCCTCATGGAGCGACTGCTCATGCATTCTTGGTGTCCCTGATTACCTCTCCCTTCACCTTTGTCCAGTCGATATCGCCGTCGATTTTCTCGTCAACTTCGCCGCAGATTACCACATTATCTCCACGGATTAGGTACAGGCCGTGCTCGATTTGAGATGAAGGCTCGTCATCGTCTGGGGTGCGGATGATGCGTTCAATGGTATTGGAGAGGACCAGGTTGGTGAGTTGATCGGTTGACAGCAATGTGCCGAGAAGCGTACGGCCGTCCACTGTGAGAATGAGAACTTGTTCTATTCGCGCGGGTTAGCCGTGGAACTAATGGCTGAGCTGTAAGCGCGCTGTAAGACTCACTATTGATGTAGTGGCTGAGAGACATGGTGGGTGGGCGGTTGAACAATGTAGATAGTATCGAGTTTGGGGTCACTTGGGCTTAAGTTGCACTGCCTGGTCGTGTATTGATCCTTGTATCGAGTTCGACTGTGCTCTTGCCGCTGAACCTTGGCTATCCGTTTTGCGTTGTGTGGGTGGAAAGAAGCTGTGGTTCACTTCACGTTGTTCGTCACTTTGCGAAAACGGCGTTTCCGTATATCAAATGGTTGAAATTGTTCGTGTCGTTCAGGAAAAAAAAGACAAAATCGACTCGGGGACGTCGCGGAGGTTTGTTGGAGGGAAACTGTCAAAGCTGTATTCAAAGACCGCGCCAGTTCAATGCGAACTTTAGGAAAAAGCGGAGAGGGTATCAAGTTGTAAATTTGGTTTCGCCTAGACAATGAAACAGTAAAGGAGGATGACAAAACTTGCGCAATGGGCAGGACTAGTTGGACTTGACTTTGTAGTTTTCCATTGACATCTCCGACTCGATCACGTGCAGGAAGCTTAGCTTGGACTATACAACAAACTGCTTTACTATTTGATATACTTCTTGCCTAAAGCACTCAAAGAAATGGACAACGAAATATGTGAAAAAGTAGGTGCAAAAAGAGAGGCCAAGTGAGGGCTCAAGCAATGTATGAAATAATACGCTCATTGCGAGCTTCATAGCACCTGAGGTACGACGGACTGCTCTACTTCTGATCTCTATGGCCTAAATAATAGGAAGAGGCAGTTACAATGAGAATGATTTACATAAAGCTCTATTGAGAAAATTTATGTATAGTAACTCACTATGTGTGCACGATATCGCCCGCAATTTCCCATGCACTCGAATCAACCTCTCAGAGCAGCCAAGTCCAATGGAACACTGCTGCCTCTTCCAGCACGGTATCTGCGGTCTCCACCGACAAACGGTCGTGGCTTGGGCAGCAATCCATCGCCTTGGAACTTGAATCGAGTATCTTCTATTCGGACTGCGGCATGTGTTGAGGGACTGCGAGAGCTTGGCGAAGGGGATAATCCGCCATTGGTGAGTGTGTAAGCACTGGGATCCAGGGCAGCAAAAGGTTCATGAGACGGAGGGTGGGAGACGGGAGACGGGGCTGAAGGAGGCGGTGGTGGTGGAGCTCCTGGTGCAGCTGATGGAGGTGGAGGAGGCGCTAAAGGTGATTGATGACCCAGGGCGGAGCGGGCAGCCTGTGCGGCGACTGATGGAGGTGCTGAAGGAGGTGGTGGAGGTGTTGATCTGGACGGGGCCGGCGGAGGGGGAGGCGCCCGACTCGCGGGAGCTGCTGGGGGAGGTGGCGGGGCACCAGACGGTTTTCTCGACACAGGCGGAGGAGGAACCTTGCCTGGTGGTGGGGGAGGTGCGCGCGGAGGAGGCACTTCTGGGGCCTTTGCAGCCGGTGCAGAGACCGTAGACGAGGGTCTTGAAGCAGGTCTTGGGGGAGGCTTTTTCAAGCCGGCAACAAGAGGGTTTACCGGCGGTGCAGGTGGTGACTCTGTGGAAGGTGGAGGGGGGGGTGGCCTGGCCCCAGGAGGTCTGGGTGCTGTTGGAGGTTTAGGTGCCGGGGCAGCAGGCGGTCGTCGTACTTCACTATCAGACATATATGACGACTCTCGATTGGCACCTGTATCAACACCTCCACGACTCCGTAGCTTGGGCATTCCACCTGCAAATAGACCTCCTAGCTGAGCTGCTGGTGAACCGGCCGCATCACCTCCAACGGAAACCCCTTCACTGTTGCTTCGCAATCGGTTCGCGGCTTGGCCGGAAGGAACAGGTGGTGCAAGGCCAGCTGGGGGCCTCATGCCAGGAACGGGAGGCGCGCCCGCAGGAGGAGGAGGAGCTGCAGAACCTCCTCCTGTCTTGCCTATTACGGGTGCTGATCGATCATTGGTGACTGCCTTCTTCAGTTTCGCGCCTTTGTGGATATCAGACAATAGTGCGCCCTATTGACAATTAATCAGCCTTCTTGGGCAACAGGAGCCTAGTGGCTATCTAGCTCGAGCTTCTCATCAACTTACCCGATCTTTAGATGCCCCTTTTGGCGGTCTATTGGGGAGATTTCCTGGAGGCGGCGGCGGGGGACCGCCAAAACCTCCCGGCGGCGGTGGGGGGGGAGGAGGCGGTGGTGGTGGCATGATAGGGAGGAGCAGTGAAAGTATCGAATGGGATATGTAATTTCGAGAAGATCAAGATATAAGGGTGGGCAACTTGAGAAAGAACAGATGTTAGGCAGAGAAGTAAGAAGACGTCAGGGTGTACGGGGAAGTGGACAGCGCCGGGGCGAAATCTCCGCTTAGAACATCTCCCATCGAAAATCATCTACCAACACCCACGCGTCGCCATGAAAAGAGTCGCCCTAACAGCCCAAAAGGGCGTCCAGCCAAAGGGTTCAATCTGTCAGTTGTGTCAATTCTCGACTTCAGCTCGTCGCGGTCTCCCTTTCGCACGATCAACACCCGAGAGTCGATCCCCGGCTTCCAATCTCCGTCTACAGGCGTCGAAGCGCAGCAGCCGGTTGACTGTGAACTCTCCCTTACTCAATGCGCGCCGATATGCCTCCGCTGCATCCGAGATGAGCCCAAAGGCGGCAATTAAAGCTATTGAGCAGGATGCAGCTGCCTTGCACAAATCGGACGCAGTGCCTGCCAATGAGGTAGTGTTAGAATTGCTACAAAGATGCCAACGAGTTGCCGAATCCCTGGTCTCGCCATCATATTTAGGCGAGGGTTCATCAACCGGCAAGGGTAATGCGATATCCTCCCTATTGGACCTGGAGGAGAAGGAAAATGCTGTAAAGAGCAAAGGCCAGGCGCAATCCTCACAGCAGCCAGACCCGCAATTAGCAGACTCAATCTCCCATATTTCCAATTCCCTTCTAAAGGATGAAAAGGTCTTCATCTCACCTGAAGCCCTGGAGTGCTACACCGAGACACAGACCCTCCTACGCCGGGCCGAGCACTTCCCCGAGATCTTCCACCTCTACGCCAACAAACCTGTGCCAGAAGAGAACAGCTCCCCAGTGAAGTTGATCCAGGCCAAACCGAAGAGTGTCAACAGCGCAATCCCCGCCGAGCTGGCCAACAAAGCCCTAGAAGTTGCCATTGCGCAGAAGAACTTGTCACTAGTATTAGCCATCATCGACAACACCTTCTGCGCACCAGCCTTCCACCGCGCAAAGGTCTTCAAGAAAGCAGGTGTCCCCTTGGCTGGTCTGGCCGCTGCTCCAGCTGCATGCTACGCCGTGGCCTCATGGGCAGCAACCTTCCAAAACACAATGGACCCGAACGTCGCGACTGGAATCGCGTTCGCTGCAACGCTGGCTTATGTCGGTGGTACATCGTCCATGGGTATTTTGGCCATTACCACAGCCAATGATCAGATGGAGCGTGTTGTATGGATTCCTGGTATTCCTCTGCGGCAACGGTGGTTGCGTGAGGAGGAACGCGCTGCTATGGATAGAGTTGCTGTTGCGTGGGGGTTCAAGGATCCTTATATGCGTGGTGAAGAGGTGGGCGAGGAGTGGGAGAGTCTACGTGAGTTTATTGGTATGCGCGGCATGATTCTAGATAAGACGGAACTCATGGAGGGTATGGAGTGACTGGGTTGCCTGTATGTAATATAGATTATCAGTTCTTATACCAGCAATGTAATGTACAACATTGAGTCGACATGTACTATAAGAACCCAAGTCCATCATCAAATAGCTTCTGATTGCACCTACACACTTGCAGTTGCGGTGGCGAACACTTCAGCACAAGTGTGAAAATGGTCGGAATGACACCGGTCTACACTTACGACATACAATAGAACATTTACGATATCAGATATTGAGACCAAGTATGAGCTTCATATTTTTTCAGTCGTAAGACTACTTAAACCCAGTTCTCAATCTAACTATACACTCCATCGCAGTAAAGCGGGAGAGCATCTAGTAGACGCGGTGGGGGGGAGACATGGAAGCCTTGATGACAAGGCTGCCAACGTTCTGCCAGCCCTTCTTGAGGAGGGAGACAAGGTAGTTGATGGCGAGCATCAGGTTGGCAACAATCTGCTCCTGCTCCATGCCGACGTTGCCGACGGCAACACCGAGACACAGGACCTTCTTAAGCTGGAACTTAATGGTGGAACGGACGTCGGTAACCTTGGCGGCCATGTCCTCAGCGTGGGAAACGGGGGTGGGGAACTTGCCGGCTGTAGAGGAAGTCAGTATGCGAAATGTTCAAATTATCATTGGAGTGATAAAACAAACCCTTGGAGAGACCGGGACCGAGCAGACGAGGAATCTGCTTGATCAGAGCCTCGGAAGCGAGGAAAGCATCGTACTTGCGAGCGAGCTTCTTGATGAGCTTCTTGTTCTTGTTGAGCTTCTTCAAGTCGTCAACGGACATGGCATCGAGACCGTGGTGCTTGGCACGATCGAGATCGTGCTGGTCACCAAGAATACTGTAATTCCACTGTTAGCTTGAATATTCGATTGTTTTGATTCCACTGGGCCGATATCCATCGCTTCCGGTTCATGAATGCAAAGATTTTCGGGTCGCGGGGTTGGGAAAACGCACCAGATGGCCATCTGAGGACGGGGAACGGTGGGCAGCTTGATGGTACCAGAGAAACGCTTGTCACGCTGGGGGTCGTAGTTCTTCAGACCGATCTGAAGCTCAACGGTCTCGGTGAAGTTACGCTTCTTCTCATTGAGAGAGTAGTTGAGAAGGTTCTCGACATTCTGGCGCACTCCGGCTGTAATAGGGAAGAGCAATTAGTGATGAGGTCAGGTAGAGAGCAGCAGAGTATCAAACGTACCGACTGTGATCTTGGACATGATTGCTACAGTCTTCCAAAAGAAGTTGAAATTCTTATGGTATGGCTCTGCGCTGAATGCTTAAGAAAAGAAATTGTCGAGGGCCGCGAATTTCTCCGCTTGTGGGTGTGGGCTAGCGCTAATCCTGATAAGGTTTAGCGGTGCCCTAAATTTTGTGATGAGTCATTTCAGGCAACAAGGCGCCCATATTCCCAATCGGGAATGCTATCTTCTACATTACATAGCTCAGCAGAGAAAATGTCAATGTGCCTCCCAAGTGAGGCCCGCTAGATATTTACTGTTTATGTAAAGATATTTGCTGTTAGACTACTCAGTCATCTGAAGATCAATATCTCGTACCATCGCTGTGTATGGTAACGAGACCATCATCACTTCAAATCCCACCTGCTCATAAAACAATTGTGCACTAGCGGCTCCCTGGCTTGTCTGGAGGACTATGCTAGCATTCGATGACATCAGGCCCTTCGCTTCTTTGCGTGCATGATCAACTGCGATTTCCACCAACTGATGACCGTGACCCTTCCGCCTAACATGAGATGCGACAAACATCCCCGCAATAAGATAAACAAGGTGGCAATTCAAATACCCATATCGCTGTATGGCCATTTGAGGTGCCGCTTTTGCTTTAGTGAAAAGATCCCAGGGTCGAATTGTTGCATCATCATCTTCTTCTTCTTCTTTACACCATATCTCCGGTCCGAGGAGAGTGACACTACCAACCCATTCAGTCTGAAGCAATCTTTGAAATTCCTTGTCTGCTGAGTGACCATTCTCATTGGTATTTGAGTATGTAGCTTTGCTTGATATCTGGTCATCGCCGTCAACAACTGTGACGAATGTCTTGGCAACAGGGTTCTGGACTTTAGATCGCCATGTATCCAAAGTGAACTGTGACTCTCGCTCATATGTTGATGAGAATGAATATGGGTCTGACAAGAGACTTTGGAGTCGTAGGCTTTTATAGCGGCTGGCTATATTGTCGAGATCTGTCGATGTGGCAAATTTCTTTGGGAGAAGTATCACTTCTGGCGGAAGATGCGACGAGGACATTTGTGCCTTTGGTTCCAGTGAAGAATATGCAGTATAAAATTCCCGAACAGGTGTGCAATTCTTCCGCGTTTTTAAACACACGAAATGAGTGACCTTGGAAGTATTAGTGCGGGGTGGCTCATGGTTCAGCGATGAAAGAGACGCATTGAAGTAATCCAGATATTCTGTGGGTCAGTGCCGCGTCGAAAAAAGAGCCGCTGCGGACCGCCCCGCATTCCATCTGAAACGCGCGAGTTCCAGAGTTGGCTCTATACTCCTACTGCTCTTTCGTTCGAAAGTAAGTTATGTTTTGATGTGTGTGTTAAATTTATACTGCAAGTTGTTTGCATCGTTATGTATTTAATCTTTATGATAGTAATGTGCAGAAACAATAAGACCCAAGATCTAAATCAGCCTAAGTCATACATCGACACAAGCAAAAACTCAGCTAAGGCCCATTAAATTGAATCATATCACTCAAACGGTGACTTAGGCGATACATGCATAAATATATGCAGATCCTCGACTTGTTATGCAAACGATGTGACTGAAACACACATCATGCGAGCAACATATATTCACACTGAACACCGAGGCAATAAGTAAACACTCACCCTGACAACAAACAGTCAAGCTTCAGCCAAGCAGAGCAATGACACAAAGACAAGAAAATAGACCACAGCACATATGGGGAACCCCTAATAAACATGGTAAATCGAACTTGACAGAATGTGGGGGCAGATGATCGCGGCGCTTAAGCGTGACCGTCAGCCTCAGATGACTGTTTATTTTAAGACTGCAAACCCCATCCCCCGTGGCATAATTGTGAACTCATATTCTTCCTCATTCCATGTTTCCTGTCCACCTATAATTTAAACTTACTGGTATATGTACAGTATACCTTCTGTCCACGGGACGGTTGTATGACTCTTTGCCGTGACCAGCCTCTACACACTAAAGCCTTCACCCCGTGACACAACACAACCTACCTGAACATTCTTGCTGAGACTCTCTCATCTTTACAACATCAAGGCTTCATCTTTTCCATATTCAGCGTTTGACATACTGCTTTCCCGCCAACATGACCGAAACAGTATATTCGCGCGATCCTACAGGACCCCTAGACTACTACTCCAGTCTAGACGGTGGGGGTCCACTAGTGGACAAATTCAAAGACATCGACGACAAACTCCAGTTTATAACTGCTATGCGCCGACTGGAGGATCCACTAACGGGGAATTTTGTGTTGGATTTTGGGAATGAGGATGCGTGGTGTGCGAGTGATTTGAATACGGACGAGTTCAAATTATTGCTTGGCAAGCCGGTACGTATAGGTCCATGTCCATTTATACCTGCACTCCCGTGAATGGGTTATATGACATGAGAAAGAGCTAATTCTGTTTGATAGAGAGCCAAATGTTTTGGTACACGGTGGATGTAAGAGCCAACATTTGCTTTTCCGAATACGAGGGGCGTCAATACTGACCGCTCTAGTAATATCTGGGCACCGGAGGAACAGAAGGAAACGATAAAGGTATGAGATTCGATTTCTAGCATCGATCATACTGACCTAGATTATACAGACCATCACTACACACTACGGAGTATCAGAACGATTACAGGGAATGATGTGTACAGAGCCGGTGCGGCCTACACCACCACCACCACCGACAACGCCATCAAGGAAGAGATTTTCACAGTCGCGAGATTTTGCATCCTCTATTCATGAGGTTGATGATCCAGAGAATGCCCTCAAGAACATCTCCAACCACGATCAAGCGCATGAATCTGCATCATTCAAAAACTTGACTTTCGCACAAGTCACCGACCAGATCTGGCATTTCTCGTCTGTTGATCATGGTCCGCGATGTAAGTCAATTTTCCAAATTGGCCGAGAGGCATGCTAAACAGGCAAGACACTTGTATCGGTTATAATACGTTGTTTGTTATTCCCAATATTCCAATGCCGAATGGTAAGGATCTTCCAGATGGGAAGCGGCTTTGGACTTGGTTGATCCAATGCGATGATGGTATGTGCTTGCATATAGCGTGAAGCGCAGGCGCTGACTTGCCCAGGTACAATCATTTCGATTCAAGAGAACCCGTTCCCGAGACCAGAAGTGATGCCATTGATAGAGAAAACCAAGCCAGTTCTTGATATCGTGCGCCGAAACATCCGCTTTATCTTTGCTGGTGTTTCAAGACAGCACTTTGCCATGTCAGAAAGCGAGTCACTAATCACAATCCGGGTACGACATTTCAATGACTTCGGGCCCGACCAAGCCAGTATCAAGCAGGAGGATGGACCGAGTTTGCTCTTTTATTATATATTCGATGACTGGGTATCGAGTTATGGTCTGATTGCAAAGCGAGAGCACAAATACGGCGTTGCGCTCGAGGAATTGGTGAGTAACTGACAATACTTAAATGTCGGACATGGCTGATTCTGCGCAGAGAGGTCAGATGCTCGAACGCCCAATCGTGGACCTAGTGAACAAGCTGCACTGGTTAGGTCGACGACTCGCAGTTCTCAAACGATTATACCAGAGCTACGAGCTCATCATGCGACGACTGCTGCAGCGACAACGTATGCTCCGTGACGAAGCTCGCTCTTCCCACCAGACTGCATTCCCGTATGGTGCCACATTGAGTGATATGGAGTTTGTCGAATTGCGCCAGTCCAGTCTCGTGAGCAACACCAGTATCCCCAGTACCACGGACAAGTCGGTGGGAGTGCAATTAAGCTCGACGGCGGTGGCGCGGTTCGAACGGTTGGTGGATCGAATTAATCTGTATTGTCTGAGTGAGATCGAGAGCTGTCTCAGTGAGAAAGAATCCATGACATTCCTGGTGAGGATTCCCCGTTTCTCACTTGTCCACTTGTGGGCCAGTGCTGACTCCACAGAACTTCAATTTGATCGCACTCAAAGACTCGCAGGCCGTTGAGAAACTGACCCGAATTACTATCCTGCTGGCGAAAGCAACTATTTTGTTCCTCCCAGTCAGTCTGATGAGTGCGTATTTCTCGACGGAACTCGTGGGCGTGAAGGGTGGATATACCAAGACGGATTACTGGGCGAGTTTCGCGGTGATCTTTCTTGTGTCCATTCTGTTGTTGACAGTGTTTGGATATGCTAGCGATACGGTGGAAGGTAGGACAATTTATCGATCAATGGCGAAGACATTCTTCCGGACCACACGCCGGAGAATGATGGGGAGGGAAAGATGAGGATGGGCACTATGACGCGTGTCGTGGGCTGGAACCAGGGCTCTTTCTGCCCAGACGGTGAAGTCTCGGCCTTGGGGCCTTGGGGCCTGGGAGCCTAGGGTATTTCAGTTACGGGCCAACACCGTGTCCTTTCGATACGGGGGATGCTCAACTGCAATTGCCTGCTTTAGGGTATAGTAGGCAGAATAATAGCATATGAGGCTATGTCTCTGTAGATAGGCAGTGAAATTGTCTGATGTTCACTTTATAACGTGCTCACCAAGGCAGTCAGATTGGGTGACAAAGCCACCCGCGTATTTTGTAAAACAAAAAACACAATTCCCCCTTAGTCTTTTCTCCCTGTAGTCTCTTAACACTTGACTCTTCCCCTATCTCTCCATATCTTCCCTATACATTTTCTGCCGGTAAGTTGCCTTGGTGGCTCGTGCCCGCCCCCCTGACCCTCTGACCGACAAGTCCACAACACGTTTTCCAACCCCTCCGCTTTTCCCTCTCAACCATATCCCTTGATATCTGACCAACCCCAGACATCCTACCACAAATATGGGTATCACTTTCTCGCGGCTGTTTGACAGACTATGGGGTCGCAAGGAGATGCGTATCCTGATGGTCGGTCTTGACGCCGCCGGTAAGACTACCATCCTCTACAAGCTTAAGCTCGGTGAAATCGTCACCACCATCCCCACGATCGGTCAGTCCGCCCCTCAACCCGCGCGCTGGGTTCGCCAATACACTTCCGACCTTGGAAACTGATCTGGTGCAGGATTTAACGTCGAGACCGTCGAATACAAGAACATTCAGTTCACCGTGTGGGATGTCGGTGGCCAGGACAAGATCCGTCCTCTGTGGCGCCACTACTTCCAGAACACCCAGGGTATCATCTTCGTGGTCGACAGCAACGATCGGGATCGTATTGTCGAGGCCCGTGAGGAGTTGCAGCGCATGTTGAACGAGGACGAGCTCCGCGACGCTCTCCTCTTGGTCTTCGCCAACAAGCAGGATCTGCCCGTGAGCACACCCGATTGATTCATATGGCATACATCAGACTGATTCCCCGCTTTTTAGAACGCCATGAGCCCCGCCGAGATCACGCAGCAGCTTGGACTCCAGAGCCTTACCCGCCGCTCCTGGGTAAGTCCATTGTCCCTTGTTGACTGGCCACAGCTAACCCATTTAGTTCATCCAATCTACTTGCGCTACCACTGGTGACGGTCTGTACGAGGGTCTCGAATGGCTCGCCGATGCGCTCCGCAAGTCCGGACGTGATTAAGCTATAATGCGAATGAGAATCGGGGATGTAGCGAGGAAGACTGAAATCTGCAAATGATGATGACAATGGGGAGTTCTTTGCGAGGCCATGACGTTCTTCGTAGGGGGTGTTCTGCTGGCTTGTTCTCTTCAATGGCCTTTTTCCTCCTATGCTATTAGCCTCATTTGTTTTTCCAAAAATTGCTCTCTGTTTTACTTGGTCCAGAGATCTGTACAAGTATGGTAAACCGAATATTGAGGCAATGGCAAATTAGTTCTCCATTTTTAGAAACAATTATATGCGTAACTCTTGGCATTCTGCATGCGGACATTGACATTGTTCTGTTCCTAGAGTTAAACAGTAAGTATATACTAAGGTACTGTGAATATTGTGTCCCGACCAACATCGTGACTGGACACTAACATCGTCACTGACATCGTCACTGACATCGTGGACGGGTTGCACACTAGGCCGATTGCCTGGCCGACGATCGCCAACAAGCCCGCCAACACACGCCTCATCGCGTGCATCCTCCTTTCCCTTCAACAACCCCCTGATTTATGCTCCTCCAGTTCTTACTCTCGATATTTGTCACAACCGACCCCAGCTAATTGAGCGATTTACTTTGTCTGACCCCACACTTCAATGTTGACATCCTGTCTGGCATCATGACCGTCCAGGCGAGGAGGCACTCCGCAGCCTACAAGTCACCATCACCCTACAGCGCCCGACAAGACACAGATATCGAAAAGCAGCCAACACTCGTCCGCCACACGTACCACCACCACCCCAGCGATGACTCCGACGACGAATCGCTAGACGACGACTCGAATGTCGCAGACTCGTACCCACCGCCCGTCTTGACCGGCGCAGGTCTCCGCCGCGCCCAAGCAGGCGTAGGCTTTCGCGTACCCCAGCGCATCATGCGATGGCTCTGCCTCGCTCTCTTTGGTGCGCTCGTCCTCTTTATCCTGACGCTCTTCCGCTTCACCCTCTCCGGCTCCGTGTCACAAGTTACAGTGGAACTGCCTAAGGTTGTGGCGGCTAAGCCGCCACAATGGGAGAGTTTTCCATTCCTGTCTCGATACGTGGGTGGGATATCGACACTGGTTTCTCGCAAGGACAATGTCCCTGAGTACCCTGGCGATGGCTCCGAGGAGCTGGTCCTGCGGACGGACCTGAGCGATGAGCAAACGGAAGACGACAACAACAAGGTGAACAAGAGAGATCTGAGTCCTAACATGCAGAGCTCTGTGTTCAACCCTTACCCTGACTACCAATCGCCGGATTACTTGCAGAAATACGGCGAGAAGCGGGAATGCTTCCTCGACAAGGAAAACACACTACGGGTCCCGTCTGTCCAGAGCTACCCCGGTGTTCCAAAAGGTTTCCCGGTGCCGGTCATGGGCTCGAATACGATGTTGGGTATTCGAGACGACATGTGCTTTGACCGATTTGGTCGCCTGGGCCCTTATGGATTTGGATACGGAGCCAAGAAGGGTGGTTCTGGAGCCGGGTTGGAGGGCCATCGTGATGGCGCTGAGCGTGTATGGGAAGATATTCCCCCAGTTGACTTCCGGCCAGTGGATTGGGCTGGTGCGCAGAATCGCTGCCACGCAGCTAACCGCCACCGATTCAATGCGCTACCGGAGCCACGTCTTGAGCGATTCGTTTCTATGCCGATGGGCGTGCCAAAGGTGAACATTCCCGAGCTTGAGGAGGATTCTCGTGAGGAGCCACCTAAGGTTGGGGCCGAGAAGTTGCCGCGCACTGCGGTGGTTATTCGCACTTGGCATGACTTTGATTACTCCGCTGAGGATATTATGTACCTGCGCTCCGTGATCTCGGAGCTCTCGCTCAACTCTGGTGGCGAGTATACTGTGCACTTCCTGGTTCATGTTAAGGATACCAACCTTCAGATCTGGTCGGACGATGAGACGTACCAGCGTGTGCTGCGTGACTCCTTGCCCGAGGAGTTCCGTGGCCTGGGAACTCTCTGGACAGAGCCCCAGATGGCCCTCATGTACCCCGGTCTGGAAGAAACCAACATGCGCGGTTTGCCAATCCACGGTGTCTACCGCAGTACATACATGCCCATGCAATATTTCGCCTTCCAACACCCAGAGTACGATTATTTCTGGAACTGGGAGATGGACGCTCGCTACACTGGCCACTGGTACCACCTCTTCGACAAGGTCGGCGACTGGGCTAAGAAGCAGCCTCGCAAGGGTCTTTGGGAACGCAATGCCCGCTTCTACGTCCCCTCCGTACACGGCTCATGGGAAGACTTCCGCCAAATGGTCCGTGTTCAAACTGAAATTGGCACCAACTCCAAGAACAACATGTGGAGTGCCATGAAAGAAGGAAACGACAAGGGCAGCCCGCTCCATCAATCAGGCGACCGATCAATCTGGGGCCCCGAACGTCCCGACGAACGGGACATTTTCGAAGTCGAAGGCGAGGGCATCCCACCCACCAGCATGGACAAGGATCAGTACCAATGGGGCGTTGGCGAAGACGCTGACTTGGTCGTCTTCAACCCCTTGTATGATCCTGAAGGCACAACTTGGATCCTGCGCGATGATGTAACGGGTTACAACCGCGAAAAGGGCATGCCACCCCGTCGCACGGCGATCATCACCGCCTCGCGTATCTCCCGCAAGCTTCTCACTACCATGCACCGCGAATGCTCTCTGAAACGCCACAGCATGTTCTCAGAAATGTGGCCCGCCACAACAGCCCTCCACCACGGCTTCAAGGCCGTCTTTGTCCCACACGCTGTGTACGTCGACCGACGTTGGCCAACACGCTACCTCGAGTCCGTGTTCAACGCCGGCCGGAACGGTGCCTCAGGCGGTGCCCGCACTTCCATCTTCGGCGACCGCGAACACAACTTCCGCGGCACAACATGGTTCTACTCGGCCGGATTCTCACCAAACCTCTGGCGCCGCTGGCTTGGACTGCGTGTTGACAACGATGGCGGAGAGCAACAGGAGCTCGCAGGCGAGGGACGGATGTGTCTCCCCCCTATGCTATTGCACCCTGTCAAACAAGTAAATATGATCATTGATGACGGGGAGCACGCTGAGGACCGATGATTCAGATTATGATCACATCTCATCTCGCCTTTCATACCCCAAGTTGCGTGTGGTTCCATAATACCCTACCCCCACTTGTATAATGCCCCCAACTCCAATTACCCCCAGCGACACATCGTCAGCCACGTTTTGATCTCTTCTCATGTCCTCTTTTAGTGCGAAAAAGGCGTTCCCGTTGTGATAATACGGGTTTATCAGTTATGGCTCATGATGCATTCCCGATTTTTGGATTCGATTCGATTCGATTCTCTGGAGTTGACACTCTACACTGTCCACTTGTTGTCTTCTGGTTCTGGCAATTAGAGGGTTTGTCTAGATTGTGACTTATCATTTTTGCTAGCCCTTTTACTAGTATCAAGGGTTGCAGGGTCGTCTCATTTTTATGTTTCTTTTTTTTTTTTTTTTCAGGTTGACGTTAGATGGACTGGATGGAACTGGACTGGACTGGACTGGTCGATGGCCATCCTACAGTACCTAGATGGACTTGATTTTTGGTTATAGATTGGATGGTCCTATGCACATAATTCAGCTTTTTGGTTTCGGCTGTTCGCAGTTCTGAGTAATTGTGGAGTTTTGATGAATGATAGAAATGGTGGATGTCGCTAGCTCGTAGTTTGATAGATCAGATGTGATATGACATGCAATGCAGTAACCAGAATAGAACACCATAACCCAATAGCAATGCAAATGTTTGCAAATGAATAATAAAGCAGATCAACATTCCCAACCAATTACCTCGATTACACAGTCGGACAAGAAAACCTCACATTATGCCCACCCTTCTTATGTTTCCCACCAGCATTACTACCATTAACTCCAAAAGAAGAAGAGCTCGAAGAAACCACCTCACTGGCACTCCCCAAACTCCTAGAAGCCCCATTAGAAACAGTAGCCGAAACCTCCTCCGAACAAGACCTCAACGAACCAAGCGGGCTGCGTGCCACAAACTCAGCAGGCAAAAAACAAATAGAACACTCATAAACCCCATCCTCAACCCCAAACTCAAGACAAGTCCTACAAACCCGATGCCCGCACTTCGTCAAGAGAACATCCACATCCTCACCGTCTCCAACGCACGTATAGCAGAAATGCGTGGGATACCGGGTACGAGGATTTGTCTGGATCATGCGGCGCTCGATTTCAGAGGCTAGTTCTTTTCCCTTTTCCACGCGTGCGCGGAGAAGGTGGACTTTTTTGCGGAGGGTGGACATTGTTTGGGGGTTGTGCGGGTTGTACGCTTGGTTTGTTTGGCATTTGCATCTGGTATTGGTTGATGAGGGGACGGTGGCAGGCACCGGCTTGTGGAGGGTTGGGACAGGTTCTAGGAATAGAACAGGTCGGAAGCGTTGTGAGATTGGTCTATCAGCCATGCATTGTTGTTCGAGGAGCCAGCGGCGTTGGATTTGGCGGTTGAGCAGGACTGTGTACATTATGCTGAGGGCTTGCCAGGCGCGCCATTCGGATGTTGGGTCGAGGGGTGTTGGCTGTTCTTTGGTTTGTGATCGAGACATTGAGCCTCATGTATGTCCGACCAAAGTAAAAAAGTAGAAATGTAGTTGTTTGGAGTTGTTGACGAAGGAAGTAGTTGTGGCGAGTAGATGGATATGTAATGGTCGGAGATGCAACGGCCTTAACCCTAACTCAAACCATCTAGTCTGAATCACAATATCGATATCGCATCAGCTGCAAAGATATCTAATAGCTCTTATATACATGCAGGCACTATGCAGAATCCTTCAGCCACAGCCGTTCGGGAAATCGCAAATATAGTTTCGGCCGAAGCAGAGTTCTGAGCCAGATCCGATCTATGTCCTACCCCAGACCGAACCTGAGTAAGTTGAGGACCTTGACTGGCTGGAGGTTGGATCCTTGGCCACCTGAGCCAAACCGAGTCTGACTGAAAACTGTCAATTATACTCCTATTCCGGTGTGGTGACCCATGGTTTGGGACCCGGAGACCCCGGGTTCCCGCCACCTCGGGCGAAGCCGAGGACTGTCCGCCTTTTTTTTTTTTTTCTTCACTTGACTTTTGCCTTTTTGCAGGTGGCTGTTTTGTTGAGAGCTACTCGGGGGGTTTGTCAGATTGCAGATCGTCACTTGGGGGATGTAGGGCCTAGCTGCATGAAGGCCTGTTTATGTTAGGTGCTACGGAACTCGGGATCTCGGCTACATGAAGATTATGCATTTGAAGATATTATGGATCTAGAAGGAGTTCGCTTAGATTGTTGTTGTATGCTTTTCCTCGGGAGCGACTGTTACATCCGGTGTCGGTCTAGATCCAGGCCCAATCCGAGGCCATGGATCTCTCGGCCTCGGCGTGGACCCTACTAGATGTCCGTTGTCGGCTTCATCTCTCATCATTATAAATACTGAGTAATATATCATCCGGCGATAGATTGTAGAAAGATAGTAATCAAGTCAATGATGCGGACTAGTCGAGTTTTATGAAGAATAATCTAGACTGAGGACTGACGTTGAATGCTAAGATTCCACTAATATTCTACTAATTCTAACTCGTTGGCAATCTCCGTCCGCACTGCTGCAAAATCTGTGTCTACACGGGCCGAAACCCAATGTACCAAAATATCATAAGTTATGCAGACCTTTCATACACAACCCGGGACATGAATTTATCACCTTCCTCCACGCCATTTTCTAACTCAAAGTAATCCCAAGATGATATCGAGACCCCCTTGAAATGGAAGGTATACAAAAACCTAGTTCCAGAACTCGATTCAAGACTCTTGGCAGATATCACATACTCCCCCGTCACAACATCTTCCTCTCTCCATTCTCGCCACAGAGGTTCCAACTCCCAAGTTTGGACAAGTACACCAGCTGACAGTTGGTCTGCCAAGTCTACCGACCAAACTTCAATTCGAGAGGTAGCTTTATCAGACGCTGTCTCAGCCAAGCGCAGGATGAATCGATTCCTTTCTTGCGAGGGTGATTGTCCAATCGGGGTATCCTCGCAGAGATATTCTCTGTCGTAAACAGGATTGGTTGGGTATCGTGGATAGAAAGTTAGATCGCCGGTGACACCTTCACTCTCAGAAGCACTTGAACTTGCGGATTTCTTGGTGGATTTCCATGAACCATGTAAAGCGCGGAAGATAGCTGACGCCGCAGCCTTTTGTGCCGCATCATGATCATGGACCAGACTATTCCGCAAGTCATCCAATGTCCCCACAGCCTCTTCGTCCGAGATATTTAGGTCTTGATCTCGATTGAACCTGCCAAAAAGATACCGAGCAGGAACCACAGGGCCAGACCGGCTCTCACCCGATAAAACAGAGCGATCAATTTCCAAATCCCCTGCAAAAGACTCCATCAACCCGACATAATCCGCCATAGGAAACTGACCACGAGCAAGGAGTAAATCGGTAGATCTGAGACTCCGAAGTCCGTCCCTCTGATCATTCGTTTGGCAAGAAACAGTCTCATCCAGCCCGGACCACAATTTCCCAAGATATCTCGCTTGCATCTCCATGACACCCCAGTAAGGGCCCCGATAGAATCCGACAAACCCAAGATCTGGCATTTCGAAGCGGACAGTACCACCTTTATCGAGGATTAAAGGAGAGAAAGGATCTTCTATGGAGTATTCCAGAATAGACAATACATCATCTGGTAACAACGCGAGGGATTTATGAGGCATGAATCCAGTAGCCATGACGATCGCCGCCACATCTTCAACCATGACAGACTCTCCATTTGGAAGCCTGCATGCAACCGAAGCGACTTTTTTATCCTTATTCGATTGCACCGAAATAACCCGGCCCATGGTCGCCTTTATAGCCCCAGCTCGCACAAACTCGGCGTAGTCATTGCCAATAGCAACCCACGGCGGTTGGACCTTCTCACCACTACCCTGTGCGGTGTGCATATGACCATATCTCTCATAATCACCCCCAAGCAGAGACTGGAAATAACCATTAGTCTTGAGAGCCTTTTCCTCTGAGATCGGACCAAGTGCGTATTCAATCGGACCGGGTGGTCGACGGGCTAGATCGTACATTGCCAGATCCAAGGGTAGGAAAGAAGCAGTTTCGTTGGACTCCTGTGGGAGATAAGTTGGAAGAGCCCAGAATGGCCGTGAGTGGATATGGTGAACTTGGAATGGCGAGGGATGTATTTTGTCGCTTGATAATGCCGTGGAGGATTGATGAAGGGCTATGGCTGATGCAGCTTCGACGCCTGACATGCTTCCGCCGATAATCACGGTCTGGCCTTGGGAAGTGATATCCTTGAGATTGTCTCGCTCGCGGTGGAGGGTTGAGCTGTGGATGATCCGTCCGGGGAATTTTTCTAGACCTGGTATGACAGGGATATACCGCTGGGCAAAGTAGCCCGAAGCAAGAACAAGGTGGTCAAAGTCTTCTGAAAAGACTTGATCAGAGGATTTTTGATCTCCATTTGCACTATATAGAACTCGTCAGCATCAACCTATAAGCATCACAAAGAAATATCCCAAACCTCTCCTTCACGCACTGAACAGTCCACTTCGCACACCCACCATCGTGAATCCTCTCCGTCCTAGTAACTCGACACCCGAACCGAAAAACATCCTCCGGAATATACCGCTCAGCATAAACAGCCAAATACCGTCCCACCTGACTAGCTCGAGGAAACAACGGCAAATCCTGCCCTGGGAAAACAGATCCCCAAGCAAGATCCGAAAAAGCAACTGTAAACCGACTAAGATTCGTCCGCATGCGCGGGTCTAATGTCCCAGGCGTGCCATCACCATCATCCTTGGTACATGTAGATGCATCCGAAGCTGGAAAGCCAGCAGGCCACAGACCGCCTATTTCATGTCGGGTGTCAAAGATTACCGGGCAATATGTTCCTTTTGGGAAATTTTGTAGCAGGGTTTTGGCTGTGACTAGACCTGAGGGGCCGGCGCCTATATTGGTGTTAGTGTGAGATTCGATGGGATGGGGTTGGATCGGGGAATGGAGTCGGATGCTATGGTATTGTTTTGGGGCATGTTAAGCTTACCGATTATAGCTACCCTCTTGGTCATTTTGCTTTTGTTGTAGACAGGCTTGGTGTCGGGGATGTTTGATGTTGGAATTGTCTTAGGCTACCCCGCCCATATCCACTTCGTGGGTCTCTTCATTACGGATTTCACGCTGTATACATGTCGGATGTGTATGTATTCTAAATTTATATGTATATATTGTTCTTCTTTAGTCCGGCACCGTGTACGCCTTGGAGGGTATCAATTACAAGGTCCAATCGTACGCTACACCGCAAGCAAGGGAGTTTACCCGGCTATCCGCAACCTTGACAGCAAGTCCAGTAACACCTCAACCTAGAAGCAGACACCTATTTTAGCGTCTATTCCCCGCAATCCTTTGTAAAGTAGACAAATTAGTCAAGGCAATGATGTAAGCCAAGGATCTAAACTGACTCGGGTTATCACTGATACTGATTCCTCTCTCTCTCAGACCTAATACCCAAACCCTCAAGGAAAGAACAGATCATATCTCTCATAATATTAATATTATTAAACTGACACCTGTCAGTATACATATATTCTAAAGAACATCACATCAAATATCACAAATACAGCAGAGCCCGGTCTCGGCATACATACGCCATCCATGTCATGACGTTGATGCCAAGCATAACCCGAAATGAAGTACCCAAGGGGGAAAGTCGATGATTTACCCTATAAGGCAAGCCAAGACAGCCAAGATCCCTGCGGTTTGGGCCCCGAGCCGTCAGGGGTTAACTTTCTGATCGTATTGGGCTGGGGGGGTGCGGGGGATGCGTGTGGAGGTGATCAGATCGAAACGTCGAGAAAAGTCTAGCGCATCTTTGTCGCAGTACGAAGTAGTTCTGTCGCATTCTCATTCTCATTCTCATTCCCATTCCCACCGTTGAAATTGATGTCGCAGTCGAAGTCAAGTTGCATTCTGATGTTCAGTCTCGCGTGTTCATTTGCATTCTCGCTAGAATGGTATGTAATGTATCGGTTGGCGACAATCAGGATACCCGCTCGAGCCATTCGGTGACTTGGATTTCGGGTGAGTGACTAGGTTTGTAGGCTTCGTTGCATTCTTGTTCGGTGACGAGTGTGTCGACGTTGCGTTCGGTGAGAGGGCTTTTGTATTGGTTCTTTTTGCGGAGGAGTTCTTTCTCTGCGAGGGCCGAGGGCGATATCTTGGAGAGGGTATTTCGGAGGCGTTGGATACCCCCAGAGACAGAGCGTTGAATTGGAGGGGGACCGAATGGTTCGTCAACCTTCCAGGGCTCTGAGGGCAGAGATTGCGAGTCTTTCTTGGGTGATCTCGCCATGGTGAAGGAGGTGATGGAGATAAAAGGTGGAGAGGGACAGGCGGTAGTTAAGTAGGAATAATTGGCTCTTGGGTATCTTCCTGGTACTATTTCCGCGGGACCTGCGGGGGTCGTGCTCTTCTTTTTATTGGAGCAGGGTGTTGCCCATGAAGTTTGAGATGCATTAGTCGTCCGGTCTACCTCCTCTTATGGGACAAGGATGTTCCTTCTGGAATGCAAATGAGCTTAAACTGATGGGGCTCATCCTTTTTAAGTCTCACACATGTGGCTATACGAAGTCAATCAAAAGACTCCTCTAGAGCCTGCTACGTCATGTCGGGATGAAGATGCCGATCCTACAGTATGGTGGGGCTTGGCATAAACCTGTTCCACGGAGTATGTGAACATGAGAGCTTTGTCCCAGGGAAATACTCATGTGTGGGCAAATGGAATTGGAGGATGAATGCCGGACGACTGTCACGTTGCTGTCAAATCGCTCTCGTTCGTCGACGCCACAGTCAAAAGTCAAACTGTCCCAAACTTTCTGTGAGAATAGATAGCGTGATCTAGTAGAGTCATTATCACTTCTATACACAATACTCGAAGTGTACTATTTCATGCATTATTTGTGCCTGAAATTTGCCTCTTTTCACCCATTTTCAAATGATTAGGTGGATCAAGTAGATCATTCATGTATAAAGGTGGGGGCGTAAAAGGACTCATGAACCCTGTTGTAAATGCCTATGGAGTCCTTCGAACTGCTTCCATACACAATTATAACGCTGAACACTCTTCTCCAGTGCTGTCTCCCTCAATAAGTAAACCGGAAGCTAGGATGATCATCCCCAAGATTCTCCAGCTCCTCCCTCGGCCACTGATACCGATGATCCCTCTTCCCTTGCTCACGCAACCGATTCTCACGATGCAAATAAGTAAAGAAAACAACACAAGCCAACCCACAAATCCAAACCATGCCCAAACTTACTCCAAACCCAGTAGCATAGGTAGGAGCCTCAGAATCAAAAAAGACATTGCTGGCAACCAGACCGCCACAATTACCAAATCCGATCTGCATAGCCGACGCAATGGATTGCTTGTAATGCCCAGCCATGTTGTTGCTAAGCCAGCCCATCAAGATCGGCTGCGTCATATATCCTCCGCCGGTGATGGCGTAGAGAGCGAAATATCGGGCACCAACGGGCACTGACCTTTGGCAGATCAAAATTACATACCCGATTGTGGCGATTATGCAGCCTGTTAACGTAAATGCGAATCGATGGCGGAGCCGGTCACTTGCGAAGGCTGTTACTAGGGCGATTACTGTCGCGACGAGGTAGATTGGGATACTCATCACTTGGGCGCGAACGGATGTCCAGCCTAGTTGTTTGAGGATTGTTGGTGTGAAGAAGGATGTGGCGTAGCCGGTGTTCACGATGCCGAAGTACATGATCGGGCTGTTGATGTTAGTTTGTGATGACTCTGCAGTAGGCAAGTACTCACCCCAGGTAAAGCTTGATGTCCGAGAATGTACGTTTGATTGCTGGCTGGTCGAAGCGGTTCATCTGTGCCTCTCCATGGTCTTCCGATAGTCTCTGAAGAAGCAGAGCTCGCTCTTGATCATTCAAAAACGACGCCTTCTCCGGCCAATCCACAATCAGGAACTTGGCAACGATAGCAGCAACGACAGTAACGAGACCTTCGATTATGAAGATCCAGCGCCAGCCACTATACCCGGCCACACCATCCATCTGGGCGATGGCATATGCAAGAAGCTACAAATGATATCTCAGCTTGAACGTATCGCAATGACTCAGGGGGAGAATACATACTCCACTAACTGCACCAGCCAGAATACTAGCACTGAAAAAGACATTCAATCGCCATTGCAATTCATGACGCTTGTAATACATGGCAATCAGATAAATGCAGCCTATCACATTAGCGACGATCAAGTGAGAAATCACAACCGACATACCTGGCATGAATCCTGCTTCAAACAATCCCAACAAAAAGCGACATGCGACTAGGCCACCGAAACTCTCCGTGACCCCTTGGCAGATTGTCACAATGCCTATGATCAGTCAAAGTCAGCATGATCCGTCTCATCGATTTGCCCGTTCATACCCCACAAGCACATAATCCCACTCAACCACCACGACGGCGGCACTTTTCTCAGAACAAGGTTGCTGGGAACTTCAAAAAGAATATACGGAATAAAGAAAATAAAAAGCGCAATGTTATAATCATGACCCTTCATACCAAGATCCTTCTCTAAACCTTGAAGCCGGGCATTCCCAATGTTGATCCGATCAAGAAAAGCGAGCAAGAAAAGAAACATGAGAATAGGGACAACGTGAATATCAAGTTTCCAAAGCAATCGCTTCTCCGCTGAGCGATCGAGCTCCGGGACTGAAGATTGAGACTTGACATCTTCGACTGTTTCATGGTCGCATTCCTTTTCGGGATCCATGGTGGATGTAGTAAATGATAGACTACTAATGATCCGAGTGAATACGATAGTGGTCAATCTGGAGGGTTACATTGAGAATTTCACACTGCGGAAGGAGAGCTTTTAAGTACCATTTGGTCGTTTCCATTGCCGGTGTAGAACCGCGACTGGGGAAATCCGGGGTATTGCTGATCTTCCCCCGCACGGTCTGGCTTTCATTCCGCTTTTTCTTCTTTTAAAGTGAGCTTTGGTTCCGCTTGAGAGAGTGCCAAGGATGCCCAAGCATGGCTTGGCTGTTCATGTTTGCGCGGGTCTAGGAGTACCAGGTGTCACAATCACATATGCGTCGTGGTTCAGCTCTGAGCTTCGAATGCTGATCTTGATACGGCCAGAGACACTAGTCTCCAAGAGGGATTCCCCGTTCATACCTCTGATCTGATTCGACATACTTGGATCACTACTTCACACTAGAGAAAGTCGTACAAGTGCGGAACGGTGCCCGGAATGGTCATTCCGCATATTGTTTGCCCCCAAGCAGTACGTGGCTGGCTCAGACCTACATGAGATATCACAAAGAAGCAAACAACCAATAAGCACGTAGCTGAAGATAGTAAATAGAGGGTCTAGACTTGCATATTCATCATTGAACTGACATTCCATGCAAGCCTATAGTTCAAGACCCAATATTCTCACGAAGAGCAGGCTCCGATGGGAAAGTCTGCTCGTCCTCCGCAACATCCTTGAAAACTGTATCCCAGCGATGCTGCAGCTGCCGAGGTGTTTCCCATGCATTTTCGGGATCTCGTAGCCAGAGCCTCAATAGATGACGCCTATACAATCATGTCCGTGAGTATTGTGAAAGCGACATCGGAATGCACCAGAGATTCCAACTGACTCTTGACCAGATTCATCCCTAAATCCATTTCGAGCATGGAATATACTCAGATTATTCACATATTGAACATCGCCCTTCTGAAAATCGAGGGAGGCTCTATGCTCTTCCGCCAAGAAGTGCAGCGCGTCGAGTGCCTCGGCTTGAGCCTCTGAGATTGGGGGGATATCCTTTGACCGGGGCTGAGCCAAGAAACCAGTAAAATACCTGCGGGCGTATTGGATTAGGACACGCTCGGGTGTATTTCCCGTTGCTAATTGGTGGTACAGCAAAGGGCGGAGGGTATAGGGCTTAGAAGGGTTGTTGAAGCTGACGACATTAGTTTTCGAGGTTTATTACCTTTCGTTCTGTGCACTTACCCATCAACTGGCCAGTCCTGAGACAAAGTGTGAATAAGATCCGGTCTCTCCTTAGCTAGGATATTATACACCTTCCAGCTACTAGACAAGTAGCTCTCGCCTCCTTCCGCTGCTCGATTGAGACACAGTAGTGAGATTATATCGCCAGCATCGGTGTGGAAGACTTGCTTATCGGCCGTGTTGGATGGCGCACCGATCGTCTCACTCTCAGTTGTACTGGTCAGGTCTTTGATGTGTGATATTACGGGCGAGCGGCCATTGGCTAGTCGGGTATCCTGCTGGCGACCGCGGATACTTCCAATGTGAGATGATACTCCAGTGTAGATGATGATTATATTGTCTTCGCGGGAGTAATGATCAACGCGCAGGCCTCGGAGAACGACGAAGCCTCGGCCAGTGTGGATTGCCTTGGATAACTCTCGCAGAGTTGGTCGAAGGGTTGGTAGGGGAAAAGTTGACTGGTTTATATGTCCCAGAGGAACGTCGAGGGCTGGTCAAATTAGCAAACGTATAACAAGCCGATAATAACCGTCTTGCAAGGTACAGACCGCTGAAGGCTTTCAGAGCAGTATCTATTTCATCCAACTGATTATTGCTCAACTGATAAACCCAGTCATCGCGTTTCTCAACATCCTTGCCTTCCCATACTAAGGGTGATACCAGCTGCTGCGGGAAACCCTCAGGTAATGTGGTCTGTAGAGTCTCATTCTCCTTGCGGCGACGAGTGCGCTCTTTGTATTTCTCGTATTCTGGGTGATACTGGATATCAGGCTGGACGGGAATGGTGATCGTCTCGGTTGCAGACATATTGAACATCTCAATATATCCTTAGCTGTAAGGAAGTGGTCGATGGGGCAGTCAAAGGTAGACAGACTCTGGAATAGAAGTGATCGTTTAATAGCAACGATTCAGAAGCCCAAGTTAGGCCTAAAACACTTATGATCGCGACATAGTGTTGCGACATCAACCCCGCAAAACGCGAGATAACCAGTGAAGTTGGACTAAGTAGTTATAGCGGGGTCTCTGCATTATGTAGATAAGAGCAACAAGTTACAATATCTCTAAGATCCTATGATTTAGTAGTATTACAAATGATTCAAAAACAGCTACAAAGTCGAAACAAAAAGACAGAGAGAAGACCAGGATAACCCTGTGATATAAATGACCTTTCAGTATATGTCAATGAGCTACGATGGCATCATATCAGCGCTATCGACACAATATGGCCTTAGGAATAGCATTCAACCTGGAATTATTATGCAAAGTCCTTGAAGAGTTCATCCTGGGTTTCTAGCATCGAACATACAAGAAGTAGCCATTGTGACGAATAAAGTTACGAAATGAATTTGAACACCGGCAAAGTAATGTTTGCACGGTAGAGCCCGTGCATATCTCCATCCAATGGTGAGCTGCCGTATCCCCATCACGCGCCGACGCAAACGAATGAAATAGCGTCTGAGCCTAAATTCTTTTTGGGTCTTTTACTATACCAACATGGCCAAAAGTCAAGAGCCGAGTAGCTCGACTGAGCCGTTTATCACAGATGTTTCTGACGAAGAATTACCCAAATCCAGCCCTGAGATTAACGAGTCGCATATCTTGCAAGGGCGCCAGATCGGCGTGTTTGGCGCTGTTTCGCTGATTGTCAACAAAATCGTCGGAGCTGGGTATGTCTTCTTTGCATCCTATCTCTCCTGATACTGACATTAACAAGAATATTTTCCACGCCTTCTTCTATCTTCCGACTGAGCGGTAGCCCAGGGATGTCCCTCATCCTTTGGGTTGTCGCAGGTGCAATCTCAACATGCGGGGCAATGGTCATGCTGGAATTCGGCACTATCATCCCTAGATCGGGGGGCATGAAGGTCTACCTGGAGCGATCGTTCTCGCCGAAGTTATTGGTGACATGCACCTATCTGTTTTACTGTGTCTTTCTTCGTTAGTATTCACTTTTCCATATGTTGTTATTTACCTCTAATAGAACACAGAGGTATCCTCAGGTAACGCTATAACCTGCGCATCATATCTTCTCAAAGCTGCTGGCGCTGAATCGACAACGTGGAAGCTTCGAGGTCTAGCAGTTGCTGCTGTTTCCTTTGCAGTGGGTATTCATATCGTTGCCCCTCGGGTTGGTCGAGGCTTGCAAGATATGATGAGTGCAGTGAAGCTTTTCATTCTTTTCTTCATTGTTTGCACTGGCTTTGCAGCGCTTGGGGGACATCTTAATGTCCCAAACCCGCATAATTTTGATCTCGCTACTTCTTTCGAGGGAACATCGAAGAACGGCTTTAATATTGGGATGGCATTGTTAGATGCGATCTTTTCGTTTCAAGGATATGATAATATGAACATGGTAGGTCCTTTGACATTTCAACGACGATCGACGTTGGATAACCAGAACTATAGGTTCTTTCCGAAGTCAAGAATCCTCAAAGAACTCTTCGCATTGCTGTACCCACTGCCATGGGTAGTATTACAGTCCTCTATGTTCTAGCAAACGTCGCTTATGTAGGTTTACCCTTTACAAGCCCAGTCATATGTCTAACATCTTTTCAGTTCGCAGGTGTATCAAGAGAAGAATTCAGAGATTCCGACCTCACAATTGCAGCATCTCTTTTCAGCAATGTCTTCGGCGAGACAGCTGGCGCAAAAGCTCTCCCGGTATTAGTTGCGATCTCCGCCGTAGGTCATCTTCTAGGAGTTGCGTTCACTGTTCGTGAGTATTACCGACCCCAATAATAATAATTCGGTACGGCGAACCATTGATTAACATTGAATGTAGCACGAGTGATTCAAGAGCTAGCCAAAGATGGCATTGTGCCTTTCCCAGATATTATCATGCAAAATCGACCCTTCCGAACACCCATCTGGGCTTTATTCATCCATTTAGGGATGACTGTTCTTTTCATATGTGCGCCTCCGGCAGGGGATGCCTTTGAATTTGTTGTTAGTCTCAATTCATATCCGACGGTTTTGCTTCTCACGGCTGTCACCGTTGGATTGATCAAATTACGGATGTCAAAAGATGAAGATTCGCAATCTGCGTTTACCGTGCCATGGGCTATTCTTGCTTTTTATATGGCTGGGAATATTGTGGGTGCCCTTCCACCCCTTTCAATACTCCATGTTAACTAGAATTATAGCTCCTCCTTGTTATGCCTTTTGTCCCACCACCAAATGGCAAGGGTAGTACCAGTCTCCCGTATTGGCTATCTACGGTTGTTTCCCTGGCCATTCTCGCGCTGGGGATAATCTATTATGTTGGTCGCTTTGTTTTGCTGCCCTGGATATTCGGATATAAGCTTAAATTGGTTACTGTTGACCTCAGCGACGGATCTCAAGTATCACGGCATCAGATAAGCAGGACCTGGGTGGCTTGTACGGTCGAGAATTAAGCTATACAATGTCTACATAGAGTGAACGGTATAATGTTTTAAGAAGCACGACTCGCGCACTTTCATTCAAGATTCAAAGCCATGTAAACCAACAAATGCGGTATCGTGATAACATTTTCAATACAAACTCACCCATAAATAGGTATAGACACAATTACTTAGAGCCAACGTTCTCAACAGTAACAGAACCAGGCTTCTCGCTTGCATCGTGAGACACCTGGACTGCCTTCTGGTGGGCCAGCACCTCTTCACCTTGAGCAACGTGATTAGCGCCACCGAACAGAGTGTCGATCTCTTCGAGAGGGACCTGCTTGGTCTCCGGGATGAAGAAGAAGACGAAGACGGCAAGTACGAAGTTAATTCCAGCGAACATGTAGAAGGCGAAGAAACCTTCGTTGTCGAGGAAGATGGGGAAGAATTGTTGGACGATGGCGTTGGCGACGTTTTGGGTTTGCGAGGCCATTCCAACGGCTTGGGCGCGGACGTTCATTGAGAAGATTTCGGACGTCCAGATCCAGACTGTTGCGCCCCAGGATGGTTTGTCTGTAAGGCTTTGTTAGTTTTGTTTCTTTGAAAATGATGAGACGGAGTGGTAGGATCAACTTACAGAAGAAGATGAACAGGAACAGTAGGAACACAATTGATATACCGACAGGTTCTGATTTGGCTCCGTTGGCTAGAGATGGTGTTTCGGTTTCGACGGCGGAGACAATAATCATGCAGAGACCCATGCCGATACCACCGACAATCAGAAGGAACTTTCGGCCAAATCGATCGACAATCCAGACAGCATTCAGTGTGAAGAGAATCCCAAAGGTAGCGTTCAAGGCATTGATGAGAGCGATCTGGCTGCTGCTGGTGAACACCTTCTGGTAAATCTTGGTAGAGTACGAGTTGAGCGAGCCTTGTCCGGTGATTTGTTGACCGGCGTTGAGAATCAATGCCAGACCCATTCGCTTACGAAGAGACTTGTCCTTCCAGAGAGCGGAGTAGTTGCCAGAGATAGCTTCCTTCTCGTATTCGATGGCCTCGCGAATCTCCAGGAGCTCTTGCTCAACTTCTTCCTCGGTATCACGGACCTTTCGGAGAGCATCACGAGCCTTGTCGATCTTATTTCCTCTTTTAACGTACCTGTGAGGGGTCAGTATTGAATAGTACTGCACAAGGTATGCATTCAGACTTACCAACGGGGACTACCAGGGATAGTAGGAAGAAGGACGAGAATCAGCACTGGAACAAGGAGCTGAAAAATGACGACCATCTTCCAGTCCCACTCACCCAAAGCAGCAGTGTGCTTTGTGCAGCCGAAGTTGATCCAGAAGCAGATGAATGATCCGACAGAGTAGAACATCTGCCAGAAGGTCATGATCTTACCACGAATCTCTGGTGGTGCCAATTCACCGATATAGATAGGACCGGCGGCTATGAAGAATCACAGTCAGCTCATCTACAGCGGATCAGATACTGAAATACCACTTACTCAGCGCGATACCCTGGCCAACACCAATGATGCATCGACCTGCCAAGAAGAGGGCAATGTTGTGTCGAGGAGTGAAGGTTTGCATGAAAGTGGCAATGATAACCAGCACACAACCAATACCCATACCAAACTTGCGGCCCAAGAAATCGGCACAGGGACCACCGAGGAAGAAACCACCGAAAATGGCGCCGACCGTGTACGCCGTGTTAATGGAACCAATTGTGTTTGCATTTGGTTTGTTCATCCATGCTACCCAGTTCTTGGATCCTTGGACGGAGTTGAAGACAGATGCATCGTAACCGTAAAGTACCATGCATGATGCAGCAACAAGAGAGATGTACCTGCAATTCTGTGTCAAATTCTGGTCACTGAATAGAATGCGCTGTTCTTACCAATTAAAGGCTCTTTTGCGGGTCATTAAAACACCCATCCTGGCGGTTGTGGGTAGGACACTGAGGGAATAAGGCTGAATTAAGAAGAGGGCTGGGGGATGTAGTCGAGACCCGATAAAAAGCACCACAATCCGGCCGTATATAGTAAGCCGTGACCCTCGAGTGAATTCAGAAAGCAGTCAACACTCTGTAGGGAACTCCCGGAGGCAGGGAGCGGGCCCAGATATATAAGAAATGCTTAGGGCACGAGGGAGCAAAGCCATCCCCAGCCCATGTGAGACGAAAAAGCCATGGCGCAAATTAGACCATCCCCAGAATTCACAACCTCGGACACGCTAAGAGCAATTTGGCATTTTTTTAACGGGGTAGCTGTTCTCCAGGATCGCTGAGTGGTGGGGTATCTGGAGTCGAACCGCACATGGCAGGATGTATCTCAGCCCTGATTCATTTTTTGATTGGCTTCGAGCTTGCTAGATGGACCGGTGCGGACCTGGGGTAATGCTGATCTGGGGTTCGAGGATATTCTTCGTGGTTGTTCCGGTGAGATGACTAGTTCGGGTTTCCACGAATCGGCGGTCTGGAGGACGGAGACTTGGGAAAAAGTCGACTCCACCAATAGGGTCAATGGTCAACAAAGCCAGGATAGAAGGATCCAAGGTCAATGCTAGAAAAGTAAGAGATTGTAAGCGAAGCTTGACTTCGGGGCCATTTGACTCGATCCCGTGATTCTTTTAGATTGGGTTGGTTGAGTTAGGGCTGAGGTGCATTTCTATCTATATGCCATGTGTCCACCACTCAGTGTTTTCTAGTTTGCGCAGCGCATGAAATGAATACGATCAGCATATGTTTGTGTTCGGAAGGGTTTAAATTGTTTCTTGTGAAACGGGACCAAAATGAAGATCTCGTACTGTCTGATCTACATCCTCAGAATCCGGGGAACCACAAAAGTCGGATATCATAGATAAATTTATATTTAGAGATATATGCTTTTTACACAAGGAAGCCGATCACCCTTAAGCTTCTCTCCCCAACCATATTCGCCTAGCTTTGGTGCGTATAATTGTAATGGATGAGGATGGCTATGACCTAGCCAAGGGTCATCTATAGCGACGCCTATTTAATTAGGAGCAGTCAGAGTTCTGCTTGTGATAATCATCCTAACGCCTTGAGCACTTAGGAATGGGCAATCGAAAGTAGATTAAAAAAAGGAGGTGAAAAAAAAGAGAAGCAAAAGGAGGGCTAGAATAAGAAATGCATAACACGGTGTACCAGCTTCGGTTATCGTGGGTGCTTGCGAATATGATGCCGTGTCTACCCACGAGGTTATCCCAAAAGAATCCCTCAAATGCTCGAAATTATCTTGCGCGTTTTCATATAGGAAATGACCGCAAAGGATGCCCAAGAAAAGTGGTTTGAAAAAATTCTTAGATGTACATGGCGCATTCTTTTGTTGGAAGTGACCGCAAAAGTTTCCTAAAGGTACTTTTCGAAGGTTCAGATATATCTTACATCACTTGGGTGTGAATTGGTCGCAAAAATCCCCGAATGACGTTTCAAATCGACTCTCAGAAAATGTTCAGATGTACATCGCGCGTTCGCTCACGGGGATTGACCGCAAAGGATTCCTAACAGTACACAAAGGAATTGGCATTAGATATCCTAGAAGCCCGTGGGAAGTTCCCCTAGGCATAATTAATACGTATAATAATCGCAAATAATTGCTGTTTTTTAGGTTATTGGAACGATCTATAAACCTGCGTATCAATCACGTGGGTTCGTGATGCGGTGACGCGCCCAAAGGCAAAGCCCCCGCAATGACAGCGTTATACCAAACCTCTTTGAAGGACATGACGATGGTTTTTTGACATTGCAACATATAAAATCCACCTGACCATCCCCGGTCCTTTTTAATCCCGCAAATGCCAACCACGCCGAATCACCATGGCACCAGGCAAAGCAACCAAAAAACAGACGCGATTGGCTTTCGCTTCGGCCGCTGCGCCTTCTGGCCCAGCGAGCCCAGAGCAAAGCAGTCGATATTCTACCCTCCAGTACAGCAACCCAGGCTCGGGGGTATACCGCGCGAAACCGCACAAGATCAAGACCGAGACCAAGGTCAAACCGCGAGCCAAACCGAAGAAACAGTCACGACTTCCTACCCAAAATGCACAGGCTGCCTCGAAGCTGAACGGAACACGCACAAGTGAGAATTTTCTCCGTCTTCAGAATAGCCTGCTTTTCAATACTGACCAGTTTGCGTCTGCAGACGAACCAGACGACTCATCCTCCGAAGTTTCCTCCCAGAAAACGCAAGCTGCGCATCCGAGTGTGCAGATCGTGCTCAACAACAGTGCAATGAAACTAGACAAGTCTGAGAGCTCGAAGAAACCAGTACGAGCTTTGAAGTCCTCTGGGGAACAATCTAGCTTGCGCCAGAAGCGGAAGCGAAAGGCCCCAAGCTCCCCGATTGTGTTGAGCGACTCAGACGAGCCTATCATCTCGTCATCCGTCCAGAAGCGCAGACGTGGACTGGAAGAAAGCACTTCGGCCAAGGCACACAGGGATGACGACGACGATTCCGACATGCCGCTTCGGTCTTCGGCAGTGAAGAGACTCAGACGTGGTCAGGACCAAAATACCCCGGTTAAGCCACGCAACGAAGAGGATGATGACTCTGACCTACCAATTCGGTCTTCGGCTGTGAAGCGACTCAGGCGTGGCCATGAGCCAAAAAAGCCGAGTGAAAGTAGCGACGGAGAAGATGACTCCGACCAGCCGATTCACTCCTCACCCGTGAAGAAGCTCAGACGTGGACAAGATATACCTCATCCTCAGACACCCCGAACTCCGCGCGATATCTCGAACCAGGCCAGACTTGATCTTGCTGAAGATCTGGATGACCTCCGGGACTCAGGTATGAGTTGACCATGTACGGCTATTTCTTAAATCATGCTAACGCGGATCCTGTGTAGTTCTTCGAAAGAGCCGTACTCGTGGTCATGTTGCGGGATCTGCCCGAGACAACAGATTGAAGAATCTGGAAATCCTCCGGCGCAGACGAGCCGGTTTGAAAGAAGAGGAAAGTGAGGACGAGTCTGAGGAACAATCCGACTCAGACATCCAAGAGGTCGACCAAAATGACAATAAAATCAGTCCCTCTACTCGCCAGCTTAGTCGGAAGAACCAGCCGGAGGTGGACAGCGATGTTGAATCTACCATCACCGCTAACGAAGACTTGGACCGATACGAAGACGACTTCGTCCTGGAAGACGAGCAGAATGACCTCGGCGTCCCGACTGAAGGCATTCCCCTCGAATTCACCCGACACGCGTACAAACAGCCAAAGGACTACTTCCGCGATGTGGTATACTGGATGGTGCAGAACAAGCTCAACCCAGCTTTCCCCCGCTCAGACCCGATGTTCAGAATGGCATTCGCGAAACTAGAAGACGAAGTCAAAGGCCGGTCTGGCTCTCAGCTTATTTCCTCAGTCTGGACTCCTGAGTTCATCTATGCCATTCAAGCTCGCCCTTCGATGGAAATCACGGCCTTCCCGACAGAAGAGGACCATCCATGTGATGCATGCAGACGTTCTGGCCACCCCGCCTCCTTTGATCTGAAACCATACGACAAAGCATACTCTCTGGAGACACTGGAGCCCTTGAACGAAGAAACTTCCGATAGTGACGAACAGTCCAAGGATGATGACAACAGCGAGGATGATGGCAAGGAACGAGACAGAGATGGTCATATACTTCCACCTGAGGGCACCCACTTCTATCTAGGAAGGTAAGTAATTCCAGCATCGAAGACCAATATCCACGGTACTAACACTACATTTTGATAGAACATGCAAGGGAAGAGCCGACCTCGCCCACACTCTCATCCACTGGCGATACCATCTAAATGAATGGGTCATCGATTACCTCAACGGTTCGGGCCACATGCACGACGACGAAATCCTCCGACGGAACAACCTGAGCACCAAGAAGAAGACACGCCACGCCAATCATGTCCTTGACCAGATGGTCGCGTGCGGTATAGTCGATGGACTCTGGCGCGACTTCCATATCAGTCTCCGGACCGCGCGTGAGAAAGAGGTTTGTTTCTGGTTCTCTACCTTCTGGATAGCTGTTACTGACTTGATCTGTAGTCTCTTTTTGCCTGAAGTGGTTCATTCTATCATATCTGGTTTCACCGTTTCATGGCTTTCGATATTTCATGGTTTTTGAGTTCGAAGAATGTGCTTGCGATTCTACGCTTCGCATTCCTCAAATGGCCTAGCATTTATATGCCAACGTTGCTGGATGCGGGCCTCGACTTAGTTGCTGATTGCTCTGCTTTGCTCCCCTTTGCATGGTTTGGGAAACCAAATCCTCACATTTTCTTTCATTCGGCTTTTTCATAATGATACCCCCATTTGGCCTACCCTATTCTATTCCTATCTAGCATCAGGCTTGCTCATAGCTCTGCTAGCCTCCCTAACGATCCAACCACTTCCCCATTTCTGTATGTTGATGACCTCAGGCTAACGGTTCCCCTTTCCTTTCTGCTGCACAGACAGCTACACTAAAGCTGGTCACCTGGCATTGATTGTCCTTTGCTTTGGCACAGTGCCACAGACAATATTTTGAGCGTAACTAGCTAGGCTATCTACAAATGAAGCAATATCTACAAACCATTCCAAACTAACTCCAATATTAAGATAAGCCAAGATAAATGCCATGACAACAAAACCCCTTCATTTTTCATTACTTAGACATGCAGACGAACAGTAGAGAAGAAAGAAAAAAGGTGTATAGAGAAACAAGAAGGAAGATGATTGGGGGTTGTACAAATACATGCATGCATAAGCTGCCGGAGCCAAAATGTCAAAAGGCATGAGAGATGCGAGATAGAAAAAAAGTCAAAAAAATGAGGTATGACAAAAGGTCTGAACGATGCGGCCTGCGACAGGATGAGAGGTGAAAAGCGAGTTTCTTGATTGTCCTTCCTGGATCCCTTCGGGTGAAGTTTGACCAAATGGGATGTGCTCTCGCTGTGTATATACACAGTTCTCCTGTCGCCCCTGAAAATTGCTGATTGTGCTGTTTTCATGCTGTCAACTTTTGTTGCTAGAGACCGGGTCGCACGGTTTGTTGCCAGTTCCTCTGTTTTCCGTGGTATTAATTTACAGAGTGGGTTGAGCCTCCTTCTCGAGCTCGGTGCCGGGAGTGAGCATCTATTTGAAATTTGGTTAGTAACAGTTTGAAATTTGCAGTGGAGTTGAGTTGAGAGTGGCATTCGTCCAAGAATGAAATACTCGAGGCTATCGCACGTGTCATTTGCACAGATGACACGAGTCGAAATCCGTAGCCATCGCGCCAATTCCAAACAAAAGCCAAGGACAATGTCAAGAAAGAGAGAGTGGAATAGATATATAAACATACCTCGTTAGCACCCTTGATCATACCCTGCTCACGCTCCATCTGGATGTACTGCTCCTCCTCGGCGTAAGCAAGAGCGAAAGGAACACCGAGCAAGAAAGCGCTGGTGCTGATAACCCAGAGGGCCTTTCCGGAGAAAGACAAGCTAGCCTTTGTGAGGGATGTGACGGAAGAAACGGAGTTGGTGATGGTGCGGCGGGCGGAGGGGGGGATCATGTCTTTCAGGGCAGCGACACGCTCGTAGAGAGACTCGGCATCGAGCTCGAGGTCCTCATCGTTGGAGATCTCGGAGTCTATTGTTGATTGAGATTCTTGTCAGATACGTATTCAAAATAATTCGCGGTGGATGTGTTCATTTCCCGGGACAGGTTGGGTCGCGTGTTTGGAAGGGTTTGAAATGGGGGCATTGGGATTGACAATGGGGATGATGATCGAGGGGGATGAGAACGGAAGAGGCTTTTCGTCGGGATGGAATTGGACATTGTGTGGATGACAATGGCGCGGTGCGAGTTTCCGGGGTACAGGGTATGGGCGTGAATCCGGGATACTTACCAGTGTCTGAGTAGTCCTCGTCATCGTCGGAGACCAGGAGAGCATCGTCCTTGGTGGTGGAGGGCTTCTCGGAGAAGTGCTCGTCTTCGACCTCGGTGAGCTTGACCATTTTGGGCGGTGTTGGATAGGGATAACGGAGGGGATCGAGTTGAAGGTGATGGTTGATGATGGAAAGTCGCTCTGCGAATCGCTCCGACTTTTTTGCCGAAAAGCGGCGAGGAGCTTGGACCCACATACAACGATGTCATCTTCTTTACTTACGCACTTGTTTACTTATGAATTTGATAAGAGAGGTGTATTCTACAGTGATATTCTGGTCATGCTCTATAATTACAGATCATCCTCAGGATGCGACTTCCTACATGACCCATTTTATCCGACTATGAGGCCTCGAGGCATCGTTGAGTTGATTACCTCCGGCCAAGCTGCCACCGGGCAATCCGTTCTTGGATCTCTTCCCAGGGGAAAGCACGCAGCTTGTAGCCCTCCAGCTCACCTTCCTGCAGCACAACAGTAGGCTGGCCAGTACCCTTGCCATTGTTGTGGACCTGGCCACCAAAGACCTGGCGTGCCACACGGCGGAGATCCTCGACAGTGAGAGCCTCAATCTGCTCGCACATCTCGCGAACACTGACCTTGCGACCGTGAACCTGAACCTGGCGTCCAAGATCCTCCAGCTCGACCATACGAGACTCGAGGTTCATCAGCAGCGACGAGCGGAGCTGGTTCTTGGCGCGGTTGACTTCCTGCGCTTGGAGGGCGGTGTATCCGGTGTCCAGAGTCAAGGACTGGAGCTCACGGCACATGACCTCGAGCATCTGGTTTGTGCGGGTGGGACTGCACGAAGCGGAAATTCCGAAGATTCCGCTGTCAGTGTAGCTGTGGTTGAAAGCAATGCAGCTCTCGACCCAACCGTGTTGGTTCAACACGTTAGTGTAAAGTCGTGAGTACATGCCCTTTCCGGGTCCACCGGCGGAGAAAGAGCCACCGCCACCAAGAAGGGTCTGGAGGGTAGCGAGGGCATAGATATCAGGCGAGGAGATGGGAAGGGCCTCGAATGCAAGGTGGATGTGGCTCAGGCGAGGAAGCATAGGGCTCGCTGGTGGGGGAATCGGGGGGAGAGCAATAAAGCCACCAGTGTAGTGAGCAGGTTGTCTAAGGTTGAGAGAGGAGGGCTCAACCAGGGACGAGTGAAGAGGCTCGACAGTAGCATGGCTTTTGGAAGAGGAAAGATGCTTGAGGAAAGGAAGCTTCGACAAAAGCGAGGATTGTGTGTTTTCGGAGGCAGCCGGGCTGCTGATAGTCGATGAGGGAGTGAACTGAGGGACGGTGGGGACCTGGCCCTCATGGGCAGCCGCTTGAGAGTCGGACAGGGAAGTTTCGATTCCGGAGCCGGAGAGCACGGGTCCCTTGGTCTTGCTGGTTTCATTCGCCTTCATGTCTCCGAAGTATTGCTCGGTGAGCTTTACTGCCTCCGCGTGGGGAATTCCGGCAAAAGCGACGACCATGCGGTCCGGGTTGAAGAAAACTTCCCGGTAACGTTCCACCACGGCCTTGTTAATCTCGCCTAGTCGTTCCTCAGGACAAAGCAGGGGGTTTCCGAGGGTGTTGTTGCTGAATGCAGTCATGTGCACAAGCTCCGGGAGGATAAGTTCAGGCTTAGCCCAAATCTCGCCAATCTCGTACTCCGCCACGGCGAGTTGTTGGAGCACTTCCTCATCGGTGATAAGAGGATCCCTGATAGTTTCTGCGAGCAGACCAAGCGTGGTGGGAACTGCCGAGTTGAAACTAGCAGACTGGTACATTAGCGACTCGCGGGACGAGGCGCACTGAATGTTGCCGCCCAGACCCTCTAGAGTCTCCAGCATATCATCTGCACTGCGAGTCTTGGTTGATTTGAAAGCTAAACGATCCATGATGTGGCTGACACCACGCAGGCTGGCATCTTCGTAACGGGATCCGGCATCGACGTAAACTCCGACACCCGCGAAGGGTCCCGGTAATGATTCCGTGGCGACGCGAACGCCATTGGGGAGTGTGGTGATTTGTTCGAGGTCGGCAGGATCCTGCAGAGAAATTGAGATATTAGTGATCTTGAAGATGTGCACCGATGCAGGGGATTAGTTACCCTAGACGACTCAAGGGCTGTAGAGAAGCTTCTTGACACGGCGCGAGGAGCTCGGTTCAGAGGCTTCGCGGACTCAAGAGCCCGCAATGCTGTGCGGCGCATGATGTTTGAGTATTGACAGGTGTAGCAGCACGCCAGATTGAGATCGCTTGGTACACCTGGTAATTCCGGGGGTGATGTAGTTTAGATTGTCGGCGAAGAATCGTAATGGAGCCTTGATCCGAAAATGATTAGATAATCGGTTGTATGATCCTTCATCGAATCGATTTTCGTGCTATTAATGATAACTTTGTTCTAGCTAAATGATTATTTATTGTGACTCCGATCATCCATTTCATGTCACAATCTTTGTCTAGACTTTCTTGGTGCAGGTGCTGCTTGCTTACCAAGACGTGAGGTCTCGAATTCCCAGCCATGATGACATTTAGTACAGTGGCCATAAGTCCTTTTACACTCCCACCTCATATGGTTTAGTGGATTCACCCAAGGCACTTGAAATTGGACCGAAAAGACGTGACAAGCAGGTGAAGAAAGGAAAGGCCAAGTTAAGGCTCAAACAATGCATGACAATAGCACACTCACCGCGAGGATTTCCTAGTGAAATTGTCTAGCATTTCATAGCGCCATGAACAGATTTTGGACCCCTGTTGTAGAACCTAATGATATCATCAATTTCAGATCTAACACACATCTAATAATTAAGGATGTTCCGAAGCCCAGTTCCGGTACCAATCTAAACAAGAAGCATTTGCAACACTCGCTCCAATCTTGATATTGAGTCCACACAAAATCTGCTTGACAGCATTTTCGACCTTCTTGCCATTGGACGTCACAGGGATCTCAGGGCAAGCATCAACAGCACCAGGGACATGACGGGGACTAAGCTCCTTGCGAATAGTAGCTTGGATACGAGCGGCAAGGTCCGACGGCATTTTAGATTCGCCAGAAGCAAGACGGACAAACAAAACGACTGTCTCATCCGTATCGATTCCCTCCCGACGACGACCGATGCACAGCGAGTCTTCGACCTCTTCAGCGAAATGCTTGAGGAGAACGTTGTAGATCTCAGCACTTCCGAATCGGACACCGGAGGGCTTGAGGACGCCGTCACTGCGGCCCAGCATTACCACGCCACCAGTTTGGGGGTTCAAGCGCACGTAGTCACCGTGGTGCCAGACCTTGGGTCCAAAAACATCGAAGTAACTCTTCCGGTACTTCTCCAAGCCTACCGGCCCGGGTGGCCAGAACATGACTGGCTGTGCAGGGAAGGGTGTAACGCAGACGAGATCGCCAGGTTCGCCGGTCTCACTGATGTCTTTTCCGGCATAGTCAAAGACTGAAATATCCATTCCCAAGGAACGGCATTGGATCTCTCCTTTGTAAACAGGGAGAATAGGACAACCAGAGGCAAACAGAGAAAGGATATCAGTGCCGCCAGTGATGGAGCCGAGCATGATATCGTGATGAATAGAAGAATAGATATACTCGAAAGTCGATGGCGCCAATGGGGAGCCAGTACTGAAAATAGCCCTTAATGACTTGAGGGAGACTGGCCGATGGGCATGCTTGTGTGGGTTCAAAGCGGCCTGCTCAAGCAAGGAGAGGTATTTGGCAGACGTGCCAAAGTGTGAGATCTGAAGCTCCTCAATCAGTCGAGGCATTGCCATTTCTCCCTTGCCACCTTCAATATCGAATGGCCGGAACGGAGAGCCATCGTAAAGGACGATCGTTGCGCCGCTGGCCAATCCGGAAACTAGCCAGTGCCACATCATCCAGGTGGTTGTTGTGAAATAGAACAGGCGATCGCCAGGTCGGATGTCGCAGTGAAGAAGATGCTCTTTCTTATGCTGTAGCAATGTACCTAAAGATCCATGAACAATTGGCTTGGGGGCACCAGTAGTACCAGATGAGTATAGGATATAGACTGGATGCTCTGGCTTCAAGCTCGCAAACTCCAAGGGCGCCTGTGGGTTCTGAACGTTGCCGACGAAGTCTCCATAAGCCATTGACTTTCCATTGGCAGGCTTCAGGTCATCAAGATTAATCTCCAGTTCCGGGGCAGTCACCAGTAGCACCAATAGCTCCAGATCAGGCAACTCGGAGACAATCTTCCACACCTTGGCGTGAGAGCCATGCACCTTACCATTATACAGAGAGCCATTGTCAGCAAAGATAATCTTAGGCTGAATCTGCTTCAGGCGCTCGAGAACTGCATGCACACCAGTGTCTGGAGACACGCCGGTCCAATAGGCACCAATCGAGGCTGCGGCCAACATAGCCACGACCGTGTGGACATGGTTGCCTACAAAGCCAGCAACACGATCCCCGGTAACAATGCCTGCTTCTCTCAAAGCGTTGGCACATAGCCGAACTCGCTCTCGCAGGTCTTTCCACGTGATGAACTCGCGGGCTTCTTCGGTGGCGCTAATGACTGCTACGGAATTCTCATCCAGCGCACAGGCTGGGTAGAGGAGATTCTCGGCAAAGTTTAGAGTGCTACCTTCGAAGAATGAAGGTCTAGGGAACAAAACATCTTCGGTGTCCAGCACCTATAAGAAAGGGTCAGCCTCGTGACACAGCAGGAGACAAGTGGTTGCGGGGCTGCTGGGCTGCTAAATGGGTGTTACTGACTTTTTGATATGGCTCATGAGAATTGATCTTCGTATAATGCCAAATCTCTTCCCAAAATTGAGCTGGTTCGGAGACACTCCAATTCCAGAGGGAGTGGTAATCATGCAGAGACAAGCCGTGCTTCTTGTTGACTTTGGTCATAAAGTCATAGATCAGGGTTGACTCCGGAGCAGAAGGCCGCCAGAGCTCCTTTGCCTCGTGGTCGAGACTTTCAATATGAGGCATGATTGAATTGATTGTAGTTGAACCCACAATGTGAAATCAAGCGGGGGACTGAGAATCCCAGTAGATTGAACAGCGAATTTCAATCAGTGTTGAATGCTGCGCAATAATTACCTGTTGGGCAAAGTGGCACGATTCGATCTAGTTCTGTATGAAGTGAAGCTTGTGATAGGCTTAACAGGGGTCAAGCTTGTATGCAAGAGTAAGTCTATGCAGATGCCCCAACAAGGGAGGCGGATATAGTCGGGTATTGAGTTGCCGATCTCCGCGGCACTTTATCCGCACAGTCCACAAGTAGAGAGTACAGGGCTCTCCCACCCTTATATGATTTAATCGATTCGAAGCAGTCGAGGATGGACAAGAAAGAGGTGAAAGAGGAGGTTAAGAAAGGGAGGCCTAGTTAAGGGCTTGAACAATGTATGGAATACCACACTCACGGCAAGGATTTGGTCAAGAAATGGTCTAATACTTCTTGCAATGTGAATGGTTTCCTCCGTTGTATGAATAGGAGATATTTCCCCTTCTATGCAATCGAGATTGATATGTCACATTCTATGGTGACAGTGACAGAAGTAGGCCTCAGGTGTCTACAACGTTTTCGTCATGTACGTCATCACTTGAAGTGTCAATTGGAGTAATGACATATATGAAGTGTCTATTACTATTTCCATTGTCTGTACTGACAATATAAAAACTATAACTAACAAATACCTAACTACATAACTAACTACTGAAATCAGGGGAAGACTCGGAGCCGAAAATTTAGTGCGAAAAATTGCGCTTGTAAAGTGATGTAATAATACCTCCTTGTCAAGTTCATCAGCCAATCATGGCTGGTATCCAATGTATATTGTATTTCGCGATTACCAGGAGGCCTTGGAACACGCTCCATCTTATTTACCTTCTCAGACTCTCTCCTGACAATTGTTAACTCCAACTCCAACTTCCCTCCAGATTGGTCTTTTCGTCATTTGAACGTAGGGCTGTTTGCCCCTTGTTCGTTTCCTCCCATTCCACGTGCTTTCCCGACTCGACTAGCTCAACCGGAGTCTCTCGGATCCCCAAAGTACGTCTGACACTTTTCGAGTCTCGACTTGAGCCTGCCTGGCGCGCATCACTCAGACCTGAGCACTCAACTAACCGCTGTGTTCTAGTCGGTTGCTTGAGATCCTCCCGGTAGTCCCTGCCTCACCTGAGAAACTCGTTGTTTCCTGCGATGCCTCGTCGGTTTAGCAGCAACTCCTCTAACGACACTTCCACCTCACCGTCCTTTTCGCCTTCTTCGGGAAAGGGCGGTAATTCCAAGGCCCCCACGGTCAAATCCAATCGCCTGTCCCAATTCTTCTCGGTTTCACCCAAGTCCAAGGAACAGACGCCAAGTGGGCACTCACAACCTAATACTTCTTCTCCGCCGATCAGTTCGGCATCACTGTCCTTACCGACGATATCCTTATCTACAGCTACAGCCGATAGTCTAAACATGGACGAGCTGCCCAAGACCCTCTTCCAGCCCCCTACTCCGGAGGAAGCCCGCAGGCAGGCCAAGCAACATGCCCAGTTTGGTCAGATCGGTCACCCCAGTCACCGGTACACCAGTCGGCACCCCGGTGGTGACTTCCCGGAGCCGGTGATGGACGAGCCGCCTTATTATTACCTCCTCACCACCTATATCAGCTACCTAATCCTAATTGCTTTCGGACACGTGCGTGATTTCTTCGGCAAGCGTTTCCGGGAAGAGAACTACCGCCACCTCAAGCCTCGCAATGGATACGGTGCTCTCAACAGTGATTTCGACAACTTTTACGTGCGTCGTTTGAAACTGCGCATCAACGACTGCTTCGAGCGTCCCATTACCGGTGTTCCCGGTCGAACTGTAACCCTGATCGACCGCGCCACGGATGACCATAACCAGCACTTTTACTTGACCGGTACCACAACCGATACCCTGAACTTGAGCTCGTACAACTATCTCGGTTTCGCTCAGTCCGAAGGCCCTTGTGCCGATTTGGCGGAGGAGTCTATCCGGAAATATGGAATCACAGCCCCCAGTACCCGCGCGGAGTCCGGCACCCAGGATATGCACGTTGAAGTTGAGGACTTGGTTGCCAAGTTTGTTGGCAAGGAAGCTTCCATGGTGTTCTCCATGGGATTCGGTACCAATGCCACCATTTTCCCAGCCCTCGTCTCCAAGGGTTGTCTCTTGATTTCTGATGAACTCAATCACGCCTCGATCCGTTTCGGTGCTCGTCTCTCTGGTGCATCTATTGCCATGTTCAAGCACAATGACATGCGGGATCTCGAGTTACGGCTTCGGGAAGCTATCTCTCAAGGTCAACCCCGTACCCACCGCCCCTGGAAAAAGATTCTGGTTGTGGTCGAGGGTCTGTACTCGATGGAAGGCTCTATGTGCAACCTTCCTAGTCTCGTGGAATTGAAGCGCCGTTACAAGTTCAACCTGTTTGTCGATGAGGCCCACTCCATTGGTGCCATTGGTCCCAATGGTCGCGGTGTTTGTGACTACTTCGGTATCGATACCGCCGAGGTGGATATCCTCATGGGAACACTCACCAAGTCTTTCGGTGCCAACGGTGGATACATTGCCGCAGACAAGGTCATGATTGATCAGCTCCGAGCCACGAACCCCGGTGTCTTCTACGGCGAGTCACCCGCACCAGCAGTTCTTTCCCAGATTGCCTCCGCTTTGCGTATCATCAGCGGTGAGATGGTCCCTGGCCAAGGTGAGGAGCGATTGCAGCGCTTGGCGTTCAACTCGCGATACCTTCGTCTGGGTTTGAAGCGTCTTGGCTTTATAGTGTACGGCCACGACGATTCGCCCATCATTCCTGTTCTGCTCTTCAACCCGGCTAAAATGCCCGCCTTCTCGCACGAGATGCTCCGGCGCAAGATCTCCGTGGTTGTTGTCGGTTACCCGGCAACTCCCCTGGTTTCATCCCGTGCTCGTTTCTGTGTCTCTGCGGCCCACACCAAGGAGGACCTCGACCGTGTTTTGACTGCCTGTGACGAAATCGGTAATGTCCTCCAGCTGAAGTTCTCCACTGGTATTGCCGGTGGTGCCATCCCTGCTGCTGAACAACCCGCTCCTCCCCCGGAGATGGAGAAGGAATGGCACCGCAAACGCTCAGAGTACATCACCCCTCCTCGCTGGCGCATCGAGGATGTCATCCGCCGCGGTGTCCAGGATGTCAAAACCCCCTTGTTTTAGTTTGCTTTTTCAGCCTGCCGGTCGATGTGATGTTGTCTTGAGTTGCTAGCTTCGAGATGAGTCTTCAGGCAGGGCTTGCCTCACGAGCGCGGTTGGTGCTGGTCACGCCGTGTCACGGTCATGATTCTATGTGCTCCTTTTTTGGTCTTTAGTCCTATCTGAGTTCCCACCTTTTTTGTGTGCATTATGAGACGATTGTTTTGTCTGATAGCGTGCGTGTCAAAGCAGGAAAAGAACTCAGATGTCTAGAACGAGACAAGGAAAACAAAACAGGAAAACAAAACAGGAAAAAGCAAAAGAACCAAAACGGTCATGAGTTATCAAGCAACGAATGGATATGCCTCGTTTCTCCCCATGTCATCTTTCCACTCTTGCTCCCTTCCCCTTCTTGCATCACATACAATTCATCTCATCCACGTGTCACTACTTTCTTGTCATTGTCTCCCCTTTCACCCTAAGATATTGCCTAATTCCACCTCGCCCAATCAGCTTCCCGTTTCTAGGTGTGTGTTCGCGTCAGTAGACTCAAAACACAACCCTTCAAAGCAGGAAGTCTGTCAAGCAGGTCTCCCTGCTTCGATGCACATTATGTATAAGTACTACCATTATCTCGCATGCAGGGCAAAGGCTGGCTCCTTTTTTGCTTCTTGTCTTTTTTAACTTCTCTCCCCCTTGAATGTTTCTTCGTGTTTCATTTTTCTTTCTTTTTCTTTTTGGCTATAGATATGAAATGGGACCACGGACTTTAGGATATATCTAATAAGTTAACGTTATTTTATAACTTATGCATTGTATACTGTATGATATGACAAGGCTATTTTTGCTCGCTTTGGCTTTGGATCTAGGGCAGTCTTCTCGGGAACAGAGAGACTTTACTGGGAACGGCGCAAACAGTGTAACTGCCGAGAATAATAGCCATTCCTCGACCTATTCCCACCGTCCTCCCTAGACAAATAGAGAAATCGATCGAATCTTGCATACAGCACACGCATTGAGTTGTGGGCCTGATGAATCTCACCGTAGATTATCACTACCAGTTCCAAAGGCTACATCTGCAATGATGACTTGGCTCTGCAGATATAAAGTCAATTTATGTACATGTACCTTGGTCACATTCTATCAGATGGGCATGCGTGAATAATAAGGAGATTTAGCGAGTCAACTTGAAGCACACACCCTTCCTCCACTGATATGCTGTATGCTGGTGATACTCTGTACTTGACAATTGGGATTACCATTGTGCTAGGAAAATGTGAACCTTCGTCAGTTCATGTAGTCACATACAACGACACGGTGTTTCCCCGATCCGTTGACTACCAGGCAGAATTAACCTCAAATTTAGTTTCGACTTCACCCATCCAGCGGCACAATCATAGAAACCGATATGTGAAGTCCAAGGTCCTATACCCCTTCCATCGACTTTATATCAGCCATTTGCGAGGAAGCAGACTAGTTAGCAACCATCTTGACAGGAAAGACAAAAACATATATCGACATGGACATAGACATGTACATACCAGGTAACAGTGACTTCATATAGTTCATCCCGAGGCTCGAAGTTCTCTTGCTGCTGAGCTGTCAGAAAAAATTGAGAATCTTTGCCCACCTCATTGATGCTGAAATGGTGTGTTATGGTGTAAAACTCTCCGATTCAATCTTAATACTCTTGAACTGGAGCTGAACGTGATAACAATCGAGATATACGTTCCTTACAATGAACCCAATCCTCAACTTGGAGTTAGATCCTACTTTCAGGTTGAAACGATCCGTTTTGAGCGTTTCCATCCCCACGGGCGTGGAAATATCGTATGTTTTGTTTTCGTAGTCTTCGTAGTTGACAGACAGTGTGGTGACATGCAAGGGTTCTTGTGGATGCTAGTTACACCTAGTTCCTCTCTATAAGTATGTCCGTGGATTGGAAGAACGTACCTGGTATTGTGCTTGGTTTTGGGATTGTGGTCCGTGGTTTAAACCTGGCTTGATATTTGTTATAGAAAATCAAGCGAGACCAGAGAATTACGGGGCTCTTATAGATGATTCCAAGTGTTACTTTGTACACACATGTTCAATTCGATGTCGGCATCAACGTGCGAGACAAGACAAAAGCGGTCTATATTTCTTTTATTATTAGATATGGAGTATTCATGGAGTATTCATACTCCATAGGCTGATTCGCATGCATGTAGGGAATTATTACGATTCGAGGTGCAGATATTACCTGTGCTATGAATCAAGGGGTTACCAGCATTCATTACATTATTCTCATGGCCAATATCAGTATAAATGTCAACCAACTCATAATTAAGGTGATCTAACCCCAGCCTAAACCAAGCTGGATTAGAGGATTGATGGATGCTAATACGATGTAACTCATCTATCCAAAGCAATCAAATATATACACTCACAGGAAAAGAGCAACGGCAACAAAGGCACCAAGAGCACAGACAGCTCCGGAAATGGTACGCGACGAGGCGCTGTTGAATGCAGGCGATGGGCTGCTGCTGACAGTAGTGCTGCTGGTGGTAGAGCCAATGGAGCCGGTGATGGTAGTACCCGCATCAGCGCTGGAGCTGGAACCAGCGCTAGCGTCGACACCGGTAGTTCCAGATGGTGTGGCGATGGGAGAGACTCTGACTGTTGATGAGATGACGCGGGTCAGGCTTGAGGGATTGTTGATGCGGGATGCGCCGTTGGAGTTGAAGGTCGAGTCGGAGCCAGAGCTCGAGCCAGTGTTGAAGCCAGTATTAGATCCAGTGGAAACAGTCAAATCATTGGAACCAGCACCGGGACTGGCACCCTCGCCAGATCCAGACTCAAAAGTAAGCTCAGTTCCAGATCCAGTAGTCTCAACAGCACCGCTAGCACCACCGGCAGTAGTACCAGTAACAGTGACAACAGAGAAGACGGTCGAAGTCCGAGTCTCAGTACCAACGACGATAGTGGTAGTAGCAACAGGAACGGACGAATTCTGAGCAGCACTAACAGCAGTCGTAGCCTTAGCCGGGGCAGCGGTGTTCGCTCCAACAGGGACGGTAGAAGTTCCAGCAACGAGAGTCTCGGTCTTAACGTGGGTCGTCTTGTCGCGGGCTGGGCAGTCGGTGACTGTGGCGGGGCATTCAGTTACGGTTACGGTTCTTGTTGAGAGGATTGTTGACGTGATGTAGTCCTCGCCGTTTCCATTGCCGTTGTTGTTGTTGCCAGCTGCGCCGGTGGTGTGGGCGTCCACAGCAGCGTTGATTGTGGTGCTGCTCTCAGCAACGGGGCAGACGGTTGTCGAGACGAGGATTGTCTCTGTGGTGATGTAGGTTGTCTTTTCGGTGGCGGGGCAGTTAGTAACAGTAGAGGGACAGGCGGTGATTGTCTCAGTGCGGGTGCTGAAGACGGTAGAGGTTGTCATCTCTGGGGCGGGGGTCTCGACTGGGGAGGCAGAGGCAGTGATTTTGGTGCTTGAGCTGGTGGCTTGGTTGCCATTGTCGTTGCCGTTGCCGTTGCCGTTGCCGTTGTTGTTTCCAGAACCGGTAGACTGGGACCCAGCAGCAGTAGTGGTAGTAGTGCTCCCCTCCTCGACGGGACAGACAGTGGTAGATACAGCGATAGTCTCAGTGGTGATGTGAGTAGTCTTGTCGGTGGCAGGGCAGTCAGTCACAGTCGAAGGGCAAGCAGTGATCGTCTCAGTGCGGGTCGCATATACAGTGGAGGTGGTCATAGCCTGAGTCGGAGTTCCAGCAGGGGAGGAAGTGACCTGGGTGGATGTAGCCTGACCGATGCCGCTAGAAACGGCGCCAGAAGACTGGATGTCGCTACTAGAAGCGGTGTTTGCGGGCCCGGTGACGACAGGAGTCCGAATTATGGTGACAGGGGTGCTGCTCAGGGAGATTGCAATTGACGAGGATCCGTTGGAGCTTGGTTCAGCAGAAGGGGAAGCAACTGGGCCGCTGGGCACACCGGCACTGACGCTGCTTGATGATCCAGAGCTGTGGGAGCTAGGCTGGGCAGAAGGAGAGCCAGATAGGGAGCCCGGGGGAACTGCTGAGGCGCTGGTAGACTGGCCGGGGCCGTGTGAGCTGGGAAGAGTGGAAGCAGAGCCAGAAGGAACAACAGAGCCACTAGGAACAGCAACACTGCTGGAAGCTTCAGATCCATGGGAGCTAGGCAAAGCCGAAGCCGAAGCCGAAGCAGACGGAGACTGAGAAACAGGCGTCAAAACAGGGACACTAGAAGGAGGCGGAGTCGAAGCAAGAACGGAAGAAGACGGAGCAGAAGAACAAACACCCTCAAGCACAATATTATCAACATCAACAATAGTTGCCGAGTCACCAGCATTAGGGCACAGAATCGTGACGATAACATCAACCCCAGTCGAATCAGCAGCCCACTCCGTAGAGATAGAAACAAACTCAGGGTTGGTTCCGTGGGTAGACTCATCCATTTTGCCATTGAGCATAATCTCCACCTCACAAGAAGCCGGAAGACCAGTAGTTCCAGCGATCTGGCGGTAATCCATGGAGAACTTGTAAAGCTGGCCAGCGATAGTGCCAGCGATGGACTGGTGCATGAGGGTTTGGGCGCTGACTTGGTCGGATGTTAGGTGTCTATATTTGGGGAGGGTATGTTAGTATAAGATGTATGCATAGGCATGTAACTAAAGAGTAACTCACAAATAACCATCCACAACACTACCCCCCGAAGGAATCTGCCAGGTAGTCCCAGACTCAATATCAGAATCATTGAACGAGCCATTCTCAATCAGATTCCCGGATCCACAGCTGGAGGAAGTAGAAGTAGATGCCACAGCGGCAGGAGTCGTCTGCGGCGCAGTAATAGTCAAAGCAGCAGCAGGCAAGACATGGGCAAGCCACATCAAGCGAGCAGGAACCATCATTATTGCGATGGTATGACAGTAACAGATAAATTCAAAACGAATGGACGGGTGAGTATCACCACTAGAGATAAAGAATGGACGACGAGAAAGGCCGAAACGGGGTCGGGTTTTCACAAGTCAAGTCCGGAAGGGGTCCTCGCGGGTCTTTTGATGGGGTTTTTATGTATTACATACTAGGGCACATATACTGGGATGTACTAAATTAGTTCTGGGGTGACTGTTGTGGTTTTGCCATCTGGCTTGGACTTGGGCTGAGTGGCGTTGAGACTCCACTCGGAAGGTTAGTTCTGTCTGGCAAGTTGTAGCGAGAGACTTGGCTGATTATGGGCTAGGGTCTTGGTTCCTGCATGCTTTTGGCTTGTTTGGCTGTCTTTGGCTGTTTTTGCTGTGTGCATATCGGGTGGCTGTTGAATGGGGAAATTGGGGATTCGTGTTGGGCAAGTTAGGGCTTCGGTTGTTGTGTCAGCGGGCGGCTAGATTTGTCTTGTCTCAGACATTCTGTTGTTCAGGGGTGGTATTTTGGTGATTGGTTCTTGTTCTACATTATAATTCGATTTGCATAACTATGTAGAATCAACAGATAGATTGATCAAAACTACATCAATACCATTTTTTCTGGAAATGCGGCGATCAGGAACCGATCGATCCGAGCTCGGCCAGGCTAACCACGTTTTAACCGCATCAGCACTAACGTTAAGAGTCCACTCTCGGACTTGCCCTGGCACTTGTTTAAGGGTTTTCAATAGGCGGTCTATTCTTGTACGTACGCTATGGGCATGTCTCGGTCCTAGCCGATGTGAGAATATGATGTGTATGCATTAAACCGAAACCCAGCCCATAGGAAACCTCCTATTTATGCTGTCCAGAAGGGACGCACCTGATGAATTAAATCAGAAAACGCCAAACAACCACAAATCACGCCGTGTATCAGAAATTTAAGGGAAAAAAGGATCAATTCGATCCAGTCATGTCATCATGCAATGCATCGTGTCTGCTCCACTCTAAGTGGACAGGGACAAACAGATAAAACACTTATAAACGAACGTCATTAGACCGTACCATACCGACCACGCTCTGAGCCAAGCAAAGCCTGCCCCTCTTGCGATCGCGAAAGATCTCTCGACACCCGCTCTGGTGAAGTGGACGGGATCCAACCACGCATCCAACCACGAACACGCTTCCAGCTGCTCCGGCCACGCTTCGGGTCACCTCCCTCGGTACTGATGAAACTCTCGTCATCCTCAGCATCCGGGCCATCGCCGTACATGAGGAATTGAATGCCCATGAACCCATCCAGCCCAAGAACACCGAACGCGCCAAGGAAGAATGGGAGCGAACGTCCGATCCATTCCCAGCGGTCATTACCGTGGCCATCGGCCCAGCCACCGCCGCCATATGGTGCGAAATCCGACCAGGCGTTCGGGTTGGTGAGCAGGGAGGTGGAGTAGAACAAGTTTCCGCAGAAGGCGGCCATAAAGAGCAAAGGAGAGAGACCTTCTGTGCTCTTGCGCTGGTAGTTCTTGTACAGCTGGGGAGGGCGCGAGCCGAGATAAAGCAATGTTGACATCCAGGAGATGATACGGCCAAAAATCTCGAGGATTGTCTCGCTGGGAGCGTGGGAGATAGGGGGGTGGGGCGATTCAGTGGGAGCGGCGTTGGCAACCATGGCGCAAAGAAGCGATGCAATCAACATTGTCCGAGGGAGTACAAAAGGGGCACTCTGGGCACTGCTGCCGACTCGGACGGAGCGGCGCGAGGAGCTCAGTTTCTCGTTTGAGTAAGAGGCTCCCTGGTCAGTCGATCTGGGAGTTGACCCGGCCTGAATACCCATATCCTTTGCTTCGGCCGCCTTGGTGTTCATGTTGACTGCTGATGGTGTGCGGAGGCTTCCTTCGTGTCCTGGAGGAGAGACACCTTGAATGATTTCCCGGCCATCCGAGTCGAAGGAGTTCGACATGTCAGAATAATCTCTATTCCGGTGAGCTTTCAGGTGGGTATACCAGAAGAACTGGAAGACCATGGTGATGTCAACCAGGACATAGTAGCCTGCTACCACGACCTGCCATCCCGCCTGTCTAGTGAAAAGTGCTCCAACCAGGTTGCTTGCATCCCCTAGACACCAGATGATCAGAAAGAATATGGATAACCCCGACGTTGACTGCAGCTGAAAGTTCTTGAATATCTGAGGCAGTTGGGCAAAGAGCCAGGAGACAATGCTGAGGGTTCCGAGAACGGAGGAGATCGCCGCTAAGGGTGTGGGGATGCAGATGTGGAGACGCGAGGAGACGGCGGTCAAGAAGGGCGAAGTCGGTTCACAGTGGTCAGGCAGTGACGCAGAAAGGAGGCTGTGTAATAATGGAGGAGACATGGTCTATGTGTATCTGAAGTCAAGGTCGAGCTGAACGGTGATATGGTTGTGCACAGGGTGTGTGCGCGGGCGGATATGGGGTAAAACGCTAGGCGATAAGCAATCCGGGGTAAGAGGGAGGAGAGAGAAGTGATGAAAGAGGAAGAGGAGGGTGTATAGTCTAATTGTAGGTCTATTGAAGAAGTAATAAAAGGAGATCAAAGGAGGAAGAGAGAGGAACCGGTCACACTGAGGTGTCACGAGAGCTGTTATCTCGGGGCTGATCGGATGACTCATGATAAGGGTCCCCTGGGGTCCTATCAGTGATCTACGGAGTGAGTTAGTGGCATTACTTACTTGTTATGTGAATGTAACATTAAGTATATCTGTAAGTCGCCATTTCAGGATATATATGGTTCGACTTGGCATCTAAAGACTTGAATCGGATAAAGAACCCGCCTCAACATAGCCATATAGGCTATTCTTCCACCCGTGGACAACCCCACCTCTATATAATACCATTTTTAATCAGCTAAAGCCTGGGGTATCAAAATGTTCAAAAAATAGGTGAAGAAAAAACAGAGAACAAAGGTAGCTACGTAGCTATATCGACAGGTGATATAATAAGCCAAAAGGTGATCTTCGGTCATATGGTACCCTTTGCCAACTTTTATGTGGCTCTGCTCAAGTAGATAGTGAATGCCTACGTAGCCTTGGCTTGTAGTCCCATAGTACTGTTTCTGATATCATATGTGGCGCTTCGATGTATAAATATCACATAAAATTCGAGTGACTAGAGATGTATATCTTGATCATAAGGATGTAGAACTCCACAACGGGATATGGAGGACTAAAAGATGCAAAACAATAGCTGAAAAGTAAGTATCAAGAGAAAAACAAGCTCATAGCAGCCAATATCGAGTCCGTAAAGTGTCATAAAGCATAACTCATAGTCACTTCCAGACCCAAGGCCCGAATTGCTCGATCACGCGAAACAAGAAACCATAGCGACACAAACCACTCAATACTCATCCTCACGATGCCTGGAGTGACTACCATGATGCGAACGAGAATGTGAATGATGCGAATTCCCACTATGCCCACTATCACTATGCCTCGAATGACTCCGATGGTGATGATGGTGATGATGATGACCATGCCGACCATGCCGATGCTCAGACTCATCCCGATCATGCTTCTTATGATCCTTCACCTTATCCTCAAGGAAATTCCCCAGAATCGCACCACTAATCGCACCAAGCAAGCCATGATCCTTCTTATGGCCGAAGTAATAGCCTGCCGCACCACCAGCTAGCGAACTCCCCAGACCACGATCGGTTTCCCGGTCCGAGCTTTCGTGCTCGTTGTCCGAGCGCTGCTCTCTCATCTCGTCGCAGCGTGTATCATGGTCGGAGATGGAAACCGCAGGCGGGTGGGGACTTGCAGAGGGTGTGTAGCGTGGTTTTTCGGCTGGGTGGTCATTGCTTGTTCCAATTAGCCTTGAAACATGCACGGATATCTTGACCCGTGTTGGTTATGCTGCTACTTACTAGTATCCCAAGTTCTCGCCGCTGCGCGCGTACGGGTTTGCTGGAGCGCCGGGAGCGAGGTAGTTGGGCTGCCCTATAGGAGTGTGACTCCTGGGCGCATAAATTTCTGCAGCGAGGTTGTACGGGCTGGACTGTGGGGGATAGGCATGGCCCTGGTCTGGGATTGGCTGTGGGTCTGCAGTTCCGTATGGCTGCTGATATGGATATGCAGGGCATTGAGACTGATCTTCTGGGGGATAGTAGCCCACGCCGCCTGGGGCGGGCGTTGAGTATGAACCGTATGGATTGTATGGGTCTGCCATGTTTGAGTAGTGAGGTTGGAGTTGTTCAGGGCTGAAATGGTTTATATGTCAGACTGTCTGATGACTAGAGGGGCTATACATCATGGCGCGGCTGACCTGCCCGCACGACCCTCTGGAATGCGCTTGCCCTCCAATGACTTTGCTTCATGTTTTATGTTTTAGTAGTTTTATTTTACAAAGGACTGGAATTTGGATACGTCATCTTAACTGCAGATGACAGAATGAAATAAAACAGACAACTAACAAGGATGAGTCGGGGGTATTCCGGTGAAAATGAAAAGAAAGCATGTAAATAGGGCTGGCCGTGAGGACATTCAGAATCTCATCGCTCAACCGAGACGATAGAAAATGCAGGAAACTTGCGCCAAGTGGGTGACAAGGTGAAGAAAGGAAAGGTGAAAAGAGAGAAGGGCCGGCCAAAAGTGATGTGCCCAGCACATTCAATAGCCTCCTGGCAATCTATCAACAGAAGTGGTGAAACAAATACATCCAACTAGATGGGACTCTGCATGCTTCGCGCTGAGGCAGAGTTATTCGTGCGTTGTGACATCCAGTTCACAAGCATCTCGTCAAGCTGGTTGTTCATTTCCTTGAGTCGCTTACTTTCCTCCTTGAAGAGACGACCAGTAATGGGGTGGTCGGGTCCGGCAGGAGGAACATTTGATTTGTCATGGACAATAATGAACAAGTCGCGAATGTCATTTTCTTCGTCCATGTATGATCGTAGACTGGAGTCGCTCCAGGTAGGTGTGTCCACGGAAAGAGTGTCCATGGATGCAGGAGTAGCGGTGTTACCCTTGTGGTAGTTGGTATCAGCTCCGGGAGAGGACGGCGGTGATGGCGGTGAGAGAGAACGCACTCCTTGCGGTGAGGCGTCGAGGGTCAAGCCCGGGGCGCCAACAGGGATATATCCCTCCACAGGAGAAATGTTGACAGGTGACTCCGGCTCATGATCTCTGGGTGCAAACTTAGGCGTAAACTTCTGAGGCGGCGACGTAACAGAGATTGATCCAGCGGCGCGAGCAATTTCGCTGGGAGCTCTCCATTGCGCTTCACTAGATGTGCGTTCAACAGGCGAAGCCAGGGCGTCCCTGGATTCAGCAGGAGTGGCAAAGGGATCCCTGGAAAGACTGCTTTGGCTGACAGGAGATGACAACACAATGTCACACTCCTCGAAGGCTTCCTCTTCCTGCGATGTCACCTTTCGGATAGTCTTGTCAGCACTCTGCTTGGGCTCGTGCTTAGAGTATTCGACTATTGCAGGGTCGAACTCTGTATCCACCTTCATGATCCCTGGAGGCTGCTTCTGTAGCTTTTTGTTCGTATCCTTCTGGGATTGGGGTTGATGTTTGATGGGTCGTTGTTCGGGTGACAAGGACTTTGATGAAATCGACTCCATCGAGGTCTTGGGTTCCGGAGACTTCTCTCCATCCTCGACTTCGTCTTTGCTCTTCTTGCGTTTGAATAGGCCGCTGAGCATTCCAGGTTTCTTATCCTTTCGCTTCTTGTCCTCTTTGAGCTTGTCCTGTAGGCTGGATCCCTTCTCAATGGACTCGAAACTTCCACGAGGCTCAATCAGGGTTAGCATACTGCTTCTTTAACCATTTCGGGAAGAACCTACCTCTTTCCATTCGGCCAAGCCACTACTACCACCGCCGCCACCAGATTCATCGCGCAACAAGTTGGGGGTGAGAGAAATCTTCTTGGGCTCGGCTGTGTCATCCTTGAAGAACGAGTCGGTGTTTCGTACAGTGCCATTTCTGGATCTACTGACGGTGGGTTCTGTTTTGCAGAGTGAGTTTCAGATATCACCCGAAACAATGAAGAGGATCCTTACCTTCCGATTCAAAGAATTCTTCACTTGATGGGCGTCGGTCAGAGCTTGAACGCTGTGATTCCGCTTGCGAACCGTGAACATCGGTATATTCGACTGTCTTGTCCTTCTGTCCCTTGGGGCGAAGTGGTTCGACGACAATATCTTCGGTTTGGGCTTGTGCATCTTCCTCTTCTCCGTCGAGAGTCTCATCGTCGTTGAAAAAGTCGCCATTTTCCGAGTCTTCATCGCTGGAATATTCAACATCCGAAGCTTCGATATATGTAGGAGGTGCGAAATTGACGTTCTTAGCGTTCCGGCGGCGCATTGCCTTCTTCAAAGGATTCTTCGACTTCTCATTGTTGTCGCCCAGCATGGTCGCAGAAAGCTATTCAAGTTAGAAGATGTCCGAAACATCCTAATGGCAACACATACATCCACATTTCTGTGTTTATTCAATCTGGCCAGTCTTTCCGTCGGCGTTTCGATGTGCTCCGCGGGGAGGTATCCTAATCAAGTCAATAACAGCCATACTAACCCGTTAGATATGACATACCAATGCTTCCATCCTTCACCACGCGAACCAGCCACCAGTAGCTGTTGCTGTCATCAAGAAGAACCATGGTATCGCCCTTGGCAGCATTTGCTTGCCCATCGACAGTAGCGACGAAGTTGTGAAGCGCATAAACGAATTCGAAATCAATATCCTCTGTGCATCGTCAGTAATAATCCTCTTCTCCGAAGAGTCACCAAGATTCCATACCATCATCAATACTGGGCGAACTGGATATTTTGTCCATCAAATCATCGTCCATCAGATCATCACTTTCGCCGTCTGCCAGATCCCCGTCTTCGTGATCATAATCTCCGTCTTCATCTTCGTCGTTATCGGGCTCGCGATATACGTTCTTGTCGGGTCCACCGTTTATTTCCGACTTAGAATCTTGATCCGCATGACGGATGGAAAGCTCTTGATGTGGAGCAGGCCGGCCGCTCCCAAGAGGCTCTGGATGTTCGGGTTGTTTAGAGTGATCTTTAGCAGAGGGTGTATCGTGGTCTTGGAGATCCAAGGTATCTAGGAGACATAACGGTCAGTACTCGACTTCGGAACCTTGCTGCGCAACAGACGCATGGAACATACCGGCTCGAATCATCTGTGGCCTCGTCATGTTGTCGCTTGAAACGAGTGTGTTATGGAGAACAATTGAAATGAAACAAGTCGTGAGCGCAAGGAGTGACTAGCGGTCGACAAGGAAGTTGAAAGAGAAGCACCGGACAAAAGGTATGCGCGAGTCTCCGGAATTCCTGTTTCTCGGAGCGGTACGAGTACCAGGCAGTCAAATGTCGGTCGGGGTCGCCAAAAAGACGTTGAATTGACCCAAAGGAGAGACAGCACCCTTGGAGAATAGTGGGGGCTGGTTTGCGCTGCACGTCCTCTGCACGGGGCGGGCGACACGAGGTGGACGCAAAGGAAAAAGGATTACTGCCAGAGTGACATCAAGAAGAAAACAATAAATGAACAAAGATGTGTCGACGTCGAGTCTGGAATAGGGTCTCCTTTGTTCCCCAGTAACCAAAAGGAGGTCGTCTCAAAACAAGCGCCCCTTGCGCGCGGCTAACCATGGCTCTGTGACCCCTGAAACAGAGCCCAATTGGGAGCTTAGGGCTTAGGGTCACCGTAGCAGATATAAGTCAGCTGATCTCGGGACTTCCCGGGTGGAACCTTAAGCTCATTTGCTGCGTCATCATCCAACCCGACTTTTTCCAGTCACCTCCCCCAGGTACTTTACCAATACACCACGTTTGATTCCTTCTGCTATACCTACTTTCGTACCCACTTCGAATCACCTCGAGCTTTTTTCTTCCCTGGTCTTACAATTTCTTCACTTCTGAACCTCTACAGCTTACTTACAACCGTTTTTGTCCCCACTTCCGACGCTATCACCCCACAATATTCGCTTTAAACACACAGCACTGCACCGCAGAGGGTTATACAACCCTACTGCAGGCCTGTAAAGTGCTCAAAACGACCGACATACTGTTCTCCGTGCCCGTATAGGGCATGGCGCACGCCGAGAGGAACGGATTTGCGCATGGATTGGCAGGCTTGAGGATTGAAACTTCATTTCATCGAAACAGTCCCCGATGGGGCAATGAAGATGGGAGGAGAGCGACAGAAGAGGGCGATGGTATCGAGAGCGACCACATCAATGAATCTCATGATTACAACGCGCGTCGCCGCGATACTGATGAAGACCGCAGTGTGTTAAGTGATCTCCACTCAGCGACCCCTCCCATTTCTGTCCCTCGCCCAGACGAGCAGCCAACGGACAACGATGAAAATTTCCCACACAAGCCCGACGATATTCAGGGCTCTCCACTTGATAGCTATTTGCAAACTCGTCGACCCTCTATCAGTTTCAACCCGAAGGTCTCCGTGGACTCTGGTAACCAGGTCCCCTTGGAGGAGCCACTTTCGACTGGCGATGTGAAGAACCGACCACCGCAACGATTCGAGTCTCGCAGCTCAGGACTTCGGAATGCTCTTTCTCAAGATGACGAGTCCATCGATTCGCAGCACGACTCTTTGTGGAACCCCAAACAATCTCAGGCTCGGAGTTTCCCGACCGGACAATCCCGACCGCAGTCCTTTGGGAAAGCCGACGATGCTTCAGCCGTGGGAACGGAGATCGACCATCCGACGTCACTTACATCGCAGTCAACAGTATCTCCGACCACAAGCGAGGTGCGAACTCCGCCCGATGATTCCCACTCGACGATGCTGTCGCCGTTTTGCATGGCATCGCCAAATCAATCTTTCCCATCCCCAGAAGATCGCAGTTCATGGTCTGGGAGCATCATGACTCCTTTCGGAAGCAAGTCTCGCAGTTCGGTTCTTGACCGCAGTAGCAGTCTTCGCAACTCTACGCGGCATAGTTCTCGTAGATCCACTACCTCTAGCGGCAAATCGCCTGCCAGCATGTTTCTTTCTATGTGGAGCAACCGTGAAGAGCCTGCTCCACAGCCTGATGATGAGGGACAGATGGTTGGAACAGACTATGTCCTTGGAAAGCAAATCGGGTTTGGAGGTTTCAGCACTGTGAAAGAGGCCTATAAGGTTGAAGAACATGGTGAAACCAGACGGCTTGCAGTCAAAATTGTAAAGAGAAACATCACGGACCGAAGCGAAAAGGAAAACGATGAAGTACAGGCAGAGTTCGACCACGAAGTGCGAGTTTGGCGGTATCTAAACCACCCACATATTCTGACGCTTGATGCCGTGTACGAAACAGAATACGCCACGTTTTGCTTCACCAAGTTTGCTATTGGTGGTACTCTTTTCGACCTCGTGCGCCAGAACCGATCAGGACTTGACACACATCTTGCAAAGAAATATACCTACCAGTTAGCCAGTGCTATTCGCTACCTCCACGAAGATGCGCACGTTGTCCACCGAGACATCAAGCTTGAGAACTGCTTGCTTGATCCCATTGAGGCTGCAGACGGCACAACCTCTTCGACCTTGATCCTTTGCGATTTTGGAATGGCGGAATGGATGTCCGTCGACGACGGCGGTGACTCCCCAGATCCCTACGACGACGCAGCTGACCGTCCCCCGCTCAAACAAATCGGTCCCGCGGGCTCCAGTACCAGTGTCGCAGGCAGCTTGGAATATGCATCTCCCGAACTACTTCAATCAGAAGACGGCGTGATCCACCCTTCAGTTGACATCTGGGCATTTGGCGTCATCGTCTTCACTGTTGTCGTTGGTTCACGTCCCTTCCAAGATTCATTCGCACCTCGCATCCAAGCAAACATTCTCAGCGGCACCTGGAACCACGATGCCGTTTTTGGCAAGGCCACAGACCCGGTTATCCGCAAGGATCGCCAGAATGCCCTCGACTTGATCCGAGGATGTCTAGAAATGGACATGAACAAGCGTTGGACCATCCGTGATATCATGTCATGCGCTTGGCTCCGTGAAGTCGCCGAGACTGAACCCTCCGACACCGTGTGGAAACTATGAGCGTCTTAGTTTCCGTCAGTCTATATATACCGGTTTTTCGACCACTATGATACCCATTCGTTTTCTTTTGGACTGTCAGCATTTGCTATTGTTCACGAATTATTTTCGATATCCATTTTTGCAGCGCGTTTTTCATTTCGGTTTATTTCATTTTGCTTTTTTATTTCGGGCTTGGTATTGGGTTAGGCATCACGAGACGGATGATTACGATTTTACATGCGGATTCCTGGTACACATGGCGTTTCCCCCTTCCTTTTTTTTTCTCGCTCCAATTTGTTCTCTGTTGTACTTTATCATGCGAGTTCTGTTCTCGCATTTGCCAATCTGTGAGATAATTGTTTGGGTGGCTGGACCGTCCTGCATATCGGATATAATGATATGGCTATGCTCTGCAATCTATATTCAACATAAATAATCTGCAGAATAGAACTCCCGAGTATGTCTCAACTACTAGCCCTACAAACAACATACAACAGGCGTTATAAGCTCTTTCACTCCCCCGCCTTTATAGGATCAAATTGATTAACCTGCAGCACTCAGAAATGGGCAAAAAAGAGCTGAAAAAAAGAGAGGCCATGTTAGTTAAGACAATGCATGAAATTGTATACTCGCTTCGAGGATCTTGTATGGAAATTGTCTAATGCTTGATAGCATTGTGAACAAATTCATGACTCCAGTTATAAAAGTTAAGGCTAAATTCCTGAATTGCATAGCCAAACATATCCAACAGCTATTGATACATGTACAAAAAGGTGTACTCAAAACAAATGCAAAATGCACAGTAGACAAGGTCTATCCCCCATCAACCAAGCCAAACGATCTACCAAAGTCTGTTCTCCGGCAAGACCTTCTTCTTCGTAACACCAGCAGCAGACTTCCGCTCCTCAGAAGAACGGAAGAAGAGACTAGGACCCTCAGAGCCCTTGAGCAAGTGGCTCAAGTAACCCCGATGCGCAGGGTCACGATAGTACTCAATATCGCGACGCTTAGTCGGATCGGGAAGTCGATACTTACCAGTCGCGACCTCCAGAACATCAACATCAACAGGCTCAGCCGCAGACACAACCTCAGCACCCTGGGCAGCGCGATAAGCCGCCGCAGCAGCCTGCAGCAAACCTGGCGAACCGGACTTCAGGTCCCACTGCTCGGAAATAAACGAATGCGTCTCGCCGGCCAGAATGCGTCGGATCGAAGAGGCAGTGTAATAGCGTGTCGTGACGGACCCCCCAAGATTCTCGATGGCGTTGATGGCGGAGGCGGAAGCGCGCGAGGCGACGATGTGGATGGGTTGTTTTAGGGATTCGGCGCCGTCGCCTAGGATCTTGACTCCGTCGATTGGCCGGTTGATGCAGCCGGAGCTGTGGAGTTCTTTTACGGTGATTGGGAGGGATGGGTTTAGGCGGCCTTGGTCGATCCAGGCTTGGATGCGGTCTAGGTTGACTGTTGCCATGTCGACGGAAAAGCTGGAGCGAATATATTAGCCGCTATTATGAGACTGGGTTTGAGGAGAGGGTTGAGTCCACTGGTGTGGGTTAAAACTTACATGTTGACACCACCACGCTCACCGTGGACGATGATATCCTTCGTCTGGCCACCATTAAAGCGGGCGGGAACTTTGCCGTGCTGGCCTTGACCCTTGTGACCGCGGCCGGAGGTCTTACCCTTGCCTGAGGATGGACCGCGACCTCTCCGGATGCGCTTGTTGTAAGCGGAGGGATTGTCGGAGAGAGAGGCTAGGATTGAGGCATTGCGGGATTGCGGGAGGAGGAAGGCGAGGGGTGAAGAGCGCTGGAGGATGGGCCTGGCGGCGAGTTGCTGTAGCTGCGTTGGCAGCGCCATCAGTTGAGGCATGGTGTGACGATGGATCTTTGTTGGGTTCGTTTGGGGACGGAGGTTCGAGATTCTCTGTTCCGGTGGGTTATCTTTGTTCCGGTCCGGGACCCTAACTCTTTAGTTTCACTTGATTTGGCTGTTCAAGGTGTCATTGTCAAATTATAAGGTAAGAAAGAGGTTATGCGAAAATTTTATATGTACTAGTCTATTAATGTGATCTATCATCGAGTGGTGACATTATACCAATCCCAATCATTCTACTCCACGATCCCATGCTCATTACAATGAGGGACAAAAGTACCGGATGGTAAAATCTAGTATCATATGCTCTTAGCTAAGTCTGCAGGGCAGTAATTAGCAACTCCAAGTATGCAAATGCAAACAGCAAAAAGCCGACTATGCTCGAAAGGCACCTCCATAAAACAGAACAAGAAACCATGAACAACGCCGAATATACCAACCCTGACTGTAAAGATGTTCAGAGTGGCAAGCAAATCTAAGATGAAGCGCCAAAGATATGCAAGGTAGAATCGTGAGAAACGAAAATGCACAGGGTGTGTACATAAGTCAATAGAAATGACAAGCAAGAGAAGAAGATATAAAAAAATGTACAGCGAATGAGAGTTTTGGTTGGCTTCTCGTCGAGGTCGTAATGCAGTGAAGTCGTAAACAAGGAGATTGGAGTTGTAAAAAGATTGAGGGGAGACTTCAACCAGAGTAACTGGTCGGCGGGTAGATAGGTTGGAGGTAGGGGGCCTGGTTCCACGCGTCGGGCTGGTTGTAGGGCAAGAGACCGGTCTTGCGGGAGGTTTGACCCTTGCCGAGCGGCTGATAGTGCATGTGGTCAAAGGGCACACTGCGCTGCTGCTGCAGGGAGCTCGATGGGGGAGGAATCAACAGGGTGTGGACGGAGCGCACAGGCCGATAAGGCGAGTTGCGGTTGGCGAGGAAGAAAGACGGGGAGAGATGTGTCTGAGGGGTGTGGACGGAGTAGGCAGAGGCAGCTGGTGAGACTGTAGCAGAGGACACGCCATATGGAACTTGGTGTCGGCCCAGGTCGGTAAGCGAAGGCGTGTACATGCCTGGTGTCATCGAGGGCACGCTGAGGGGAGGCATCTGCTGCCAGTTCGTAGGCCGGTTGTAGATAGAAGGCATGAGTGCGGGAAGTTGAGAGGTCGCGTTAGAAGGAAGCGACTGAGGCATTGGATTGGAGGTAGGAAGGTGAGGAAGCGGAAGACGAGACGAGTTTCCGACCATTGGTGCCACCGGGGCAGAGGTTGGAGTCTGGACTGGAGGCAGGGTGGGCATCGCATTCAGGGTCACCGGGACCGTCATACTAGGAGCTGAGGTGGTGGAGGACATTGCCAGCCGCTTGGTTGGGTGCAGTCCATCATCCTCATCGCGACTGCGTTTCCGGGAGACTCCCGTCTCAGGCTGTGGCGGGAGGTTGTATGGCAGTCCGTTGAGAGGCATGTACCAGTTGGGTTGGGAGTGGGGGCGGAAGGAGTCGGTCCCCGGGGGCGACGGCAACTTGGAAGATGGCGACTGCGACTGCACCCGAGGCGGCGAGATTTGCAGCATAGGTGCCGATTCGGTAGGCAACATTAACGCTTGGTTGAAGTAGTCACCGAATAAACCCAGCTTGGTGTGCCACCGGGCCCATGCAGCCTCCGAGGAGAACAGGTCATAGCGGATGTTGCTGAGAAATTCGACCTCCATGATGTGAATTTCATGCACAGCAATGCCCGATACTTCAGCCCAGGTCTTGTTGGTGTAAGTGTTGTCATCCAAAACTAAGCTGAGTCAGCATTTCCAATCTCCAGGCGGTGAAGCGATAAGAACTCACATTTATTGCCAAGCATCAACGCAACCGTCATCAACCGGAACTCGCTGCCTTTCTTGCCTTTGACTCCGGAGTTGAACTTCTTCAGTCGGTAGATAAATAGCAGGGCCAGTAGAATGACATTCTGGCTCACTTGTGTAGTCGACAGAATCGTAGCCACCCACTTCTGAAATCCGGGAGTAGGCATCGCTTCAGCAACGAGGGAAGGTACAGGATATTGGCGATCTTCGATAGCTTGCAATTTGGAAGTCTTTTCGAACCAGAACAGGCAGGTCATCTACTGAGTATTAGCATAAGCTCACTTGGCAACTGAAGCTTCCTAATGCTCACCTGCGCCGCGAATTCAGCCAAGTTTCCCTTGCTGTTGTTGATGGTCGAGGGTATCCGGAGTTGCGATCCTGATGTGTTCGACTTCTTTTGCGCGGTTGGCTCCGGCGCTTCCTTGGCCGGTGCCGAGTGACTTTGCGGTTTCATAGCGGCCATCATGGATGATGAGATCGAGTCGAAAGAGCGATGATTGTAGAGGTGGGAAGGTACGCCGCTCGGCTTCCCATATGGAACTGAGGGCATGGCATTGTAGGTGACCCCGGTCATGTCGCTGGGAGGTGTAGGTAGACCGTTCCGGAATGGAACAGTCCAAAAAGCCGAGGTATCCAGGGCTTTGTCCTCAGTTAGGGGGAAAGTTGTAGAAGAGTGGAAGTCGGCAGTTGAAGACATAGGGAAAGAATATAAGCTCGACACATAGGGTGTTGTACGGGAGGTTTTTCTTAGGAACCACGATCAGAGCAAATCAAAGGCGGAGTGAGCCGAGTTTTCAGTAACCCATGTTCCTATTCAGTGAATAGTCACCCTCAATTGGAATGCGATCAGGGAGAAAAGGGTGTGAATAAGGACCAGAGGGGCAGTGTGAATGATGTATATAGAGTGACCACGATAGGCCTAAAGAAGATAAACCAGTAGAGATCCAAGCTCCACCCAAGGGAAAATAATAATAAAAAAAAAATCAAAACGGAAGTGAAAAATAAAATAAATTGACGAAAATTATAGCAAGTCAAGGCATCATCTCGAAGTCCCACCCGGAGAAAGCGAGAGCCAGAAAGTTTGACCCGGACGCAGGTCCAGGTTGATCCTCCTTTCGTTTGTCCGGTTTGGTCAATCTAGATTGTCTCTGAAAAATAAAGAGAAAAATTAAAAAAAAAATATATATATATATGTATATGTAAGTGGGTGTGCCTAGAAAGGGTAGGTGATGTTGACCCTAAAAGCGAGGACTGTGTTCGGAACGACTAGTGAAAATCAGATTTCAAGTGTGAAATGAAAGAAGTCAGGTTTCATGGGTTCACCAATAGTAAGGCTAGAGGTTAGTACCAGTAAATTACGCAAAAACCGTGTTATGCGTGTTATGCGAGGTGGGAAGTGCAAGCATGTACGCCTCCGTCCTGCAAAGGAAAAAGGGCTAAAGGGGGGCAGCAAAGCAAAGGGTAAGGGCACCAATAATGAGAGAAAGAAGATCATTTGAGGCCCAGACAGGGATAACTGCTAAGAATGGTGCATTCTTATGTAAGAAGGCAAACCGTGTGTGTCGTCGCCAATGAGGAGGAAGTATGGGAATTCCAGAGTCCACCTCTTAACTTGGAGTATTTCCCATGTCCCGTGTACGACCGGAATCCCATGGTTGAGTACTCCCCGACTTCATTCGTCTAATTTGTTAGTCCAAGCCGAGCAGGTCAGCCCGGAGGAGTATTGGCCCTGGTTTCACTCTCGACCCATCTAGACGGCCTCACCTGAAGGTGTTGGATCGGCATATACACTCTACAGATTACCCTTTACCACTTACCACCTACATTTACCACGTACGCTTACCACTGACGCTTACCACTTATCACCATTACCACCTAGACGCATGCAAAGGTATACTACAAACCTTCTCCAAGGATCATCAGTCCACGCCACCAGTTCACGAAACCAGACGGTAGTAAATAACTCCCTTAGCTCTCAAGCCCTTGGCGTTAACCCAGAACCGGGCCAAGGTGAACAGAAATTGGGAAAATGAGGTGGCCTCCACTTCTCGGGATTCTGAGCCACCGCCACGGTTTTTTTCGTTTCCAGAACCCCAGATAGGTGGAGCAAAAAGAAGTTGCCAGGTCGGAGTTAACGCGGTGCTAGGACTCGTCACAGTCATACGGGCAAAGGTCTTCTGAGTGGCCACATCTCTCAACCTCCTCGCACGTCCTCGGTGGGTCTAGAAAAGGAGTTCAATGGATCCCAATCTTTCCTTGCCACGCCGGTTGCGGTACTCGCTTTCGCATCCCAACCCCCGACTGCTCCACACACGGCTTTTCACCTGTCGCCTGTTGCGGGCAAAGAGTCTGTTCACCTCAGATTCGTAATCGAAATAACGATGTAGCCAGGAAATCTTAGAAATCTAATTCTCGGCCCTAGGCTTGGAAGGGTCTGGAATGCAGTATACACTTCCCCCTATATCCGATCTTTTCTACCTTTGAGCGGAACACTCTCCTAGCAAGGAAAACACCCGAATCCCCATTGTAGTCACGGGGCATTAAACATCCCCGTCCCGATTGGCAGTACAGAGTTTCCGGAGCCCAAAGTCCCTCGGGGGGGCTGGGAGCAGCTGAAGCCGATCACTTCCATACAAATGTGGCAGCCACTTACCGGACTGTTCCGTCTGGACTATCACAAGGATGTAGATTAATTACGCAGTACACCTTCATCATTACACAACGGGCGGGGCTTTGATTCCGCGCTGCGTCCGTCAAGTTGCTTTAAAACTTTTATTATTGTAACCTATCTCATGCGTCAGGTTAAAAAAAAAAAAAAAAAAGAAGGCACCAGCTTGTTCGGATATGAACGCCGTGTTCTGTCCCTCTTACCCAGCACGGCTCCTTGCATGTTCATCCTTGCGGATACAGTAGCAGTAGCAACCGAGTACACTACACTATTTGCGATGTAAACGGCAATAGTCAATAGTCACTTCTTACTTGGTATATGTGACCCTTTTCCCCCTGTCCTATTTATCCTACCCTGCGCCTACTGTACATGTACTGTATGTTCCAGCGGCTGCTGCGGATTGTTGCTTCCGAGGCATCGGCTCAAAGGCAATTAATGTTCTTCCTGGCGTCACTCGGTCCACTTTGGAGAAAATGGAGAGAGTCAAAGTCAGAGTCAGACTTGCGATCGCCTGGTTGAACATGGATCCTAGTTCCCAACCACCCAGGGGGTTTAAACCGACACTCCGTCCGCTGATCAGGCCTTCTTCGCTTGCTGGGTGTGGGTTATTACCACATTAATTTATCTGACGTAGAGAGCAACCCGTGCTTATACAGCCTACACGGGGTGGGACTGTTCGTGCGAGACTGCTTGGCACCGATCCATGGATATCTCTATACAATCTCATCTGCTCAGGGGGTCTACGCCACCGACAATCTCTGAGCCTCGACCCTTTGTACAGTCTAGTAACAGCAATCGCAAGGGCATGTTATGCAAGCTGCAACCACCAGGGCCTTTCGTGCCGTGTGACTCAAACAGGTCATCTCGAGCCATCAGTTGATGCCTTTTGAGGCTGATCGCACATTTGAGACTGTGCTTCAGCCCCTCTCCGCGCAGGGGCCAAATGGGAAAGGGTAAAAAAGAAAAGGCCAAAGGGGGTAAGATGAGATGAATCCACTCGTCTACAGCGCAACCACAAACTCCTCGAACTAGATAACACCGAAATTAGCCTTTGCCCGGATTCGTATCTGCATTCTGAAAGCGCCCCGAGAGCAGCGAAATGCATTGTGTGTTTTGTCTTTGACTTTTCCCCCGCTTAAGGATCGGTGTAGAGAGATTGCAATTTAGTGTGTAGGATACCTCGTAGTATAGTGTGGGGTGTTGCCTATTACGTCGCCTGGCTCAATGTCTCAAAGATTATCTATGGTCTATTCTTGTAAGTCTAGAGCGTGGAGTAGTCTTCGCGAATCAAACGGACCACAATGCTTTCCGGTGTCCGACACAAAATTGATTATTCTTCTGCCTTACAGAGCACACTCTTACATTTTGTGGAGTCGCCAACGCGTACAGAATTTCAACCTTGACTTTTCCCGTCTACATCCGGGAACCGCCACAGATTTTCTGTCTTGGATAGTCTGGTAGGGTTTGAGATTTTTTTTTCTTTTAAAAAAAAAAAAAGAACCAGATCTGAGCTCACTTCCAATGCAATTTGATTTGATTACATTTTTCCACGTACCGTAACTTGTTTCAGCTACACCATGTACAGTACCAGCCGCGCTGTCCCGCCTATAGGAACCGCCTCTCCCGCCTATAGGAACCGCCTCTTATCCTCCCGCCAAAGCCCAAGGCCCGGGGTGTCGCAATGCCAGGTACAGACCCGAGGCAAAAGCTGGACTTGTTTCCAACTAGGTGGTAAGCGATCCGGGGGCTTAACAAAGTTCCAGAGAGGCCTCTGAATGGGGTCACTTACCCAGTCAGACTAGGTACTTGGTGTCTCTGTTTTTGCCTTGCCTCTTGGTGGGGGCGGGTGAGATATGAGATGTGAGGTGAATACACTACAAGAACAAGGAATACATGTGGGATCTTCCAGGCGAGGGGACGGATATGCGGCAATTCGAGTTCAAAGCCTTCATTGTTGATCCATGGATGTATGCGATCATCGTATGTCGGCCGTCATGGACGTCTCATATACTTCCCGATTTGAATTGCTTAAGATTCCGAGTTAAAACAAAGGACATGATTCAATGACTTTGATTTGTTTACAGTTTATTTGAATCCACATCATCACTGAAACCAAATCCAAATCCAAATCCAAATCATTTTCCAAAAATATTTGGTGGCTGATAACGCCTGGCTTTTCCATTCAGGCTCAGCGCCCGTGACCTTAGCCAGGGAACACAGGTGGCGGCATGTCTTTGCCGTAACATCCTTTCGTGTTCCGTCATCTTTCATCAAGTTACTTTCTCGGCAATCGCGGGTTGGGGCAATTCGCACTCTACGACCGGCTTTGGCCATTGTAGCCAGGGTTTGGGTGTCCGGGGGTGTTGAGTCAACGTTATGTCTTGAGACTTCGAAACTAGCAATGTGGGGGTGTACTTGGATCAATACAAAACTAACCTGTTTTTGTTGGTCTCATTGGTCTGTTATTCCTTCGGTCTTGGTCTTGGTTTTGGTCTGGATGTGCTCGGGTTACTTCCTGGCTGACCAGGATGTACTCCCAAGTCTGATTCAGTTTCTGGTTCTAGTCTCGGTTCTGGTTTTGATACTTTTGTTTGTCCCGATCGATCTAGATATACAGACCTCATCCTGGACGAGAGGGATTCATTCATGAAACGCTTTCAACCGTTGTCGTACATCACACCAAGGACCAGGACCAGATGTCCTTGAATGAAAGCCGTCAGTTGCGTACCGGCCCGGACTCTCTGTCAGAGGCTAAAATTCCTCGAAATGCGAGGTGCCTGCTTGACGATGCATGTTCCTTCTCAATTCACATTCGCATTCGCATTCGCTTCACTGGACATGCACATCTGCTTTCACATGGAGTCTGAATTTCTCAACTCGCCCGACGGTCAATGAGTATCTTCAATTGGGCGTGGAAGAGAACTTCCAATGTAAAGTCCCTTCCTTTGACTCGAGACAAATCAAGCGGCTCGGCCTGTCTTCATGGGTACTGGCATGTGAGTTGGGTTTGACATGATGGTATTCGTTCACGCGTAGAGCTCCTCAAAGCTCCCTGTGCTCAAAGCTCCCTGTGGACCATTTCACTCATATTGCCGACCGAGATGATCGACATCAAGAATCATCAGTGTACCTCATTCACTGCGTCCCTACTGCTTCTGATGTATATGCATACTCAAACTGGAACAGTACATGGCCTCGGGTTGGACGGAGGCTCTCCGCCAACCAACCCAAGCATCCAACGCCCATGGCGTTGAGATTCAAATACGCACGCAGTGCATCTTACTAAATCTCCAGACAATGTCGCCAGGGCAAGGCAGAATCAATATGCAGTCGCAGGGCAGATTGCCAATATACTCAACCCAGCTATACCCCAGGAAATCAAGCTGATACACGGCTGCAACCCCCACAGCAATATTCCGGCATTACGATCCAGCCTCCTGGCTATGGCTCTTCAATGGAAACATGCATCCTCGGATCCAAGCTAGTGTGTCCCACGTACTATCCACATCCTGTGTCCAAGGACGGGACAGGGCAGTTCTACAGAGCGGATGTATGTATGAGTCCCCGTCACACAAGCAACCGCACTCACCTAGGCGCATTCACCTCAAATATGGGCCGACCACGAGCATGAGCATGAGCATAAGCGATGCCAATCTCAACCACCGCAGTAAACCAGAAAACAAGGACTGGCAATGCCGAAAAGGGGACCTCACTCTGCACCAGCTCTGGGTTATTGTACTGTATGCGCTATGTAAACTGTCGATGTCAATGTAGATGTAGACTAGACTGCATACGAGCGTCGAAAATGTGATATGTGATATCTTGTCCGACACGGAGTCGCCGACAAACTTGCACGACCAATACAGATCGAGACCAAGATCCTGATTCAATCCTTGTTGTCATTGCAATTTAAATCTGAACTTGGATCAGTTAATTCTATTGTGAGTGAAGATAAGTGGTGGTTGTACAGGTATCGGCTATATGTCTTTTTTTACATATCCATTTGTATATAATCTGCATGACAGCTATCAAATGTTGCAATTTAACAGATAGACTCGAAAATAAGAAAAGGAAGTGAAAGGAAGCCCAGAGTAGGGCGAAAACAATGTATGAAACGATATACTCGCTTTGAGACTAGGTTTCGTATAGACTGTTTGATACTTCACATCAAGCACTGTATAAACATTGATGGCCCTTGCTATATCCAAGCCTTGAGACCGCTTGTACACAATCTCACTTGCATAAGAAACACACACACACACACACACACACATATATATATATATACATACAGTACACATGTGTCCTCAACCTCAATCAAACAAACAGAGTGTACCAACAATTAACAACCACCAAACATCGTACAAAAGCCTAGGACAAACATGAGGACCAAGGACCAAGAATCAAGAACTATCTCAATTGCCCAGTCTTCCAATCCCCAAATCCAGCATCCAAGTGTCCCCCGCCTTGCTTACTTTCATACGGTGTAGAGCAGACATACGCCGTCCCATTTCCAGCCCAGCTGAACTGTAACTCGGAGCGGCGGGTAGAACTTGTCATATCGCTCATGTCCAACTCCTCATTACTCAAGTCTAGAGTCATCTCCCCCATATCTGAGGTATATTATAGCAGTCAAGGTTACATCGCACCGTTTGAAGGGTGCTGTCAGATTATTTTGATTGGGAGGTTCCCGTGCAATCGTGGTCTATAAGAGTATTGGGGGTCCCCGTTGGATTATATTGTGCTACTGATATTGGGTGACCTTTCTTTTCTTGCTGTCTTTGTTTCTTGATGGGTTGGCTTGGTTCGGAGGCTGCGGAGTGTGTAAGGTACCATTCAACCGACTCTGGATGGCTTGTGGTTGTTGTTTTTCCTAGTAGTTATTGCTCGAGGTTTGTCCTGGTGATTCCTGGGTCAGATGATGTCTTGTTGATATCCTGGTGTCGTGGTTGAGACACATTTTCCGAATAGCGTCGTGTGTTTATATGGTGTCTTGTAATGCGTCCATGTCTCATGGTATATTGATGACCTACATGTTTGCACTGATTTGCGCAGATAATGAGGGTATTATATGCTGGGCTTAAAATTGTATTGACGATTGATAGGTGCTCCAAGCAACAACCCAGTATGACATCCATTTATCACGGACTGGAAATCTTGTTAGAAGGTATGCAGACCACACCCACAGAAACGAATCGACTGTTCCAGCATTCCCAGGCCAATTCGCAAGTAAACTGGAATATTACAAGCACTGGCATGCCACCTGTGATTTACAATGCCATTTCGATCCCCCTCTCTGTGGAAAACAGGTTTCATCCCTACTATCCACACCTACCTGGGTCATATCAACTCGTCTTTTAGAATGCGGCAGAAGACGGCACCAAAAACGAATGAACGGCAATAACATCCAATCGACGGTGAAATGGAACGCGTGTACCGCCGATTGGGCGTTGCAAAGGTCTACAGTATTCAACATACCATGCGGAGCATCAAGGTCTAAAGTATAAGAACCGACCACACCGAGCATCAACAAGGTTTAGATGGGAGAAATCGGATGGTGACGCAAGTGGATCTCAGCACTTCCCCGGATTTTGATTCGCACAATAAGCTCTAGCGCCGGTTGTGGACGGGTGTCATAGAGGAAACTGTAGGAAGTGCTTCGTATATGCGGAATAGGTATGCGGGTAAATCCGGTCGGGATTTCGGGAGGAGCATAGGGCTGGATATTAGTGATTTGGGGGGGGGGGAATAGCTTGAGTCATATTTGCTATTCATATTTCATAATTCCCCAAACGCGAAAGTCGCTAGTATTCCCCTATTGGGGATCTTCTCCTCAGCGGTTAATTTCTCCTCACCGGGAGTTTTGTCCCCTCAGTCTCCAATTTTCTTTTTTTTTTTTTTCTCTTTTTTTTTCTTTTTTTACTTGCCGAATTTGACACTAATGAGGCAATTTTGCTGATAGCTTTACTTGGGTCCAACGCGCTAAGATATATGTATATAGTCGATCTTGCATTCACACACAATGAAGCTGTAGCTAGTTAAGTTGGCAGAAAAATAGAAATAAAGTAGACAGTACCTTGCTTAACTACAGGAAGCACGCCATTGCCCAGGTACCCAGTACACGGGAGCCCCCTTTGGTCCGGCCACACCGATTCGCCCAAAACAGCAACGCGATCAGAAGCTTATCAAAGATTTTTCCTTGATATAGGGAGCTTCTCTCCCTTCAACTCCATCCCCTTTGGAATCATCATTTTGGTGCACAATGGCTGGCAGTACGCGGGCTATTCGCTCCCAGATGGCTTCCATTATGCAGCTGTCCTCGGTGTCGCGCCGGTCGATTTCGACATCCCTTCGCGCTCCAATCCAGGCTGCTAAGCCTACCTCCATCTCGCGCATCGCTCGCCGTGGCTACGCTGATGCCGCTCCTACTCCTTCGCCTGCTCAGCCTCCCAAGAAGCGTTTCAGAGCCCTTCGCTGGGCCTGGCGTTTGACCTGGCTCTCCGCCATTGGTCTGACCGGCGCTGTCGCATACAGCATCCTTGAACTCCGTCAACCCCCCGAGCAGTTCGCGCCTGACCCTGAGAAGAAGACTCTGGTCATCCTCGGTATGTTCCGGTCGCAGTCACCGATCTCGCCCGGCTGGATTGTCACTAACACGGGCCACTTTTTGCAGGAACTGGCTGGGGATCCGTCTCCCTCCTGAAGAAAATTGATACCGAGAACTACAACGTTGTCGTCGTTTCCCCCCGTAACTACTTCCTGTTCACTCCCCTGCTGCCCTCATGTACCACTGGTTTGATCGAGCATCGCTCGATCATGGAGCCTATCCGCAACATCCTGCGCCACAAGAAGGCCAGTGTTAGGTTTTACGAAGCCGAAGCCACCAAGATCGATTACGAGAAGCGCGTTGTTTACATCAGTGACGATTCCGAGATCAAGGGTGATGTCGCTCACACTGAAGTTCCCTTTGACATGCTCGTGATCGGTGTTGGCGCCGAGAACGCTACTTTTGGTATCCCCGGTGTTCGCGAGAACTCCTGCTTCCTCAAGGAAGTCGGTGACGCTCAGAACATCCGCAAGCGTATTATGGACTGTATCGAGACTGCCTGCTTCAAGGACCAGACCGAGGACGAGGTCAAGCGTCTGCTGCACATGGTTGTGGTTGGCGGTGGCCCCACTGGTGTCGAGTTCGCCGGTGAGCTCCAGGATTTCTTCAACGACGACCTCAAGAAGTGGATCCCCGAGATCAAGGACAACTTCCACGTTACTCTCGTCGAGGCTCTTCCCAATGTTCTTCCTATGTTCTCCAAGCAGTTGATTGACTACACGGAATCCACCTTCAAGGAGGAATCAATCACTATCCGTGCCAAGACTATGGTCAAGAATGTTACCGACAAGTACATCCAGGCCGAAGTTACTAAGCCCGATGGCACCAAGGAGCTCGAGACTATCCCCTACGGTCTGCTCGTCTGGGCTACCGGTAACGCTGTCCGCAACGTCGTCCGTGACCTCATGAACCAACTCCCCGCCCAAGCCGAATCCCGCCGTGGTCTTCTAGTCAACGAATACCTCGTTGTGAACGGTACCGAGAACGTCTGGGCCGTTGGTGACTGCGCCATTGCCAACTACGCTCCCACCGCCCAGGTCGCTGGTCAGGAGGGTGCTTTCCTGGGTCGTCTGTTCAACACCATGGCCAAGAGCGAGGAGATCGAGAAGGAGCTCCAGAAGCTCTCCGAGCGCCAGGCTCTTGCCAAGGGTGATGAGGAGCGTAACCAGGTCCTTGCCGAGATCCGTGAACGCCAGAAGCAGCTCCGCCGCAACAAGCAAATCGGTCCCTTCCAGTACTCGCACCAGGGTAGCTTGGCCTACATTGGTAAGGAGCGTGCTGTGGCCGACATCAGCTGGCTGAGCGGCAACATCGCCAGCGGTGGTACCATGACCTACCTGTTCTGGCGCTCCGCCTACCTGAGCATGTGCTTCAGCACTCGCAACCGTGTCCTTGTCTGCACCGACTGGGTCAAGGCTAAGCTCTTCGGTCGTGACGTGTCCCGCGAGTAAACAATTCCAGTCGCGACGACCGTCTGTACTATTGCCAAACCGAACACTACATTTTCTTTTTCTTTCGCTCCTATATCAGGGACACATTAACACCGTGTCTTGCCACGCCACCTACTACAACCCATTACTTTACGCCCCGCCATATACTTGTCTCTCGTCTCTACTTTCCCTTTACAACTACAGCCGTGATAGACTTATCCATTTTCCCGTCTTGTTTCTTATGACCCTGCCACTGGTACTGTGATTGGTTCCCCTCGCTTGAGGGGGAAAAAGCATTAATTTGCCATTCTTCTTTGTTTCGCTCTCGGTTTCTTTTTCTTGGGGACTGTACGCTATATAGGATTATAGACTGGGTCTGGAATCGTTGTCTTGAACCTGTTACTGTTACTCTTATGAACCTCTATCTGTCTAACCTGTCCATGTAGTATCTGATTCTATGTATCAGTGGATTTCTATGGGGGTGGAGTACTCGACGCCTAGTGTGAATGGGACTCGCCATGCTTGACTTTATGTGTCAACCTTACTTGGGAGATCTTGGATTTCTTCTTACGAAGCTAGTAAGTAATTGAGAAGATATCTGTCGGATGACGATCGATTAATTGATAGACCCAAAAGAGGCTACTGCTGAGCGACACCGTATGGGATATGTACATTGACCTCAAATTGTCTAGAGATACACAAGACTAACTACCCCAACAAGAGGAAAGAGAAAGGGGGAGAAGATGGAGAGAGATGGACACGACAAAGAGGATAACATGAAGACTAGCGAAGAAGGTATCGAAAACTCCGAACAAGAAAAAGGGTGTATCAGAGAAGGGCATGGGGAGAAAAAACAGAGTAGAGAAGCTGCTCGGGCTATCATAACATCTCAGAACAAGCCCCAACGACTCCGCGTTTCCTTGCCCGGAGGAGGACGCTCTGGAGCCCGGCTGCGGCCGTCGAGTTGTCGGACACTTTCAATCTTCTGCAGAGCCAGTTCCAGCAGCTCTTTCTTGCGGATAATGTCGAGGTGCCGGCGGATACGAGGGTCCTCACGGGCAAAGCGTTCCACTTCGGCGTCGGAGAGGTGTCGACCAAGTCTTGTGTCGAGCTCGCGGGGGAAATTATAATAGAATTCGGAGAGGAGTTCGACGTTGAGGAAGAGGACAGCCGTTGAGGTGAGCTTGTCTGCTACCACATCCAGGAAGACTTCTGGGCAGTAGTACTTGTTCTTTTGAGTGGCGCATTGCTTGGAGCGAACGGCTAGAAGTCTCATCTTGATCAAGTCGGCTCGATCACGTAGGAAGAGGCCCTCTCGTCCTGAATTATAAATGTTAGTGTCTGTTAAGAACCAAGATGAGGGGAAAACTAACCTCTTTCTAACAGGGCAGCACTGAATCCACCGGCGCCACCCTCCCCGTTGCCCTCAAGTACAACATCACCCTTTCGCACGCGGTCGATGAAAGAGACCACGTCCTTGAGCTTTCGTTTTCCGACAACATCTTCCACATGCTTCATGGCTTGCTCGCAATGCTTGAGTTCGTCCTTCAGAACCCTGCCCACGTTATCTCTGCCCTTGGCCCACTCAGGGTCTTCAACCTCGATCTCAAACTTGTACGGCTTAATACAGTTCTCGACTTGGTCACTGGTGCTGAAGAATCGGTCATTCAGAATAGTGTTGCACGCGTCTGTGATTTGCTTGTGGGCGCCGGGATGGGAGGCAAATGTAGAGGAGGATAGGAGTTGGTCCACGTGGTTGTGGAGGGCATTAGCGACGACAGTAGTAGCCAATCGACCGATTCCAAGTTTTGTTAATGAAGAGGTAGAAGCATCTAATTTCCGGTGCCAGTAGAGAGACTCGGGGTCAGACTTGGGAAGGTCCTTGAGCGAATCCAATTCCAGCATAGGGGGGTCCAAGTCTTCGACGGGCTTGTTCCAGTAGCGCTGCGCCAGAATGTCCATGACCCGCTGGTCCAATTCGGCCTTCAGCATCTCGCGGACCTGGGGTCGGCCGAAGCTTTCCGCAAACGCCTTGAAAGAATGCTTGAAGCTATCAAGACTCTCAGCCAAGTGAGACTCTGCGCTCAAAGGTCGGTCATTATATTGAACCTTGAACTCGTAGGTTGCCTCCTCGAGCTCCTGGCTGATGGCATCCCTTGTTCCAGACAGGCTGGATGCCATGGTCTGCTCGAGGACGTGCATCAGGGTCTTGCGGAGCGTCGAGACACCAACTGAGACGTCGGAGTGGGGACCGAACTCGCCAGGATGAGCAGAGAAGTAAGCGTGTTCGTTCTTGAGAATAGCGCTGGTGATGTTCCCACTGCCTCTGGAGAAAAGAGCATTTGTCTGAGGAATACGGCTGACAACGCCCACGTAACCAAGTCGAAGAGGATACTTCTTATCAGAGAGGACGTCGTGTCCACGCTCGGGGCTCACAAGGTCCATCTTTGTAATCACACCGATAGTCCGTTCACCCCGAGGGTCAACTCGACGGCTGGCTCGGAGTGCTGTAGAATTTGCCAAGTCAACGTCGGCGGCCGAGATCGCCAGAATGACATTGGGGGGTTGAATGTATTTATCACAAAGGTCGTTGATCTTTTGCTTAAGCTCCGGAGGCTGGTCATGGCCAGCAACCTGGATATAGCCTGGTAGATCGATCATGGAGAGATCAGGAACGTTGGGTGAATAGATAGTGAGCTGGATAGGATCGTCTGTGACACAATCCTTTTCGGGAACAGCAAGGTTGAGGTCTGTGAGTGTGCGCTGAATTTGGGTGAAGTCTGTGATCTTGCCAAGTCCTAGAGCTGGGAATTCGCCATATTCCGACTGGGCATTGGGGGTATTGACCAAGGTCAGTTCAATAGGCCGGCGAGTCACCATGTTCGAGCCCTTGGGCAAGAACTCATGACCGACGATAGCTTCAAGTACCGAGCTTTTACCCGAGGATTGGGATCCGATGACGACAATTGACGGCAATGTGAGAGTGTCAGATTGGCCGATAGTCTGGAGGATGTTTCGAATCTCGATCATCTTGCGCGTGAGAAGCATCATCTGGTCATCTTCCGCAGCATCCCTCGCCGGGCGTACGTCCTCTTCTTCTGATTTATCGTAGCCGAATGCCGAAGTAGTCGCGGCGGCGGCAGCAGCAGTTCCAGCCCGACTTTGTTTCGGTTCCTTGTCCCCACCACCGGACTCGCCCTTTTGAGACTCCTCGTCGAGACGGAGGATCTTCTGCAGCCATTCAGGCAGATCGAGGTCTTCGGTCGTTTTGTTCCATCCGCGTTGCGTCTGGTCCGCCACATCCTGCAGTCCCTGGAACAAAGTCGATGCGGTGTTCCCCGCAGTCTCCGAAGCTTGTTTGAAAACATCCATCGCATAGTTTCCGGCCTCTTAAGAACATATTAGTCTATGATTCCACCACGTTAAACTTCGGTATTGAGAAACGTACGGGTTGCTTGGTATTGGAAGTAAGCCAGACCCGCGATTGTTGCACCTCCAAACATCGCCGGGACCCTAACAAGCTTCAACGCCAGCTTTGGAAGCATTCGGGCAAACGATATCGATCGAACAGCGGGTATATTATGGATGGCATTTGCGCCTATTGGCCATGCGCGTCCTCTGAGAGCAGCTCCACCATCTGCGCGTAGCAGACCTCCAGTCCTCGAACCTGCATTATGAATATGGCGAGCAAGGTGCCCATTCCGCAAGAGCGGACCGAGTCGATGGGAGAGGATCCTCCCACTCATTGCGATGACATTCAAAGATGAAAGAAAAGTGATGTCTACGGACTTCGGACCACTGACATCAAGGATAACAATCCCCGTGACTTGCGTTAGTGGCCGCTAGGTCGCCCGTATAGTGTTGAGTCACGTGGAGCATGACGTGCTGGGCAAGGGATGTGATTGTATTCTTTTTGTTGATTTGATAAATTCATTTTTTTCTGCTATTCGTATTTCGAGCTTGCACGCAGTCTCCAAGTGTCATTTTGTAGAATTGTGATTGGGACGCGTAGACATCTTCACCGGTTCCCAACAGTCGGTGTCTTCTTCACCTCCCACCCCACGAAATCGGCCATTGCATTGGACTTGCCACGAGCACCCTGCTATTTGGAACTTCACAGTGGTCCACTTTTGAAAGACTTGGTATCTATAGACGTCTGGCTCGACATAGTATCATCGATCTGCATCTGATCGCCAGTAGCCATGTGTCGATTCCTGGTAATAAACCAATCTTTCGAAGTTCGCGCCCAAAGCTAAAATCTTGAGTAGATATACAAAGGACGAAATGAAATCCGTCTCAGCAAGCTAATCACGGAGCCAAGTCATTCCATCCTCACTCAATCTTATGACTCACGTTTGAGACTGGTACGCTTGCACATATAGGAGTGATCAATAGCACAATCAACTAATACACAACTTCAGGATAATCGTCGGCCTGTCAACGGCGATGGATTTGGTGTGGGCTTTTACACAGACCCCAAGCTTGGACCTGAGCCTTGCATATTTACCTCAACACTTCCCGCGTGGAATTGCGAGAATCTCGAGAGACTCGCCTCAAAGACGTGCTCAGATCTCATTTTTGCGCATGTGCGAGCGACCACTGAAGGTGCTCTTGCTGAAAACAACTGCCACCCATTCCAACACCAATCCCTGATGTGGATGCACAATGGTGGCATTGGTGGATGGAACTACATCAAGCGTGCACTCGGAAGCTCACTTGCTGACAAGTGGTACCTAGGAGTGAAGGGTGGTACTGATAGCGAATGGGCATTTGCCCTGTTCCTTGACCTGCTAGAGCAAGAAGGAGTAGACCCGAGCTCTGACCCCGGCCCAGAAGGATTTGGACAGGCACTTCTTCGTCGTGTCATGATGAAAACTATTGCTCGTATCAACGAGATGGTTAGGGAGATCCCCGAGAAATATAATGTCACTGGAGTCGAGACCCGCAGTCTCTTGAACTTCGCCGTGACTGACGGCCATACCGTTATCTGCACTCGGTATATCAGCAGTAAGACAGACGAGCCCGCAAGTTTGTACTTCTCCTCTGGTACAAAGTGGAAAGAAGGTGAAACAAAGGGCCATTTCAAGATGGAACGACACGACAAAGGTGCCGATATTGTCTTAGTGGCCAGTGAGCCTATCACTTTCGAACGACGTGAGTACCCCATTATTTATGTGAATGTGGGTCATACTAATCTTGAACCAGACAACTGGGTGTCTGTTCCTACCAACTCCGTTGTAACGATTCACAAACAGACTGTGATGTTACACCCGATTCTTGATGAGTTCTATGGCGAGGATCTCAATCATGACCGTTCCTCCTGCTTTGCCGTATCCAAGGGCCTTGTCAGCACTGCTCCTGGCACCACCGTTCCGCCGCAGAAGTCGACCGAGCCTTGTGCCCCTTCAGTATCAGACAATGGTGCTGGATTGGATGAAATTCGGCCCTCACATGCCACGGAATGCGCTGTTTCGCACTAAGTTTCACGCACATGTGCCACTGATCGTCAAATCTGAGACGCTGGCTCCAAATGGCATGGTCTTAACACGGCGTCGGGAGCCAAACACTACAGGTACCTGGTTCGAATTGGAGTTCATAAATTGGAATGGAGCGTTCTTGTTCATGTGGTTTTCTGGAGATATACTTGCATCATTTAAGCCCAACCCTTTTAATTCATTTGGAGTATAGTTTCTGAACCCAATTGGAATCCTTCTCGGTCAGCTAAATATCTAAATATCTGTTGTATCATGGAGTTGGCGGAATCTGAAAGGCTGGATCTTAATTTACACAGGATTGAAACAATGCTTTCTATTCGTCGGCCTGTAGGAAATCAACAACAACTAAAACAAATCCAAAGTTAGCATCAGATCCTGAAGCCAATGAACTTTGGGATAGTTACCTTTTTTGAATTCTTCAGGTCGATCTTGAACAATCCAATGCCCGCAATCGATATCAACAATCTTTGACTGGGGGAAAAGTGACGAAATAAGCGGGAAAGCACTATCAGGTACATAGTGACTCTGAAGGCCTCGAAGAAATAGAGTAGGAGACCGAAATTTCAAAGAGCTGTCCTTGTCCGGAAAATCACCCAATGGTCCCATCGCCTTCTCCAGAATATCGAGAGGAATACGTAGTTGCAAGTGAGGCTGGTCCTTGCTTTTGACAAAATTGCTTAGTAGCCATAGTCGTACCGATGGCGACTGGGTTTACCCGTTAGCTAATTTATAGCATTTGGCAAGGATATAATGTAGCTTACCGATTCGTATTGACGGAGAATCATATCTGCTTCTAGATGAGACTTTACTTTGGCGTCGTTGGCTTTTGCCATTCCTTGAAGATAATTTGGGAAGTATGACTTCAACGGCAAATGAATTGGGCCATTGTCGATAGCAACGACTTTTGACACGAGGTTTGGATAACGCAGAGCAAGCGTCATGGCTGTTTTTGCGCCCCTGAGATCGAATTTAGCCCTGAACCATGGGATTGAAGCTGAAGACAGGATCTAATCACATTGAGTGGCCGATTACTGCCGGGCGTTCAAGTCGATGTTTTTGGATAAACGACTCAACATCCAGCGCTAGATCGACATAAGTATGGCTGGGGTGGTGGCCAGAATCTCCATGGTTTCGTAGATCCTATTTCGATGTTAGATTTGTCCATCTTATTTACATGAAAGACAGTACTAATGTGTAAACATCTTGAGAGAGCTCACTGGTCAATTTTCTGGGGGCAGGGGTTGTTAGCACAGAAACAGGAGCTATACAGTTATAGCAGTTATTCACCTGCTCACGGGTCTGTTTTCTCGTTTTGATCCAAGAAACCCATGTAGAAATATGATAGGGTGTCCCTTATTCACGTTGTGTGTCTCTGCACCTTTGGGGGAGCTATGCAATTCATAGGTCAGTGGGACTCTGGCCGCCGCAGACCCAGTTAACCCTCGCTTAAACAAGGGTTGTTTCACGTTAATCTTGAACATGAGGCCTAGCGTTAAGTAGAAGAGTTGCAGGAGGTTCCAAGTGTGTTGTCGAGTTTGTGATGGTCTTTGAAATCTTGGAGGCTGTAAAAGCCGAATACCCCGGTAACTATACATTTTGCCGAGATTGCCCAGGTGGGTCACAACAACAAACTCCAGCCCATGAATATGATCTAGACTCTATCGCAGATTATCAAATCATGGCTCTAGCTTATGAGGTATTAATCTCAATAGTTCCCAAGCTTGTTTTGACGCTTTGGGGTTGGCTTCTGAGGCATATTAGAAAATAACAAGTGGTTGAAGGTGTATTAGGCAACATTAGGACAACAACAATGTAAGAGAACTGTCGATCTTCTGTATTTATCTAATTCAAGCAACAGCATTGGTATTCCACAGCTGCTCAACTGCTTTCGTAGTTCATAGTTCAGCTCAGGAGGGTAGTATACGGTCACGTGCATCATGACGTAAGGCGACTGTCGAATCAACAGACAATCGCATCTCACTTCTTCCTTGTCTGTTTTCACTTTCCAAATTGCCCATGGAGACACACAGCTTGCACCATTCACAATGAGGAAGACACTGCTTCTCGTGTTTATCCACGGCTTCAAGGTATGATCTTTTGAATAATCGTTCTTGACACAATTCCCCGCAAAGAATTCCGCTCTCCGCACCAGCACATGCATGAGACTTTGCCGCAACAACTGACTGACCACTTGATTCTAGGGCGGTGACGATACATTTGGTACCTTTCCAGAGCATCTGCGCGTCCTCGCAAGCAAGGCATTGCCTGCTATCAATGTTGTTACAGCCGTCTACCCTAAGTATGAGACTAAAGGTGACTTAAAAGAATGTGTGGGAAGGTTGCGGGACTGGTAAGATTACATTTAATTTTCAATATGAAGCTTTGCTGACCAGTGTTGCTTGGTCAGGCTGCAAGATACTGTGATTGATCTAGAAGTCGCCAACCAGACAGCATCGCCCACTGTTGATCCCTCCGTTCATGTTGTTCTGATCGGTCATTCAATGGGAGGGATAGTAGGAGCCGAGACTTTGCTTTTGTTGGCAACCGAACAGCCAATCCCCCACAACCAGACTTCAAACACAGAACCTGGGTCAACTGAGACTGACCCTATCGTGGAGCCGGGCACATTCATGTTCCCTCACGTCCAAGGAGTTCTTGCCTTTGATACTCCGTTCCTAGGTATAGCCCCAGGAGTCGTATCTTATGGCGCGGAAGGACATTATCGCAATGCTGCCACTGCCTACAACACCTTTTCAGAGGTTGCAGGATTGTTCGGATACGGCGGAAAAGGCAATGCCTCGGACAACTCTACTAACCCTGCACCCCCAAAAGAAGCGCCCAAAACGTTGCCTTCAGCTGACGCTGCTGCAACACCCCAGTGGCAGAAATGGGGTCGGTATGCCATGTTTGCCGGCGCGGCTGGTGCTGTTGCTGCAGGTGGTGCAGCTGCCATGTATACCCAGCGACAAAAGCTTACCGACGGGTTTACGTGGGTATCGTCGCATCTCGAGTTTGTTGGTTGTCTTGCGCGTACTCAGGAGCTACGCCAGCGTCTCGTGCGTCTTTCCAATGTGAAGGAGGAACGTGGAATCGGGTGCGTGAACTTCTACACATGCCTTGGAAGAGGTGCATCTTCTCTTGTGGAGAATACATCAGCAAGCCAAACATCTTTCAGTCAAAAAATTATTCGATCGAAGAACAGGACGTTCTGTTCATTACCAAATGAGGTGGAGAACGGAGAGGAGTCTCAAAACCCAGGGCTTCTCTGGAACAAGGCCGTCAACGACCAGGCCACCGACGAGGTGAATGCGCACATCAACATGTTCTTATCCAAGCAGAACCCTGCATTCTTCGAGATGCTTAGTGAAGCGTGTGCGGTTCTGGTGAGATCCATCGACAAAGGCTGGTACAATTCATCTACCGAGTCATCCGAGTCAGCTCAATCGAAACAACCAGAAGCAAAAAGCAAAACCGACGAGGACTTCATGGATGCTGATGACGTGGTCGTGGTTGACTGAGATCGGAAGCACTGATTTGCTGGACTTGTCAGTCCACAATTTACGCTTTGTTCCATCACATTCGATGGTTCTACATGGATTCTAAGCGATTTCTCCCCTGATCGGCGGGTCACCTGCTTAAGACTTCGGTCCGTGTGCGCCGCATTTCAACACACAACGAATAGCATGCGGAGAAAATCGATTACTGCGGTAGCAACTTATTCTACGCAGACAAGCCAAGCCAAATAACCACTTTCATTATCCCGCAGCTCTCCAGACCACGGCAACGCTGCCGTATTCGCTGTCATCCGCCATTCTTAGCAATGATGTCCGAAATCGTCCGCGTGGACTCTTCGGTCGGTGAAGATCCTGCCACTTGTTTCACTTTTTCTCGAAGATCGTTTATTCCACCGATCCTACCTTGATCTGGTGTGACGTGGCCCACGATAACTCGGGGTTTGCTCGGCCAGACTAGCCGTATACAGCCGGCGAAGGATCAGGGACTCGATATGTGATAACACTTCCAGTTTTAGGTGCGCCTCTTGTGCCGCTCTGCATAACTTGCAGGCATTACGTGCCTACGCTATCCCTGATGCAGGGTCAAACTTCCGGATGATTGCGAGGACGGATGAAGTGCTCGTCAACTTCTTCCCGAATGGATTTAGCGGCTGGGACGACACGGGGATAGGCGAAGTCTGAGACATGGAGAATACTTTTATTTTTCGGAAGATTCCACCAGATTGTGATTGCGACATACATGCAAGATGCAAGATATGGGAAATCACGATACAAGTTGATACTTGAGAAAAGCGCGATAGAAACCAGTTTGATTGTGTTTTGTATTCGCTTGCAAGTGGTTTTCTAGACCCGCAATATCACGTACATCCCATTTAGTCTCCATAACGATATCGGTCGACGGAAAACCGGATTCAGATCGCCATAAACCGTGCTTCATTGCCGTTGAAAACCTTCGAAATCCTGCCCAGATGAATTCTATGAGATTATATAATATGTCTTTATGGCCGAAATAACGCTGTACTGTAGCTAGAAGTATTCACTGAAAAGGAAATAATAAGATATCATCAAGTCAAGGGTCACATGTACAGTGCAAAATGGGATAAATTGAGAAGCGAAATAGAACGCGAAATGCAACATCAGTAGTTGTGATGGCCGTAATTGGAAGTGCGGTGGTGGTACATGCTGCCTGCATACTCGGAGTTGTTGTCTGGGTAGACAGTGTTTCGACGGTCTTCCTCAGCCAGTAACTCCTTAACTTCCCACGTGTTCGGCTTGACGCCAACGGAGAATTCCAGGTCTTCCTTGGTAATGGAGTCCCAGAACTGACAAAAGTCAGCAAAATGTATACTGCAGAATGATAAAACCAACTTACCTTATAAATCATCATGACAGCCAGAAGATTGCAGAAAGTAGCGAAGAACAGGCCATCCAGGTAATGCTGGACATTGTTGCAAATGACATCGCTGAATTGGTACAGGAGAACCTGACCAATAATGAAAACCAGCACACCAAAGGAGATATGTCCAAGCGGCCAGCGGTCATCCAGGGTGTTGGCAACGAGAAGCAACTGCATGGCCAGATAGACGGCGATAGAAATAGCGTTGAGCAAGTACAGCACAACGAACAAGCCGGTTGTATTATGAGGTCCCATTGAACCCCAGGACTTGAATGTCGCCAGCGAGATCACGAATGACATTGCGAACATGGCAGCGGAAGGAACTCGGATCAGCCATACCGAGAGAGCTGTTCCGTCTTCATACAGCTGGAAACCCACGAATCCGTTGACGAGTAGACATGTGCATAGCGCTGATATCAATCCGTTCTGGACGGCCACGAAGTACGGGAAGGGACCGCTACCTGGAGGAACAACACCTGCGTCAATGAGTAGTGAGAATAGAGTGAGGGCAAGGTAAATATAGAAAAAGGTAATGATCTCCTTGCGACCTATCAATATCAAAGTTGTTAGCCATGTAACCATGTAGGTGTGGACAGCGAGCTGAGTAAGACTGACCGACAGCAGTGAACTTGGATCTGACATGCAAGATCATGATGACAGTCATGCCAAGCGCGATGATATGCATGAAAGACGCAGCACCCTCGAAGATGATAGTATTGGCCACCTCAATATTCCGCGCATAGCAATTTGATATGATGCCCGTGGACCCGGAGATCGACGACGCCGGGCCGACCAGGGAACACAAAGGGACTGGTGCCTTTTCGCATATCGTATCGAACGAACCGAAACCCATGATGTCTGATGGAATGCCGAGCACTGCAACAGTAAACAGACGAATGGTAGTTAGGGGCGGTCACGAAGATTGTCGAGCCTGGACGGCGGGTCTCCACTACGACGGAGGTGGGACGGTGGAGGAGAGAAATGACGGGTTTTACGTTTCCCCGATAACAGCGTGGCTCTTCTGCACCCCCAGCAAAGCTGTTTCACTCAAATTATTCCTAGCAACAAGCGTTGAAAGTCGGACTGCCCCCTGTTGTCAAAGGAAGCGAGGGGGAAGTGTCTCAGTTTTCGTCCATGAATAGATCACGGGATCTAGGGAAAGGGAGGACTGTTTTTCCGCTTCCTAGTTTGGTCTAGCGTGGTTGCTGGGCTCTTTTTTCCCCAGAGCCAAATCGAGCTGAGTCAGCTCGGACTCGAGCCCGAGGTCGGCAACGCTAGACTAGATCTGGACTAGCGCATTATTGCCACGTGATTCGGAGCCGAACTTACCGAACTAGTCATAGACCCTAATTCATTTCTTTCATACAATCTACGGAGTACACGGACCCGAGGCAATTGAAAATGTGTGAAAAAGAGGTGAAAATGGAGAGACAAATTAGAGCAAATCTAATTCATGAAACAGTATACTCATTTATACTTCATGGCACCATACTATTTACAAACTTTCAACCCCTGTATCAAAACACGGATGGGAAAATAGTTCAGGGTCAAGGATTCACCTCGGCTGCCTCGGCCAAACTACTTTAGAGGTCTGACTACCATCATCCCGTAACCCGCGACATGCCACCGAAATTTACCAAGCCACCGAAACCCGCGAATTCCAAGCCCATTTCAGACTATTTAGTCTCTGTCTCCACATACCGATAGACTTGCGATTCGATAAGACTAGCACGACGCGACCCCTGCCGCAATTTTTATTGGACTGTAGCCTAACGGCCACGGTCAAAGTTAGCTTGTTTTGGGCCGACAAAAAAAATCTTCTTTTCCTTACCTTTCATTGGGTTAGTGAATCCCCCGACCACCGACGCTAAGTACGATTGCAATTGGCGTTAGGTTGCAAGGACCGAATTAGACTTGCCCTGCATGTGGATTGCCTCTTTGTCCCCACAAAACCTACGACTCGGGCACTTGTCGCACCATCGTCTGATTTTCTCTCGCGTGTTCCAGGGCCTGCCATCATAATTTAGTTCACGTAGATCTTCCCTCGCCTATTTATTTGGCTACCAACTGCCTAGATGGGCTCAGTACTTCTACAACTACGCAATGCTGCGGGAATCGACGGTTTGATATTAATATTGGAACAGTTCCCGGCAAAGGTCCCGTTTCGTCACGGCCGGTGGATCTCACTAACAATTGCACCACTCGTACCCCGTATTGATTACTTGCTGAGGGTATTGTAAAACCATACATGGCGCATTGCCGATGATCGACTTCCGAATCGTTCGGAAGTAGCTGGAAATGAGTGTCCACTTCGTCATGTTTCAGCTGAGACGTATGTAGCCTGTGGGGCATGGTTTTTGAGATTTCCGATCCTGGAGTATGCCGAACGGCTCTTACTCCTCATTTGCTCTGATTCGCGGCTAAATCTTGCGGGATTACAGTACTGATCGGGCTCCGTATACAGATCACCGAGCTTGTTTTACTCAGCACGTACTACCTTGAGTGACTCTGGACGGTCAATCCCTTTCCTAGAACAGTTTATGATCCCTGAGCCAAGCAAACTTCCATGTAAACTTTGCGAATTGTGGCATGATTCTCGTGGTCTCTAGGATTGTCTGTTCATTGTCTTTCAGCCCAGACAAGGCAACGTATACCATTACCCCGATCGGTTAGAGCTATCCCCACCAAACATGAAGTGGTAAGTTATGTGATGGTGTAATAGAGGCTGAGACCCAAAGGTACTTCATTAATTACCCTTTTTGCCTCCAAATCCCCCAAAAGTAAAATAAAATGCCTCAACTGATTGGAGCCTGTCACCCGCTCGACTGCCCAACGCGTCTTCTCTTCGAGTCAAACAGGCCCAACCCTGGCATGTACAAGGTTACTATCATTGGACTATCTCGAATGACATGACAATCAATTACCCGCGGTTGCCTGATCCAAAGGGCTTGGGACACGGGGTTGCAGGAAGTCGTACTTAATCTCATACCTCTCACAGAATGAGACACTCGAGACGGTAATTGCTGTCTCATGCATGAAGATCCTGACTAGCGCCACATGTGAGTTGAAGAAGCATCAACGGCTGCGAGGAACCGTGTCGATCCCTCCCCGGATGTATCATGATGCATCATTGGGGGGAGGGTCCCTGACGACTCAAAGATACATACATCCCCTAACGGTCATACAGATTAAAGCCACGCTCTATGCAGGACCCGCTTGACAACGTGACAAGGATAGGGGGTTGATGGTGGGGAGCCGTGCAGTACTGTATACTGCATTTTTACCTCTGAAATAAGTAAATTCAATTTTTCATTTTCATTTGGTTCATTTTCCTTTTTTTTCCGATTTTTTTGTTTTATCTGTTCCCACCATGTCGCCCTTCGGGCATCGAATCCACTCTCCAGAACTACTCTTATAACCTCGAGCCTCTGCGACTTGATTTTTTTTCTTTCTTAGTTAAGTTTCTTCCCTTTTCTGTATACAGATGGAGACCCTACATGTTCATACCGCAGTCCAATCTGTCATACTTCAATTGCATTGAACACCCATCCTTCCTATTGCGACTGGCCCTCCCAATCCAATCCCTCCGATGGGACCGCAATGTGCA